ACCCCGGCATGCTCAACCCCGTCACGCGCGCCCCCTCGTCCTCCGCCCCGCACGTCAGCGCCCACACCAGGTTGATCCACCTCCGATTGCTCGCTGCGCTGTCGCTGTCGCTCTCGCTGTCGCTCAGCATGCTCGGCAGGGCCCCGCCGACCGTATTCACGGCCTGCAGCAGCACCCCCGCGTCCGTCGCCGCCACCCGCACCCCGCACATCGTCACCTCCCCCCGGCACGGCCCCTCCTCCATCCGCCGCGCCAGCACCTGCAGCACCGGGTCGTCCCTGTGCACCCTCAGCACCGCCCTGCACCCGCGCAGCACCGCCTCCAGCGTGCTCCATCGCGTCGCCGCCAGGCTCGCCTTGTCGTCGTCCGACAGCCTGTCCAGCACGCTCGGCACCTCGCGCAACACGTCGTCGAGGAGATCGTTCCGTCTCCGTGGCCCCTGCGAGCAGGGCGGATGCCGGGTGCATGTCAGCGTGCAGCCCGGGGCCGGGGTGTTCCGCTCGCAGGCCGTCGAGTGGAGCTGTCGTGTGTGGGATGCAAGCGCACGCCCGGACAGCGCGCAGGCGGTAGTGTCGGGCCCTTTGAATGGTCACGCACCATTTTCTGTACGATCTCCTGTCGGAACAGCCACGACAACGGCAGAATGCGCCCTCAACAAGCCCGTCCCGCGCTGCTCAGCTCGCCCGGCACCTCCAGCTCGGACGACGCGGAGGCGCGCGATGCAGGAACGCTGATCACGCCGCCGCCCTCAAACACGACCCCACGCACTCCGAGCGCCGTCGCCCGCTGCCCTTGAGCGCCGCAACGCTCCCTCCACGGCCTCCCGCGCTCGAATCAACTGGCCCAGCTCTGCGAAGCGCGAACGCGGCCGATGCAGGACGTCAACGCGATGCTCCGATCTCGCACATCGCAGCCACATACACAGAACCAGGGCCGGCTCAAGGTCACGCGCGTTTGAGGCACGTGGACCACGCAAGACGCCGTCTGAAGCTCGTAGGAGCACACCTCGGCGCAACGCGGTCGCTGAGACCTTTCTCAGGAGCTGAAACTGGTCTCGCCGATGAAGTTCGACATGAAATGGATGTCCACTGCCGGCGCGTGCCGTGATGACGCCCGAGCAGCGCGTTGAACCCGCTTCGAGCGCATGGGAGGGGCGTGACGCAGTCAGGGCGTGCCCCTTCACGGACTGACGGACTGCCTGCGCCTGGCGGCTGAGCGCCGAGACGCGGGACGTGCATCGAGTGCTCGAGCGACACGTCGGGATCGAGCCATTCCAGGCGCGACGCATTCTGCCACAAGGCGCAGCGCAAGCCGCAGTCAGCGTCGGCAACCGCCTCGGGCTGCCTTGAGCGCCGCACGGTGCCAGCCTCGACGGCCACGCCGTCCGCACGCAGCGGTGCGGTGCACGCCACGCAGGCCATCGCGTCCGCCGCCTCGTCATCACCGGCGCCTCACGTTGTTGCACGGTGCAGGGCAGGCACGCAAAGCGGCAGGCGTGGAGGTTCAAGTCAGCGCCGCGGCCGCCGTCTGCGCTGGCGAGTGCAGGCGAGTTCCGCGCGGGGCCAGTGGGCTCGCGACATCGCGCGACTGTTGGTTGACGCACAGGTGCACTGCTCAGGCCGGCGTCGAGTCACAAGCATCGTCGCAGCTCGCGGCCGGACCGTTCGATCCGACAAGCCGCTCAGCGCGCCGCGTGGTGCGCTGGTCGCACCACTGCAACCTTCCGTGGATGCGCTCTCCGCCAGCGTGCTTTGCTTGGACGTCAACTGGCCGTTACGTCTTTCGGACACACGTCAGGGCATGTAGCGAACTTTCAAGTGCCGCCTCGCGAGCGCGTACCGTTGCGCATGCAGCACCTGCTGAGCCAGCGGCGTCATCCTCGACAGCACCTTGTCGCTGAAGGACGCGGTGTCCTTGCACGTTGACAGGTCCAGGTGCCGCAGCGTGGTGTTCTCCGCAAGCGCCGCGGCCAGGAGCTTCCGTCCCTCGTCCGTCAGCCCGTTGCCCGACAGGTTGAGTGACACCAGCGTGCGGTTGTTGTGTCGCAGCGCGTCCGCGATGGCCGCTGCGCCGTTGTCGCCGATGCCACCGTCGCCGCTGTCGTCGTTCTCGAGGTTGAGCGTGCGCAGTCCGCATCCGCGCTCCTTCAGCGCCGCTGCGACGTGCTTCGCCCCCTCCTTGGTCATGGCGCTGTCCGAGATCTCCAGCGTGTGCAGCCTCTCGCTCCGACATGTGCAGCTCAGCGCTCGCATGATATGTTCCATGCCCTCATCGCCTACGCTCCTCGCATTCCGCAGCCGCAAGACCCGCAGCTTGCTCTGTCTTAGACTGGTGCCCGAGAGACGCAGGCCCGTCCCCGTCATGTAGCGCGAGGCCAGGTCCAGCTCCTCCAGCGACTGCATGCGTTTGAGAGCCTCACCGATAGCCGCCACGTCGTCGTCAGTGATAGCGTCGCTGTCGAGCTTCAACCGCCGCAGCGTCGTGTTGCCCTCCAGCGCACTCATCACCACCGGCAAGTCCAGGAAGAGATTGTCCTCGCTGCCCGTACAGTCCTTCAGAGCAAGCTCCCGCAGCGTCCGGTTGTTGCGCAGCCCCGACACCAGCGCGTCCGTCAGTTCCGAGTATCCCTCTTCGTCCACATCTTCCTCGAAGCTCCATGCGCAGTCGAACACCTCCACCGTGCTCCGCTCCAGCGCGCACAGCACCGCGCATGTCGATTCGCCATCAGGCACTTCCGAGTCGAGCGTCACCCGCCGCAGTTGCTTGCTCCGCTTCATCAGCGAAGCAACCGCGAACACATCCCCGACGTTAATGGGCTCTGCGAAATCGGAGCGCAGCTCCAGCGCGTGCAGCCACGTGCCCTCCCGCAGGTCGTACGGACAAGTGCTGTCATCGACCTCCAGCACCTCTAGCCCCGCCGGCGGAGCCCGCGTCGTCTCTGCCCACATGTCCAGGCCGACGCGATGCAAACGCAGGTGCCGCAGCTGCGTCGCCCGCTCCAGACCGTCCAGAAGCGCCCGCGTCTCACCGGGGCGTAGGTTCGTCAACGACAGCTTGAGCGTCGTCAGGCGGCTGTACTCCCCCATGAAGTGCACCCAGCACGTCGGTGGCGCCACGAGCTCCAGGTGCTGCAGCGCCGACAGCCCGCGAACGGCCGGCGTCAGCAGCGCCGTGCGCTCCACGTTCTCGTCTAAAAGTTGATGCTCGTGCTCCAGCGTCCACTCAAGGCGCCGCAGGTGTTCCCTGGCAGGTCGCGACGCAAGGATGTGCTGGATCGCCGCCAGCTCCATCGTCGCGCTCTCTGCGCAGCTCCACTCCGGCACGCTCAGCCCCGTCACGCGCGCCTCCCCGCCCACCGCCTCGCACGTCAGCGCCCACACCAGATTGATCCAGCTGCGGTTGCGCTCAGTCGGGTGGCTGGCGACGTCGGGCAGGTCGCCGCCCCCCAGCTTGTTTGTAGCCTCCAGCAGCAGCCCCGCGTCCGTCGCCGCCACCCGCACCCCGCACATCGCCACCTCCCCCCGGCACGGCCCCTCCTCCATCCGCCGCGCCAGCACCTGCAGCGCCGGGTCGTCCCTGTGCACCTTGAGCACCGCCCTGCACCCGCGCAGCACCGCCTCCAGCGTGCTCCATCGCGTCGCCGCCAGGCTCGCCTTGTCTTCGTCCGACAGCCTGTCCAGCACGCTCGGCACCTCGCGCAACACGTGGTCGAGGAGATCGTTCCGTCTCCGAGACCCCTGCGAGCAGGGGCGGATGCCGGGCGGATGTCAGCACACAGCCCGGGGCCGGAGTGTCCCGCTCGCAGGCCGTCGAGTGCAGCTGTCGTGCGTGTTGTCTCTGCGATACGTTGAGGACGCAGGTGCACGCCCGGGCAGCGTGCAAGCAGCCGTGTCAACCCCTTCAGGTGGGCCGCTCACCATGACTGGTCGACGATCCGTCGGGTTCGCCGCAGTCACGCCAGAATGCGCCCTCAACAAGCGCGTCCCGCGCTGCTCAGCTCGCCCGGCACCTCCAGCTCGGACGACGACGCCAAGGCGCGCGATGCACGGGCGCCGACCACGCCGCCGCCCTCAAACGCGACCCCACGCACTCCGAGCGCCGTCGCCGGCCGCCCGCGAACCCCGCAACGCTCTCTCCACGGCCTCCCGCGCGCTCGAATCAACTCGCCCCAGCTCTGCGAAGCGCGAACACGACCGATGCGGTACGTCAACGGATGTTCCGATCTCGCATGCCGCAGCCACATACACAGAACCAGGGCCGGCACAAGGTCACGCGCGTTCGAGCTACTCCGGACCCGCAACACGCTCCTGGGAGCGCACCTCAGCGACAAACGCGTCTACTGGAGACCGCTCAGCGCATGTCAAGTGTCCCACTGATGCCCGTCTGCATCGCTTGGACTGTGCCGTTGCTGGCGTGCACCAACAACGACCCTGCAGCGCGTTCCAGTCGCACCGAGCGCTGGAGGACACATGCGAGGGCGCCCGACTCGCACACATCGTCGACTGCAGGCGCGCGCGCCGCACAACTCTGCAGCGGCGCATCGGTCGGTGGTACCGGAGTCCGCGGTGGTGCTCGAGCCCGCCGCGCGAGGCTTTCGGGAGCCCGCGGCCATCCACAAAAACACCGATCTGCATCAAAAAGCATCGCTGGTGCGATTCAAGGGGCACTGGCGTGAGTGCGCTGCGCACCATGGACGAGCCGGACAGCGTGAGGGGCTTGAACACGCAGCACGAGAGCACAAGATTGAAAACAAGCACCTTGGCTGCGTCGGTGACTCGAGCGGGGTCGACGCCGCCGGGCAACGTGGTCGCAGCGACTCGTGGGGCATCATGTCAGACACCACAGCTGGCTGCGCCTCGACATCACATCAGCGCGTCGGGCCCATCATATCGTTCCAGCACACACACACGTGCGCTCCTCGTGCCCTGCTGCCTCCTCACACGCAGGCCTCCCCTGCTCTGGCGACCGCGCGGCCTCCCGATCGCTCTGCACGAGTAGCGTCAGATACGGAACGTGCTACGCGCACACATCTGTCGCATGCCAATGGCATACCGCTGCGCGTAGAGCACGTCCCTCGCCCGCACCGACCCCCCGTCACAGCTCCACACGTCCAGGTTCCGCAGCGTGGTGTTGTCCGCAAGCGCCGCCGCCAGGCTCTCCTGCCCACGGTCCGTCAGGTTGTTGTTCGACAGGTCAAGCGACACGAGCGAGCGGTTGTGTCGCAGCGCGTCCGCGATGGCCGCTGCGCCCTCGTCGCCGAAGCAGCCTTCGTTGCCGTTCGTGTTTGTCAGGCTGAGCGCACGCAGCGTGCACGTGTCGTCCTTCAGCGCCGCCGCGACGTGCTTGGCTCCTTCGTCGGTCATCTCGCTGTTCGAGATCTCCAGCGTGTGCAGCTTCACGACCCGATGCATGCGGCGTAACGAGCGCATCACCTCCCGCACGCCCTCGTCGCCAACGCCCCACGACTCCAGCCGCAAGACGCGCAAGTAGCTGTCCTCCAGTCGCAGCCCCTTCCCCGACACGAGGCCCGAGGCCAGGTCCAGCTCCTCCAGCGACTGCATGCGTTTGAGAGCCTCACCGATAGCCGCCACGTCGCTGTCTCGAACCGCGATGCTGTGCAGCTTCAGCCGCCGCAGCGTCGTGTTGTCCTTCAGCGCCGCCGCCACCTTCGGCACGTCCAGGAAGAGATCGTCGGGGTCCTCAGAGTCGAAGTCCAGGGCGAGCTCACGCAGCGTCCGGTTGTTGCGCAGCGCCGACGCCACCGACTCTGTTAGAGCCGAGCAGGTTCCTTCTCCAGCCCAGTCATCCAAGCTCCATGTGCAGTCAAACACCTCCAGCGTGCTTCGCTCCAGCGCGGAAAACACCGCGCAGACCGGCCCCGCATCCAGGCCCCTCGACTCGAGCCTCACCCGTCGCAGCTCCTTGCTCCGCCCCATCAACGCCGCAACCTCCTCCCACTGTGGGAGGAGGTCCCGTAACGGCACCTGCCCACCGCACAGCTCCAGCGCGTGCAGCCTCGTGCCCTCCCGCAGGTCGTACGGGCATGTGCTGCTTACGAGATCCAGCACCTCCAGCCCCGCCGGCGGAGCCCGCGTCGATGTCTCGGCCTCCATGCCCAGGTTGAACCGATGCAGGCGCAGGTGCCGCAGCTGCCTCGCCCGCTCCAGACCGTCCAGAAGCGCCCGCGTCTCACCGGGACTCAGCCGGATCTCCTCCAGCTTGAGCGTCGTCAGGCGGCTGTACTCCCCCATGAAGTGCACCCAGCACGTCGGTGGCGCCACGAGCTCCAGGTGCTGCAGCGCCGACAGCCCGCGCATCGCCTTCGTCAGCAGCTTGATACGTCCCGGGGTCAATAGCTGCCGATCGTGCTGTAGCGCCATATTCAGGCGCCGCAGGTGTTCCCTGGCAGGTCGCGACGCAAGGATCTGCACGACCGACGCCAGCTCCATCGTCGCGCTCTCCGCGCAGCTCCACTCCGACACGCTCAGCCCCGTCACGCGCGCCTCCCCGTCCTCCTCCTCGCACGTCAGCGCCCACACCAGATTGATCCACCTCCGATTGCGCGCAATGAAGTCCATGGCGACGTCCGGCAGGTCGCCCCCGACCTTGCGAGCAGCCTCCAGCAGCAGCCCCGCGTCCGTCGCCGCAACCCGCACCCCGCACATCGTCACCTCCCCCCGGCACGGCCCCTCCTCCATCCGCCGCGCCAGCACCTGCAGCGCCGGGTCGTCCGGGTGCACGCTCAGCACCGCCCTGCACCCGCGCAGCACCGCCTCCAGCGTGCTCCATCGCGTCGCCGCCAGGCTCGCCTTGTCTGCGTCCGACAGCCTGTCCAGCACGCTCGGCACCTCACGCAACACGTGGTCGAGGAGATCGTTCCGTCTCCGAGACCCCTGCGAGCAGGGGCGGATGCCGGACGGGTTTCAGAGCGCAGTAGCAAGGCGGCTTCGACGGGCAGCGCAGAATTCGCAGGCCGTGCACTGGGGCGTCCGCGAATGTTCTTGCCCAATCGAAGCAGGCCGCGCATTCTGACGCATCGTCCCATCGGCGGGCAGGCGGTCGGGTCGACGCGTTCGGGGGGCATCTCACCATGGTCCTTCTCGCTGCTGCAGATTGATGCCGTGAAACAGCGGAGTCCGTCAAGGGATGTGCCATATGTCAGTCAGAGCCTGGGTGTCCCCGTTCTACCACTCTCATGCGCTGGGCTCTTGGCGAGCCTCGAGTTACGTGCGGCGGGAACTAGAGCTAGGCTACTAACGCGCCCAGCTCATTCCGCTCTCGTTCCCGCCGCGCCGCAGAGATCGGGATGGATCGCGTTCCTCACGGTGACGTGAACGCGCACGTCCCACGTCGCCGCGCCGGCCGCGCGGCGGTGGAGACGGTGGAGGAACTTCCTGTGTTGCCGGGCCTGCCGCCCACGGCACTCGCACTGGAATGGGCGGTTCACGCCGCCGCGGGCGGGCACGGCGCCAACGTGGTCGTCCATCTCGGGGAGGACGCCACGGACGCTGAGCGGGACGAGCTCCTGACCGCCGAGTTTGTCACCGCTCTCGTCGCCGCCGGAATGAAGACTCCGACAGCGACATTCCTCACGCAGCTCGAGGCGCAACTGAAGGAGGACCTGTCTCACTACGCGGACGGCAGTATGAATCTCCACAACGTCCGCCCCGGTGCCTTGATGCGGTGGATAGCGAGCAGTGAGATGCCAAAGATCGCGGAGCGCGCCCGCACCCACGTGCCGGGCACCAACGTCAAGGTGGTGGCCATGGCCACCTTGAGCCGTCTGGTGTACGGCCTACGCTCCATCTTCGACCACATCGGCCGTCGTGGGGAGTACTCGTGGCGCGACAAGACAGGCAATCCGGCGCGCAGCGACGAAGTGCTATCGTTCATGCGCGGTTATCGGAACTGGCTGGACGAGCACGACGTCAGCGCGCGCCCCGCGGTGCCGATGGGTCGCGTGAAGATCACGAACGTCCTGAGTCGTCTTTACGGCATCATACTGCCCGAGGTGAGGCCCTGTTTGCCCCCTGCCGGCGTGTTCGCCCGATTCGTTCCCGAGCGTGGATGACTGACGCGCTCGGCACGTGGTCGCAGGCGGCTTGGGGCAAGCCCGCGTGGTTCTTGGCGATCAGTGAGTTCTGCGCGTACGCGCTGCTGTACATGACGTGGCTGCGCGGCTCGGAGCTCGTGGCCCTCAGCTGGGGCGACGTCACGTTTGAGGCGCTGCCAGGTTACGAGCGGTGGCTGGGGCTCGGGGAGCTACGCGTCCGTGTGCGGCACAGCAAGCACGCGGCGCTCGTTGCGAACGTCGTCCCGCAGCGCGTGGCCGTGGACACGGTAGACTACCCCTACTTTCAGTTCGGGCTGCGGTACTGGGTGGACGCGTGTGCCCGCGCGACGTACTTTGGGACGTTCAACATCGTGGTGGCGCTCGTCTTATACCGCTCGGAGCTGCGGAAGCTAGGAGTCAACGCGGACGACGACACGCTGATCTTCCGGGCCACGGAGCGCGGCACGGGCCTGCCTGGCAACGACGGCTTGTCCGCGGGCGCGCTACTGGAGCGCCTAAAGAGCAGGGAGCGGGGGTGCGGCGTGTATGGTGGCGAGACGCTGCACAGCTTTCGCCGCGGGGGTCTGCAGGACTCGCTCGCCAGACACGTTCTGGACATGCCGGCCGCGCAGGCGCGGGGCCGCTGGGAGTCGGTGCAGACTATGCTGCATTACCTCGTCGCCGGTCACATGAACATCGGTGAGTGAGGGCGCTCGAAGGGGATATGGGGGTTGCATGCGGTAGTCACGGCGCGCGCGCAGCGACAGCTCCCGTGCGACTGTCGGGAGTCAGCGACAGCGCCCACAGGCGCCAGCGTTTACGCTGCGGCTGCGCTTTGAAGTAGACGCGATGCGCGGGGTAGTCGCCCTGAGGCATACGGTTGGGTGTGACCACGCACCGCGTCCCGGAGTCGCCGATCGGGTCGGACCGGAGCGGGAAGCTGCGCGCGTCGGCGGTGCCCGCCAATTCTAGCAGAGGAGGCCACCAGGTAGAGTCCGAAAGGTCGGGCGTGATCAAGTAGAAACGGCCCGTCTCGCATGACAGTCGCGACACGACGCGATCGAGCAGCGGAGGCGGAGGGAAGAGCCAGCAGCACCGTCCGTCCCACGGCAGCAGCAACCCATCTACGCCAGCGCTGGAAGGCGAGGCACGCAGCGCGTAGTAACGGCCCGCCACGGCGTTGTGCTCGGACGCGAAAACGTCGAGGTCGGGAGGTCTGAAGCATGTTGCGTACAGCCGACGCCGCACAGCCTCGGCAACGCCGAAGTCGAACATGTCTTCCACCTTGGACAACGCGTCTGCGTCCGCGATTTCAGCGCGGGGAACCCAGCGCGGGCGGATCGTCACGCTCTCCTCGCGTTCGAGACGTGCGATGTTGGCGAGAATCTGAACTGCGGCCTCCGTCTCCGTCACGGTCTCCGAGCGCCCGCACGTCCAATTGAGGATGCGACGCACGCCGTTGAGGTTGTCGGCGAGCAGGTCGATGACAATCGTGCGGCCCGCGAGGTCGAGGCGCTCTCGCCGCGCCCGCTCTAAGACGTAGCAGGCCAGCGCGTGGTAACCCCAGACCTCACGCAGTGTCGAAGAAGTGTTACGGAACCCGTCGGGCAGGACAGCGGAGAACTCGTCACCGATCCAGGTTGCGGGGCCGTCACGGAAGACTGCGCCCACGCGGCGCTCGCCCGCGTCGCACGAGGCCGCGAAACGGAGCGTTGGTTTCCATTTTCCCCAGCGAGCACCGCTGATGTCCCGCAACGTGGCGGCAAGGTGGGCCAGCTCGCACCGCGCGGCGTTCAGCAGCTCCGGGTCGTCGCGGCCCGCGACCACGGCGTACAAGTGCACCAGGTGGAGGCGAATGGAAGGCACCGCCGGCAGCAGCGACGTGAGCTTGCCCACGAGGGAAGCGAGACCACGCTGGTCCCGGGCGTGGCGGTCCCAGCTCCGGCGGTCTGAGATTGCGCGAAGGCGCGAGATCAACTCAACCATCTTGCCCTGCGGAACGGCGATCACGCAGTCCGCGGAATCGACGTCGAAGCCGAGGAACGTGACCCTCGTGCTTGGGGGTTGCACTTTCTTCACCGAGACGGTCAAGCCCAGAGCGGAGCAGTACGCGACGAGCAGGACCATCCGTTGCTGGGCCAGGAGCAGGTGCGTCTCAGGAGGGGCGTCACGTCGAGCGACGGCGTGTAGACTGTCATCTATGTAAGATGAAAGTAGCCACTTCCGCTCTCGCAGCGGCTTGAACACGACTTGCATGACCGCCGTGTAGACGATGCAGGCGGCGTTGAGCCCGAACGGCAGGACGCGGAAGTAATACGTGCGTCCGTCCCACTCGAAAGTAAGATACCGACGGTACGTGGCGTCTACGGGGATGGCGTGATACCCGCTCTTCATGTCGATGGTGAATAAGAGGTCGCCCTCGCTCAAGTGATGTATGATGCGGGCTACCGTCTCATACTTAAACTTAGGTGCGACGATGCGCAAGTTCAGCGCGCGAGCGTCGAAGATGACACGGACCTTGTCGTGTTGAGCCACTGCGCCCAGTGGCAGCGTCATGGCCGGCGCGCCCCAGGACGGGTCCCAGAGGCCGACCACTCCCGCGAGGAGCCAGTCTTTAATGGTCTTTGCAATCTGCTGCGCGTAACGGTACGCGGACTTCAGGTTGTGCAGCTTGATGTTGAGCGTGCCCTCGCGGACTCCCTGGTCGGCCGCCGTGGACAAGAAGAAGCGAGCGTCAACCTCTCCGAGGTTCCTAACGAGGGAGCTGTGCACCGCAGCGATCTTCTTCGGGTCCGCGAGCGCAATCGACTGCCACTTGGGGGCCAGACCGTGTTCGAGGAGGAGCCGAATGGCGGTTGTGTGGTCTCCGCCACCGTCGAGGATGACTTCCCAGGCCCCGGGAACCCGGGCGATACCGGCGGCGACGAAGCGCGAATTGTCGAGAGCCTCTTCGCGTAGCCTTCGCTGGAAGCCTTCCTCGTCAGACCACGTGTAGCGCGGCCCCACCAGGACAGCACGCTCGCCGTTGAGCTTCGCGTCGTCTAGGAGCTCTTTCACCAGCGCCACCTGACGTGACGGGTCGCGCTGCAGATCCAGCAGGCGCTGGTCCGGTTTTACGTCGGCGTCGAGCTCGCCGACGGTCACTTCCGGATATCTGAACCCATCCGGCGGCGCTTCGCTCGGGCCGAGAGCCTCGCAGAGCGCGTTGAGTTCGTCGTCGGAGGGCGCCGGAACGTGATCGGTTGCAACCTCGACATCGGGTTCGACCAGCGTGTCTACGCAGTCCATCAGGCCTGGCTCGCAGTCGTCCGTGCCATCGGCGAGCGGAGCGATCTGGTTCGGCGGCGTGTGCGACGTGGAGGGCGTCATTGCCTCGCGCGCGTCCTCCTGGACGATCAACGGCCCTTGCGGAGGGCTGCAGTAATCAGAGGGTACGTGAGACGCTGAATTGCCAGTCTAATTCGTTCACGTGAACATCACAGCCACCCGCGGGGCTGACCGAACGGACGCGCCGTCGAAAGCGTGTCGAGGGCCAGCGCGTGAGCCGCGACAGCGGTTGAGTGTCACTAGTGCATGTCGCATGCACTTACCCGTGCGTCGACGGGGGTGGGCCGGGGGGCGGCGGCGGCTGGCCGTTGTAGCCGCCACGGCCGCCGCCGCGGCCGCCGCCGCGACCGCCGGAACCGCCACCGCGGCCGCCGGAAGCGTAGCCGTAGCTGTTGTAATTCTGGTTGTTGCCCCTGGCGTTGGCGCTGCGGCGCTGCCTGTGGTCTTCCTGCTCAGCCTTCGTCAGGTGCAGCAGGAAGTCGCGCAGCGCGCCGCCGACCATCCCGACCTTTTGCACGAGCTCTTCGGGGCGCACCCAGTTGGCCTCAAGCCCTTGCACCTGGCTTTCAAGCTCGGCGATGAATGTGCCGAAGATGCGGTTCGTGGACGCACCGAACGCGCCTGAGCCCGTGGCGTCCACGTCGCGGGTCAACTCAACGAGAGCGTTGTTGAGGACTTGCGCAATCGCCGACAGGTACTGCGGGTGCGCGAGCACCAGCTCGAGGGTCCGCAGCGAGGCCTCCAGCGCACTGGCGTTGAGACGAGCGCAGTTGGAGCTCGCGGTGCGCAGGTTCTCGCGCAGCTGGCGCAGTTCGCCGACGTTGAGCGTGGTGGTGCGGGCCTTGGGATCCGTGCCGGCCAGCTGGCGCGGCCACTCAAGGTCTTGCTGGAGCTGTTGCACCTTGCCCCGCCATGACTTGCCAAGCGCCTCGGAGGCGAATTGCACGTTGTAGAATGACGGCGTGTCACTCGGGCGCCGCTGGTTGGTCACGATATTCTTGTTGATGGCATTCAACGTCTCCGTCAGCTCGGGCGGTGCAGCGCCGCGCATGAGTCCGGGGAGCAGTGCGACAACCTTGGCGTTCAGGGTTCGTTCGATGAAAGCCGCCATCGCCGGGTCCTCAGAAAGCGCAGCGACCGCAGCCGGAGAGGGCTGCGGCGTCTCCGACACGGCCAAGGGCGACACCGGAGGCGGCGCGTTCGTGTTGACGGGAGGAGCTGCGAGCTGGTTGCCGGCCGGGTCGGAGTCGTGCACCTGTTCGGCGACGTGGGCCGGGCCTGCAGCGCGAGATGGCCGCGTACGCGAGTGACATTTCGCACAAAGAAACGGGCGCGCCGTCGCCCTTTCCCACGTCTACTGATGTATGAGAGCGCTTGCGTAGCGCGAGGTGAGCGCCTGGTGCACGAAGCGCGCGTGGCGCCGTGCTCAAAACACCTTGTCTCAGCGAAGGGTCGGAGTACGATAGCGCGCCGCGGCGTCGCGCACAGCGCTTGGCGCCCAGATCCGGGGCTACATGGCTCAAGACCTCGAGGTTGGGCGTGCCGGACCGGGTGTAGGCGGCGTCAAGGGCCCCCGCGGGCGGATATGGCCGGTCTGTGGCCGAGTGTCCATGGTCGCCGCGCAAGGCGTCGGGGCGGGGCGCGACACGCGCCATGGGCCATTCTCATTATCGCAATCTCACGGCCGCTGCCAATAATGTGGTGGACGAGCTATATCGGCCTGTCGCGGGCCAGGGCCAACGGGGGCCTCGCAGCGCGTTTAGCGCTCGCACATGGCGCGGCCTCTATTCGCGCGCGGCAGTTCGGCGCAGATCACTGTCAGGTGCCGACTCTAGCGTGCCACGGTCCGCTTAGGCGTCTTCTCAACGAGGGACGCATCCCCGATATCATGCTGGGAGCGTCCGCCGCTCTGCGAGTCCCCGCTCGCCTTCGTTCTCGTGTGCCTCGCAAGGCCTTAGAGTATGCTCGTCAACGGCGCTCGCAAGCGCGGAGGTAATGCGCGTGGTGGGGCGTTCGTGTCTCCCGACCTTTCTGTGTACACAGTTTTCCGCGATCCCGGCGGATGAAACGCGACGCTCCGCTCTCCGGCGGGCGCGGTGCCTACGTCTATCTATGTACTAGTGTCCTGGCGGGAAAACTCACCCGACCCTGTGGTGTTTTCGCCCCTGCGCCTCTTTGATGAGGCGCCAGAGGCGGCAGGATTGCCGCCCCGCTTCGGAGCCATCTTCGTTACGCGAGAAATCCACTTCCTTTGGCAGGTCAGAAGAGTGGCGATCGCGCTGCGTGCCTTGCGCTCATGCCTGCCCTCTTGCGGTCTCAACCGCGCAAGACGGACTGACTTGGATGAAGCGCTTCCCGCGCTGCTCGGCGCGCTGTCAGGTCAGGTCAGGTCACACAGTCCGCATTCCGCGGAGGCGCCACAGTTTACACCGCTACCCGCATCCGGGCGACCGGAAGACCGGGCAACAGTGGCATGTGACTGAGTTGTTATCATCAAACAGCCCGATGTCCACGTGGGGATGAAAGCGCGAGGTAGCGCCCAGGTCTCCAAGCACGCGACCGGGGGCTCGAGGGCGCACGGGCGCCAAAGCGAGAGTCGCGCGAACGGGGCGGCGCGGGGCGATGAGCGGGGGTGGCACGTCCTCAACCCGACCTGCTATGTTATCGTTTTGTTGTGGCGCCCGGGGCCCGGGAAGGCCCAGGCGGCCCACGGGCGCGGCGCGTGCACGCGGGACAGACAGGTCGGCCGGGCAGGGAGCGCGTCCACCGCATGTACAGGGCATGGACAGCATGTGGAGGGCGGGGGGACGCCCTTGGGTGCCGCGTCGCTGCGAGAGACGGCGCACGTGCCTCGTGCCGCGGGACGCCATCAGGCGCCCGCGGCTCCGTCGGACTTTGCGGTGCATGATTGCCTGCGACTGCACGCGACGGCCTTGCTAACCGGTCGCGGCGCCGAGACAGCACCAAAAGCACCTGCCGGGCGACAGCGATCGCCGGGTCCCCGCCACTGGGTGGCGGTCGGTGCTGCTCCAGAGGCGCGGGGGGGCGCGCGTGGTGCGGATCGTTGTCTTCGCATGCAACGTCAGCCAACGGGGGTGCCGACGTGGGTGGGGGGGCTCGGGCCGCTCCCCCCCTGGGGCCCTCGGCTGGGAAGCGGGTGCTTGCCGGGGCCCCGCCTGACCGGGCGCGGAGCGCAGCCGCGGCGGCGTTGTTGTCGTGCCGTCACGGCGCTGGCGCACCTGACGGCATGGAGAGCGGGTGGCGAGGCCGCTCCGGCGTGGCGCGAGGTCCGAGACGGTGCCGGGCTCCCGCGCGATGAGGGGCCGGCGCATGCAGATCCTCGGGTCCAGCGTGAGTGCCTGTGCCCCCTGGTGGCTCCGTGTGCGCCGCAGCTACGGCGGGGCGGACGCCGTCCGTGTGCACCTGCACGTCTGGGAGGGGGAGGGGCGCCGCGCAGGGGACAGAGAGCACCGGCCAGCGCGGGCGCGGGTTGGGACGGGGCGGCGGTGGTGGGACCCCCGGGGGAGTGTACCACCTGGGGATGTTGAGGTAAGTAGGGGGCGCTGGACGCGCGAAAAACGTCGCGCCGGGGGGCTACATGGGCCTTCGGCCCTCCGGGTGGGTGGGTGGGCAAAAAAATCGCGCGGCGCGGGCGGGGGCGCGGCGATGAGAGCGGGGCGCGCGAAGCAAGGGGGGTGAACAAAATTGACCGCCCGGTGCGGCCGCGCGCGCGAGTGGGGCCGCATTGGCCTCGCTGCGACGGGCAGCGGGCCGTAGACCGCTCCCCGCGCGAGGCGCGCGGCTGCAGCGGGGGCTGCCGGCCGGGGCGCGGCACGGCGGGAGCGCGGGCACGGTGGCGCCGGGCGCGCCACACCGTGGTGCAGCGGGTGCGCGCGGGGGCCGGGGCGCGTGTGAGATACGCGGGGAGCACGGATGTCGCGCGGCGCGGGCGGGGGCGCGGCGATGAGAGCGGGGCGCGCGAAGCAAGGGGGGTGAACAAAATTGACCGCCCGGTGCGGCCGCGCGCGCGAGTGGGGCCGCATTGGCCTCGCTGCGACGGGCAGCGGGCCGTAGACCGCTCCCCGCGCGAGGCGCGCGGCTGCAGCGGGGGCTGCCGGCCGGGGCGCGGCACGGCGGGAGCGCGGGCACGGTGGCGCCGGGCGCGCCACACCGTGGTGCAGCGGGTGCGCGCGGGGGCCGGGGCGCGTGTGAGATACGCGGGGAGCACGGATGTCGCGCGGCGCGGGCGGGGGCGCGGCGATGAGAGCGGGGCGCGCGAAGCAAGGGGGGTGAACAAAATTGACCGCCCGGTGCGGCCGCGCGCGCGAGCGGGGCCGCATTGGCCTCGCTGCGACGGGCAGCGGGCCGTAGACCGCCCCCCGCGCGAGGCGCGCGGCTGCAGCGGGGGCTGCCGGCCGGGGCGCGGCACGGCGGGAGCGCGGGCACGGTGGCGCCGGGCGCGCCACACCGTGGTGCAGCGGGTGCGCGCGGGGGCCGGGGCGCGTGTGAGATACGCGGGGAGCACGGATGTCGCGCGGCGCGGGCGGGGGCGCGGCGATGAGAGCGGGGCGCGCGAAGCAAGGGGGGTGAACAAAATTGACCGCCCGGTGCGGCCGCGCGCGCGAGCGGGGCCGCATTGGCCTCGCTGCGACGGGCAGCGGGCCGTAGACCGCCCCCCGCGCGAGGCGCGCGGCTGCAGCGGGGGCTGCCGGCCGGGGCGCGGCACGGCGGGAGCGCGGGCACGGTGGCGCCGGGCGCGCCACACCGTGGTGCAGCGGGTGCGCGCGGGGGCCGGGGCGCGTGTGAGATACGCGGGGAGCACGGATGTCGCGCGGCGCGGGCGGGGGCGCGGCGATGAGAGCGGGGCGCGCGAAGCAAGGGGGGTGAACAAAATTGACCGCCCGGTGCGGCCGTGCGCGCGAGCGGGGCCGCATTGGCCTCGCTGCGACGGGCAGCGGGCCGTAGACCGCCCCCCGCGCGAGGCGCGCGGCTGCAGCGGGGGCTGCCGGCCGGGGCGCGGCACGGCGGGAGCGCGGGCACGGTGGCGCCGGGCGCGCCACACCGTGGTGCAGCGGGTGCGCGCGGGGGCCGGGGCGCGTGTGAGATACGCGGGGAGCACGGAGCTGTCCAGCTCGGCTCGCGCCAGGGCCGCGCGGTGCACGGGCGCTGATCACGCCTTCGCCCTGAGATCGCTCACACAATCCGAGCGCAGTCCGCTGCGTTCTGATAGCGTCACGCGCTCTTCGCGGGCGCCAGCGGCGCACCGAAGCAATTCTTCGCCCTGCAAGCATCGCATGAGGCTGGTACGGTGCGTGAGGGCGCTTTCGCGACGCCCCGCGAGCGCTGATATGCGTCAATCATCCGCCCACGCGCCTTTGTCGCGCGTCAGAGCCGCGTCATTCTCGCAAAATGCTGCCTCAGCCTCCCAGTGGCGCACCTCGACGATGACGCTTTGTCTTGAACCCTCAACGCCTGCGATCCGGAGCACCGACGACCGTCTACACACGGTGAGATGTGCCACTCCCGTCGCGCGCCCAAAGACGCGCGACACGAGCGCGGGAGGCACCAGAGGGGGTCACGGAGGGAATGTCCGACACAGGCGACACGACCAGGGCGGGCGCGCACGGCGGGCGCAGCAGCGCTGCATGAGCGCCGGCAGGACGGAGAGTCCCGTCAGGCTGGAGCGCGCGGAGGCGACACGGGCGTGTCGGCGGCCCTCGGCTGCGGTGCTGTTGCAGGGGCGAACCAACCGACAAAAATGGCCCCGTGCTCCCGCCAGCAGGGACGCGTGCGGGGCGCGGGGCCGCGCCGATCGTAGCGCGCACCGTGCGCGCGTTCTGCGCGGTACCAAGCGCCACGCGGCCCCCCTGTCGACTCCTCTCGACGCAAGCAAAACGTGGTCGGGCCTAGGTCGCGACGCTCTGCGACCCTGGTTGACCGCGCGCTCCGGGTTCCTCGGCATCGGTGCGCGAGGCAGCTGCGTCTCTGGGAGCCACGCCCGTGTCAGCACGCGCGAGACCGCCAAGAAAAACACACGGCACTCACACGCGTCCGTTGTCGCTCTGACGCAGGTCCGTCGCTGCCGTCAGCGTGCCAGCTCCCGCTTGCTCCACTGCTGCCGCTGCGGACGGTCACGGTGAGCCGCACAAGTTCACCTGTCGCTGCCCCATCGCGTACCGCTGCGCGTGCAGGAGCTGCTGCGCCAGCGCCGATCCGCCGCGTGTCGACACGTCAAGGTGCCGCAGCGTGGTGTTGTCCACCAGCGCCGCCGCCAGGCTCTCCCGCCCACGGTCCGTCAGCCTGTTGCCCGACAGGTTGAGTGACACCAGGAAGCGGTTGTGTCGCAGCGCGTCCGCGATGGCCGCTGCGCCCTCGTCGCCGATGCAGCTTTTCGTGAGAACCAGCGTACGTAGCGTGCATCTGTCGTTCTTCAGTGCAGCCGCGACGTGTTTTGCGCCCTCGTCGGTGATGGCGCTGCCCGAGATCTCCAGCGTGTGCAGCTGTGTCGACTTTTCACGGAAGCGCCGGCCGATGCCGCTCATGAGGTGTTTCATGCTTCCATCGTCGAGCCGAGACACCCTTCGAAGCCGCAATACTCGCAGGTGGCTGCCCTCCGCGAGCCGAAATCCAGCCGCAGCAATCGTTTTGCCTGAAGCCAGGTCCAGCTCCTCCAGCGACTGCATGTCTCCGAGGACGTTGCCGATCGCCTCCACGTCGCCATCCGCGATCTCGTCGCTGTACAGGCTCAGCCGCCGCAGCGTCGCGTTGCCTTCCAACGCCGCCGATAGCTTCGGCACGTCCAGGAAGATATTGCAGTAGTCTTCCCTCTCTTGCGTCAAAACAAGCTCCCGCAGCGTCGTGTTGTTTTGAAGCCCCGACATCAGCGCCTCCGTCAAACTTGCCTGGGTTCCTGGACCGACGTTCAAGGATGTAAGGGACCAGTTGCATGAAAACACCTCCACCGTGCTCCGCTCCATCGCCCGGAACACCGCGCACACGTCACCCGCCTTGAAATTCCCCTTCAATGTCACCCGCTGCAGCTTGTTGCTGCGCAACATCAGCGCCGCAACGTTCTCCCACTCCCCCTCCACGACACCAAGATCATCGTCGTCATCGTCGTCGTCGTAGACGTCGTCGTCGCTCCACAGCTCCAGCGCGTGCAGGTTCGTGGCCTCCCGCAAGTCGTACGGAGACGCGCTGTCGACCATCTCGAGCACCTCGAGGCTCGCCGGCGGAGCGCGCACCGGTTCATCTTCGGCAACATCGCAATTGACCAACCGCAAGCGCCGCAAATGCCTGGCCTGCTCCAGACCGTCCAGAAGCGCGCGCTTCTGCTGTGCGTCCAGATACGTCTGGCCCAGCTCCAGCGTCGTCAGGCAGCGATACTGGCCCATTAGGCACGTCCAGCCCCGCGGAGCCTCGTGGACGCACACGTGCTGTAGCGCCGCCAGGCCACCTATGGCGTCCAGCATGAGCTCACTGCATCCTTCGCTGCTCCAGAACGTCGCGTCCAGGTAGCGCAGGTGCTCCCTCACTGCAGGCATCTTCAGGAGCTGCTGGACCGCAAGCGCCTCCGTGGTGCGGCTGCGATCGCTCGAGAATGGGATGCACAGCCCTCTGACGCGGGCCTCGCAGTCCTTGACCTTGCTCGCCAGCGCCCACACCAGGTCGATCCACTTGCAGTTGTGCGTGTCCGTGTCGTCGCGCGATCGCGGCACACCCTGTGACAGCCTCTGTGTCGCCTCAAGCAGCGCCCGAGCGCCCGTGCCCGGCACCCGCACCCCGCGCAACTCGACGTCACCCATGCACGGCCCGTCCTCAATCTGCCGCGCCAGCACTTGCAGCACCGGGTCGTTTGGGTGGACCCTAAGCACCGCCCTGCACCCGCGCAGCACCGCCTCCAGCGTGCTCCATCGCGTGGCGGCCAGGCTCGCCTTGTCTTCGTCCGGCAGCCTGTCCAGCACGTGCGGCACCACGCGGTCGAACAGCTCGCTCTTTGCGTGTGGCCTCTGCACGCATCAAGGGTGCCGGGGGCGTCAGCCGTCGTGAATACCGTGCAGAAGAAGCGGGCATCGCTGCTATTTGGAAATACATCGAGTCGCAAACAACAACAGACGTCCCATAGAACAGGCGCGTGACTGATTGCGCCGCCTACGTGCGCGCAGGGTGCGTCTGAAAGTAAGGGCTCGCACCATCCTGAGTGCGTGTCGCGTATCCGCACGGTGAATGCGAGGAAGCCTGCCTCAGGACGCGCGGGCTGCGCCCAGACAGAGGCTCGCGCGCCGTGGTACTTGCTTGGCACCGCAGCCGGACGGTGACCCGGGAGAGTGACCGAGCGACGCCAAGAGCGAACCCTTGCTCTGTGTAGCGGGTCCCCGTGCCGCGAGGATCGCCCCTCGCTTCGTCGTGCTCGCGGTGGTCCTGGTGGTTGCCCTGCAGGGTGGTCGGGGGGCCGCCGGAGTGCGTCGGTTCGGTCAACGCGGTGCCGAGCATGCTGTGATCATGCATCTTCGTCAGTCGGCTGTTTTTGCCGTAACAACGTCTCCGGATGCCAGCGGCACTTCGGGAGCATGCGCACCTCTTCCTGAACACGTGCAGAGCCAGCCGAAGACCGCAACCGCACGGCGAGACGCGAGCAGGCGTCCAGGACTGCGCGGGCCGTGCGCGCTCGCGGACTCAACAGCACCCAGGCGTTCGCGCGGGACAACTCGAGGGCCCTGAGCAAGCGAGACCTCTCTCTCGAGTCGCACGCGGTCCAGCCACCACTGGTGCCGCCATCGGGCCCCGCCCGGGCATGTACGAGCAACATCGTTGCACGAACTCGGACCGTCGAGGCGCCCAGCGCTCATATCGAGCTCCAGGAGCCGCAGACTTGTCTCGGGCAAATTCCAGCGCTGGTTCCACGGACCCGGCGCCGCAGATCCCGTTGATTCCTGTGCCAACGCACGACGCGCGTCTCCTCCAGTGCCTCCCCGCCCACGAGCCCCCCGATGCGGCGCGCGTGACGCGGTCCGCCCCCCAAGTGGTGTAGGAGGTGGCGAGGGCCGCCCGCGGATCACCACCGGCCAGCATGCTCCCGCTCCAGCTCGCAGCGGCGGGTTTCGCGGGGCCCGTCGTGTACGGTCTCGGCAGGGCGCTGTTCGGCCGCGGGAAGCGGAAGGAGAAGCGCGATGCAGAGCACAAGGATGGTCGCAGGGGCAGCAGCGCGGTCCCGGGCCTGGACCGCCGCCAGCTGAGCGGAGCGACGCCGTCTCTGAGTCGCGGAGAGAGCCAGGTGGCGGACGCTGAGGACGAGTTCCCGCAGGTGTGCGTCCCCGCAAGGTGACCTACTGCATCACAAGGGCCGGATCCGCCCATCCGCAGCGTTTCCCGGCCGGAGAGCGCGTTTCTTGCGCATGTCTCGTCGTGCTGGTTGCACCGGAGCGTTCGATGCGGCTCTGGGCACCCGTGCGGGGTGCGCGTGCGGCCCGGGGAGCTCTCGCAGCTCCCTGGCGCGCTCCCCTGCTGCCCCCCGCCCGCGCGAGCACACAACAAGGCGCCCCCTGCGCGCACGACGCCGTAAGAGCTGCCTCCGGGCACAGTGACAGCGCTTCCTCTTGCCGGGCGGAAGCTCGGCACCCGCGAGACTGTGTCCGTGCCTTGCGGCCGACGCTGCCCGTTGGGTCCGCCCCCTTTGATGGCCTGCGTCGCGACGACGCTCTCTGATGACGTGGTGACGTTCAGACTGCGCCGATGTGCCCTGAACTCGTCGGGACCCGTCCCTTCCTGACCAGTCCCGTTGTTGCTGTGCGGCGCAGGCCATCGACTGGCACTCGCGCGTGGACTACCTCGAGAGCGACATGCGGGAGGAGCCGCCGGGCGTCCCCGCGACGCTTCCGGGCTGCACGCAGCCGCGGAGCATCTACATGCTGCACTCAGGCACGCGCACCGCCCCCGGACGCACACCCACACTGCCCAACCCTCACACACGCGCACCGCCCTCACCTGCCGCATCTCTCCGCGACCCGCAGGCGCGTCGGAGACGCACATTGTCGCGGACAAGGACCTGGTGCGAACCGAGGAGCCACCGCCGCGGGACGGCGCGGGCACGGACGGCGACAGCGACGCGGAGGACGACGCGACGAGCAAGGCCGTGGTGCCCGCGCCGCCGCGCGCCCAGCCGATCACGACCCTGGAGGACCTCCTCGCGTGGCGGCCGGGGCCGGAGGACGAGGCGCGGCGGGCCACGACGCCGCTCCCGCGCGACCGTGCGTCGGTGGCGCGCATGCGGGGCGGGGACGGCCCGCGGCTGCTGGTGTGCCACGACATGAAGGGCGGGTACCTGGACCAGGACGCGCCCACGCAGGGCAGCCGCGACAGTCGGTTCTACAAGGTGGCGAACTGGGGCCTGGTGGACGCGTTTGTGTACTTCTCGCACGCGCTGGTGACGGTGCCGCCGCCGCACTGGACGAACGCCGCGCACCGCAACGGGGCGCGCGTGCTGGGGACGTTCATCACCGAGTGGGACGAGGGCGCCGCGATCTGCAACAAGGTGCGACCCCGCCGCCCCTCCTCACCCAACACACCCAGCGTCCCGTCGCGCTGCCTCACACGCGCGCCGTCGACGCGGCCCCCGTCGCGCAGGTCTTCGAGTCCAAGGCGTCCGCGGAGATGGTCGCGAGCCAGCTCACGGCCCTGGCCGAGCACATGGGCTTCGAGGGTTGGCTGATCAACCTGGAGAACGACATCCCGCCCACGCTCCTCCGCAACGTGGTGCACTTCCTCTCGCGGCTCCGCGCGCGCATGCGCGCCGTCACGCCGCACTCGCAGGTCCTGTGGTACGACGCGGTGACCGCGGACGGGCGCCTGGACTGGCAGAACACCGTCAACGGGCGCAACGCGGGCTTCTGGGAGGCCGCGGACGGCATCTTCGTGAACTACAGCTGGGCGCCGGGCGACCTTCCGGCGCTCTCGGACCGCCTGGGGACGCCCGCGCGGCGCTCCTCGGTGTACATGGGCGTGGACGTGTTTGGGCGCAACACGCACTACCACGGGGGGCTGGAGACGGGGCGCGCGGTGGCGGCGGCCATGTCGATGGGCCTGTCGTGCGCGATCTTCGCGCCCGGGTGGAGCTACGAGTCGTGCGAGGGCGAGGCCGCGGCGGCGGGGGCGCGCGGGTGGCAGGAGCGCGACGCGCGCATGTGGCGCGGCATCCGCAAGGCGCTCCTGGCGGTGCTGGGGCCCGGGTCGCACCGGCCCGTGAGCACGCGGCTGCCCTTCCACTCGTCGTTCTGCTCCGGGAGCGGGCGCGGGCTGTGGTGCATGGGCGCGAAGGTGTCGGGCCGCCCGTGGTGGAACCTCTCGCTGCAGAGCGTGCAGCCCGTGTGCGGGGCGAGCACCGCGGCGATGCAGCGCCGCGGCATGCGCGACCGCGCGGTCACGCACGCGCTCCAGGCGCGCATCTCGCACAGCGTCGCGTACCAGGGATCGTCCGCGCTCCAGATCACGGGCCGCCTGCCCCCCACCGCGCGCGCGGAGCTGCCGCTGTTCCCCACCGCGATCCCGCTGCGCGGCGTGGAGGGCTCCCGGCGCGCGCCGTGGGACACGGGCTCCTCGTCGCCGACGCCCCGGCAGCTGCTGAGCCCGGGCGGGGACAAGCAGGAGCTCTCGGGGCTGGTGGCGAGCTACACGGCGCTGCTGACGGAGACGCGCGACGTGTGGCTGCTCCTGTGGGTGTCGGTCGGGGGCGAGGAGAGCGAGTACGGGGACGCCGCCGCGGCGGAGGACGCGCGGCGGCGCCCGGGGCAGTCGCACGCGCCGTGGCTGCCGCGCGGCCTCAAGCTGGTGGTGCTGCGCGGGCACTCGGACGCGGACGCGGACGCGCTGGCGCCGCAGGGGTGAGCGCACGCACGCCGCTGCCCCGTGACGCGCGCACGCCGCCGCGCTCGCGCGCTGCGCACGGTCTCACGCGTTGTGTGCTTTTGTCTCGCGCAGGGGACGCCGCACGGGCGGCACGCTGGACGGGCTGGAGCGGCTGTCGGAGGCGGACGAGGGTCTGTGGCACGACGGCGGCTCGATCGCCGCGCACAGCCTGGGGTTGTCCAACGGGGACTCGGCGACCCCCCCCGCGTACGAGTCGCCGTACGAGTCAGACGTGTGCCCGTCCGACTGGACCGACATCTCCTCCCCGACGGAGATCGGGTCGCGGTTGAGTCGCGGCGACGTCGACTCGGGCGTGTCCGAGTCCGAGGCCCCCGCGACGGAGCGCGAGCCCACGTTCGCCATCCGCCAAAACAGCTTCCACCACCACCACCACCACCATCACCACCGCCACACCCACCACGGGGAGCACCAGCGCGGCGCGCTGGCCTCGCCGCCGGCCAACAGCGCGACGGAGCACGCCCACTCGCAGCTCGGCGGCGTGTCGGGCCTCCGCAAGCAGCGCTCCTTCTCGCTGCCCAACGACACCCTGTACTGGCACTCGCTGCCGGACGCGCAGTGCGTGGCGCGGGACGGGTCGCGCGCGGCCTTCTCGCCGTCGGGCACCTCGGAGCTCGGCGCCCCGCGCGCGGTCGCGCGCACGCTCGGCGAGGACCTGCGGCGCATGCAGAGCAGCACGCTGGGGCGCGTGGTCACGTCGTACAGCGCGGGGCAGGACGCCAAGCGCAAGGCCGAGGAGAACCTCCCGCTCGCCGCCTGGGTCACGCGCGCCTACCGCATCTCGCCCGCGGCGCTCCGCGCGGCGCTGGAGCTGCCCCCCGGCAAGAGCCTGGCGCAGTGCACTATCCGCGGCATCGGCGTGGCGTGCGTGACGCTGCCGCAGCCGGGCGAGCCGCGGGACCCGTTCGCGGTGGACATCACCGCGCAGGACCACTCGGCCTTCGCGGCGTACCTGGGCAGCGTGAGCATCTTCGAGGCCGGGCGGCTGCTGCCGGCGTCCGTCATGGGCGCGGGGACCATGCCGGGGCCGCTCGCCGGCGCGGTGCGCGGCGAGCAGATGGTGCCGGTGCCGCGCGTCGACTGCCAGGACACGACCGTGGTGCTGCGGGAGAAGAAGCCGTCGAAGAAGAAGCAGCGCCAGGCGGAGCGCGAGGCGCTGCTGGCCTCGGAGGAGCAGAGCGCGCCCGCCGCGAGGCCGGCCGTCAAGCACGAGGTCGACTCGCTGTTCCTCAACACGCTGCGGCCCGACGTGCGCGCGTCCGCGAGCGGCGCAGGCTGGGACAGCGACACGGGCGTGGGCCGCGGCTCACCGCACCGCCGGGCGCCGCCGCACGCGTCGGTTAGCGGGCGCCGCGAGTCCGCGTCGGGTGCGGCGGGGGGCGGCACGACGCGCCGGTCCGTGACCGGGCGGGACGCGACGCCCCTGCGCGAGTCGCAGGCGGGGGGGGCGGGCGACGCCACCGCGCGGCGCGACACGAGCACGGCGGGCATGATGATCACCCCGACGGGCCTCGCGTTCCCGCAGGCCGCGCTCCTGCCGCCCCGCCCACGCACCAGCGTCAAGACGGCGGAGGTCGAGCAGGGCCCGTCGTCGCACGAGCTGCCCGAGCTGTCCGGCAGGAGCGCCGTTGACCGCCCGCCGGCCCTGCACACGCGGACGCGCGCGCTCGCGCGGCATGCCCGACAGCAGTCCCGCGACAGCTTCACGGGTGACGGTGGCGAGTCCGTCGCGCCGGCGCCGGCCCCCCACCGCCTGGGGGTGTCGTCGACCGCGCAGGCCCCCCAGGCGGCGCCGCGGAAGCTCGAACCGCACCTGTCCACGGTGCTGCGCTGGTCGCTGCCGCAGGACGGCTGGCACGTCGCCGCCGACGTCCCCGGCACGGTCCTGGAGTCGTTCCGGCAGATGTCGAACCCGTCGACGTCGCGGCCGCTGGGGTCGCCGTACGGCAACTCGGAGCCGCGCGCCGGGGACGAGGACGCGTCGCGCATCGACTTCACGCGCGTGGTGCGGTGCTACGTGTACGCGTTCCAGGGCGCGGCGGTCACGCGCGAGGACAAGCGGATGGCGCTGGCGGCGCACGCGCTGAGCTTCTGCGTGCGCGGCGGGCAGCCCGGGTCGCGCGTGCTGCGGTACGGCAGTCAGCGGCGGCTGGGTGCGACGCCCGTGCACGGCCCGATGTCGCTGTCCGCGCCCCGGAGGAGCCCGTCGTCCCTGCGCAAGCAAAAGAAGAAACCGGCCGGGTACGCCGAGGCGTACTCGATGCGGCCGGAGAGCAGCAGGCACAGCACGCCGGGGAACGACGCGTCATCGCGGAACCCGGGGCGCCGCTGGTTCGACAAGGAGGCTTCGCGGCTTGGCGGGGAGCCGGCACAGTCCCCGCAGGCAGGACAGCGCGCGACGTCGCCGGGAGCCTACGCCGAAAACGCCCCGCAACCGCCGCCGCTGGTGCCGGAGCCTCCCGCGGCGCCCGAGCTCGCGCCGTGGGAGGCGGACACGGCCCCGCCGGAGGCGCCGCCCGTGCAGGTGCCATCATCGTCAGCGCAGCCGCTGGGCAACGTGGTGGACATCGTGACGCAGGCGTCGGTCGTCAGTCAGATCACCAGGGCCTCCATGGAGGAAATCGCGGCCGAGTCTGCGTCGGAGGGCCGCGTGTCCGTCGACCTGAGGCTCTCGCCGGGCGACGACGACCACGTGCAGGTGCAGATGCTCGAGGAGGGGCATCCGCCGGGGGGCGCGGAGGCGCCGGCGCACGCGAACGAGTCGCAGGCGCCGCCGCAGGAACTGGTGCTGAGCCCGGAGCGCAGCCGCTCGGACTCCGGGCAGGACCGCCCTGGTCCGCGCAAGGGCGTGCGGCGGTCCGTGATGTCGGCGGCCGGCGTGCACCCGCTCTCCGCGGACGCAAAGCACGCGCCCCTGGCCATCCCGCCCAAGGTGCGCCGCTTCTCGCCCGCGCGCGCACCCTAACCCCGTCCGCTCTCCCCTTGCTTGCATGTCGCGTCCCCGCACCTCACGCGTCGCCCACCGCGCTCTTCCGCGCTCGCAGGGCCCGAACGGCGAGAAGGTGACGTTCCTGGGCGTCTCGCACTCGGACCGGTTCGTCGTGGAGGGCCTCAAGCTGCTGCCCGGGTCGCGCTCAGTGGTGTTCGTGGTGCAGCCCGAGCTCGAGTCGGGGCACATCATCGACCTCGAGGCCTGCCCGCGGCTCCTGGTGGACGTGTCCACGGTGGCGCCGCCCGCATCGCCGAAGAAGAAGGCGGCGGTCCCCACGCAGGCGCGCGGGGGGCGCCGGTCGGTGGACTTGGCACGCAAGGCGGGCGCTGCGGCCCCCGAGCGGCTGTCGATGAGCGAACGTCCGGACTTCGTCCTCAAGGTCTGAGTGGGAAGCGAATTCTTCAGCGGTGCATGGAAGAGACCCTGGTTGCTTCAGTTCAAAGATGTCTGTAACAGTTCCGCCGCGAACGGGCGGGGTTCAGCGGAGCACTCTCGCAGCAGCCCCTGGAGGCTGTGTCGATGTGTCCAGATCGATGTGCCCAAATGCATCTACGCGTCCTGCGCCCGGTCGCTGCCTGTCTCGCCGGCCGGTGGCGGCTGCGGTGCACCTCCCGCCGACTTGCCCTGTTTCAGCCTGGCCATCCTGCGCCGCACGTACTCCTCTCGCAACCGCTTCCTGCGCTCGCCCTCACTGGCACCGCGCCCCGACCCTTGCGCTTGCACCTTTGCCCGCGCTGCACAACAACAGCACACGACACGCACTCCGGATCGAACCACGCGCGAGGTGCACGACGTTCCCGCGCAGACAGAGACCATGCGCTCTGTTCCGCGCACGTGCCACGGCAGGTTCGCACCGAGCTCCGTCTCCTTTGCTTGCCGCAGAATCTCCTCACGCATCCCCACCCTCTCGCCCCCCCGCGCGGCCCCACCGCCCGCCGCCCACGTCTCTCCGCCCCCGTCCGCGCCCGGTCTCAGCGGCGCGTCGGCCGCCCACGTCGCCGGCGCCGGACCCGCACCTGCACACACGGCCACACTCGCGCCGTCGCACACCGCCCTTGCAGCCGCGCGCCACGCTGGAACGTGCAGCGGTGCGTCGCATCGGCAGCTCCCCGTCCACGCACCTGCGCCGTCCTCGTCCTCCAGGTACCCCTTGCGCACGAAATCGACGTTGCATGCGTCCTCGGGGAGGTCCGCGGTGCCAGCGGCGATCGCGTCGTACATCTGCGCCTTGCGCCGCAGGATCTCCTCCGTCGTCGCGGAGTCCGGCCGCTCCGCCTCGTGCGCCTGCCGGTCCCTCTCTGCGACACAGCGGGAGCAATCATTGCTGCCGGTCAATGGGACGCCCAGAGGCATGATTGCGTGAGCCTGGCGAGGTCGCAAGCGCCATGTGCGCGGCTCGTCGCCCGGAGCGGCGTGCGCCGCCCCGCGCCCCGCCGCGCCCCCCGCACCTGCCCTCTCCTGCACGCCGCGGTTCTGGGCAGCGAGCGGGTCCTTCTTGGCCCTCGCGCGCGCCCTGGCCTCCGCGGCGTCGATCCCCCGCTCCTTGCGGTCTCTGCGGAGCGCGTGCCGCGCGAAAGATGCAGAGTTCGGACGGACCGGCGGCGCAGGCGCGGCAGAAGCGAGCTAGGCACCAGGAGCACTCGCGCGGCGCTGCCATCGCGGAACAGGGCCGCTTGCCTGCGTTCGTCCAGCGAGCGATACACCTGTGCTTGCAGGTCCGCTATCGAGGTGTCAGTGACGCCCGTGATGGCCTGTGCCTCCCGCGTGACCGCGCTCCCCCCCGCCAACCATCCCAGACTCTCAAGCTGCCCTCGGAATACGCGGTCCTGCGTCGGCGCCGCCGGGGGCGCCCGGGCTTCTCCCTGAGCGCGAGGCTTCTTCGACGCGTCGTCGCCCCTCGCATCTGCGCCGTCCCGCGGTCGCTTGGGCTGCATCCCTCAGCGAGCAATCGAGTCCCGGGAGCTGCGGCCATGAGCGCGGTCGTAGGGGGGCGGAGCGCCGCGCAGCGCCGCGTTGCAGTGCGCACACTGGGCCCGGGCGCGCACCGGTGGTGGGGGCGCAGGAGTGTCTGAGGCCTCTTTGCGCCTCTCTGCCTCCGGGGCGCGGTGATTGCACGTTCCAACTAAGCACTTCCGCACATACGTGTGATTCTTCACCATGAGTTTGCTAACCGGGCACTTCCGCATGCTGTGGAGACCACTCTGCGACGGTCAGGCGAGTGCTGGATCCATCCAGCACCAAGCGTGCTTGCGCCGCGCCGCGCGAGCCCGCGAGAAAGGAAGGAAGGTTGCAGTTCCCACGGCGATGCGGTACACCCGCGTCCGGGCTGGCAACGGTGTCCGTGGGCGGCGGAACCGCGGGGCGCGCAGCCCTGCGCTCAGCACGGCGTCCACCGATGTCTGCGCCGCGGAGTGTCGCGTATCCGGACTCGGAACGTCGCCGCGCTTGCACTCACGCCGCAGTCGCCGGCCCCACGCCAGCCGCCAGGCCAATGTGTCGCGCCGGGGCGCCACGGGCGCCCCTCGTGCCAGGCGGGGCGTGCGTCCAGTCCTCCGGGAGGCTGCGGGCGCGCCTGCGCGGGGCCTGCCGCGCGTCTTGCGTGCGCGGCCCCTCCACGCCGCGCCAGTGATCGCATCACCGCGGACGCCCCCCCCTGACAGAGGCGTGGCATGCGGCTCTCGCAGGGAGAGCAACCAATTGTGCAGGCAGGCTTTTGAACGCACCACGCCGCCCAGCATGGCCTCCCGGGGCCTGGCGCTGCTCCAGCGCATCTCCGCGGCGTATAAGAGCGAGCTCGAGGCTCTCGGCGACCCGGCCGAGCTCGTGCGGTCCCAGGAAGCGCGCGACGCGGTCGCTGAGGTGCGCCTGCTCGCCCTGCAGATACCGCCCCCGCGGGGGGCGCGCAGCTGCGTCTCGACAGCGCAGGCGCCTTGTGAGGATCCGCACGAGGCGGCTCGGCGGGGTTCGCGTGCCGTGGCGCCCCTGGGGTGCGCCAGCGCCCGCCTGGCACCGATTGCTCAGCGCTGCCCGGCACACCCTCGAGGAACGCAGGCGAGCCTCGCACCCGGCGACGTCGACGCGGCGACTTCGCTCACAACCCGGGACTGGACGGATGCGGGGCAGAGCGGCGTCAAGTTCGGCGCGGTCGGGCGCGTGTTGACGGCCTGCGTCTACGTAGGTGCACCGGAGAGGAGGTGCGCGCGGCCGCCGCACAGGGGGCGCGGGACACCGCGAGTCGCATTTCTGCGACGCACGCTCGTTCGACGTACTGCCGCTCCCACTCGCGCTCTCAGCTGCCCGCGGTGCGGCGCTCACTCGGCCGCCCGTCTGTTGCGCGCTCGGTTGCAGGGCGCTTGGCGCGGCCGTCTACCTGGGCCTGCTGTCGTCCGAGAGCTGCCCGTCCGCGACGCTCCACGACGAGTTCGCCCTCCAGGGCATCATGTCGCTGATCACCGAGGCCGCCCGGCAGGCCCCTGCCAAGCGAGGCCAGCCCAAAAAGGCACGTCCCCCTCCGCCCGTGGACACGCACGAAGCGCGACTCACGCACGTCGCCCCGGTCCGCGGCTCGCGCTCTACGACACCATGACGCGTCGCTCGCCGGCCCGAGCGCCGCTGTCACGGCGAGCGCTGGAGCGATTCAAGATGCCGCCGCGGCGCGAGCGTGAGCGGGCGGGGCACCGCGCCCGCGCCGCCGAGGCGCAGCCCCCTCCGCGTGCTGCGGCGGCATCTCGGATCGCTCCGTAGCGCCGCGGCGAGCGGACACAACGTCCTTGAAGTTCCAACAACAAGGCACTGACGGGAACCAGGGCCGCGATGCCCCCAACGCGTGGTGCAGGCGAAAGGGAAGCAGGCGCGGCGCGAGGACGACATGGACGTCGACGCGGAGGGCGCGCCCGGCAGCGACGCGGAGGGCGACCTCCCCGCGGCCCCCGCCGGCATGCCCGCGGAGCACCTGCCCAGCGTCCTCGCGCACCTGCCCGGCGCACTCGCGCGGCTGTCGTTTCGCGGCCGCGAGGACGCGCTGCGGCAGCTGTGCGGGGCGCTGCTGGAGGCCGGGTTCTCGCCCGCGGCGCCGGCGGGGGCCACGGCGCTGGCCTTCGCGGGCGTGGAGCAGCTGGCGCACGAGCGCAACGGGCAGCTGGAGGAGGTCCTGGTGCAGATCTTCTACCAGCTGTCGTCGACGATCCTCGGGGTCGTGCCGGGCGCCGCGCGCCGCGCGACCGGCGCGCCCCCCGCGGCCGCACGCCGTCAAGCGGTGGCCATGGCGAAGGGTGCGCACGGGCCCGCGAGCACGCGCCCGCTCGAACACGCACACGAGAGGTGGCGCCGTCTGACCGCCACATCACCCGTCCCCGCCGTGCAGGTATCGCCCAGCGGTCGCCTGCGTCCCACGCCGCGGTGGCGGGCCTCGCACGGCACCTGTGCCTCAAGTGCCCGGACCGCGCGGACGCGCGCAGCGCCGCCGTCGAGGCGGTGAGCTCGCTCGCGCAGGCGCTGGGCTGGCCGGACCGGCTGCGTCTGATCGTCTTCATCGCCAAGCTGTCGCGGTCCGCGGAGGCGGCGCAGCGGGCCATGGCCGTCGACCTCGCCGCGGAGATCCTCCTGAACTTCCAGGGCTGCTTCGACGCGCCGCCCGAGGCGGACGAGCCGGCCTCCGCGGCGCCCGCCCGCACGCCGGGCGGCGCCGCAGCCACCCCCGCCGCCAGGGAGGGCCCCGCGGACGCGCCCGACGCGCCATCGCCGGGCCTGACCCCGCTGGGCTCCGCGTCGGTGCGGCAGGCGCTGCGGACGCCGAGCACGGTCCGCACGCCCGGGCCGGACTCGGCCGCGGAGCCCGTGCCGGTGGGCGTGGTGTGCCTGGTGGTGCTCGCGCAGCGGTGCTCCGACAAGAACGGCGCGGTGCGGGCGCGCGCGGTGCAGCAGCTGGGCACGGCCGTCACGGAGCTGGCCGACGCCGGGGCGCCGCTGCTCCGCCGCGCGCTGGCGTTGGCGCGCAAGGTGATGCGGGAGGGGTCGGGCGGGCTGGGGAGCGCGGTGCGCACCACGGGCGGCACGGCGACGATGACGGTGGCGGCGACCGGCGCGACGGGCGGGGGCGAGGGCGACGCGGCGCTCGCGGGCGCGCAGGTGGCCGCGCTGCTGCGCATGGCGGGGCGGCGGGTCTGCGACGGCCGCGGAGGCGTGCGCAAGTCGGCGCTGCACCTCCTCCGCGGCCTGCTCATCATGAAGCGCGCGCTCGCCGACGCGGACGACGCGGCCCTCGCGCCCTCCGCGGACGACGCCGCCGCGCTCGCCACCGCCGCCACCGACCCCCTCATCACCGTCCGCAAGGCCGCGCTCGCCGCCGCGGCGGAGCTCACCGTGGCCTTCCCGGGCGCGCCCACGTGCGCGGAGGCGCTCGTGCGCGTCGTGGTCTCCATGGCGGGCGACCCCGAGGCCTCGGTGCAGGACGCCGTGAACGCGGCCCTCGACGCGGCGCTCTTCCGCGCGGTGGCCGCGAAGAGCCCCGGGCCCGCGGAGACGGACGCGGCGCTGCAGACACTCGCGGGGATCTCGCGGCTGGGCCCGCCCGCGGCGAACGCGGTCGCGCGGGTGCTCCGCGGGCGCAAGCTGGCCAAGACGCTGGGGGCCAGGGGGCTGTGCCGCGGGCTGGCGCGGCTGCTCGAGGAGACGGGCCGCGTGGGCGCGGGCGCCGCGGACGCGCAGAACGGCGCGTGGGTGTGCATGGCGGCGCTCGCGGAGCTCGAGCCCGGGTGCACGGACGGCGCGCGGCTGCAGGCGGAGCTGGCGACGCAGCGGGCGGCGTGGGCCGAGGCGCAGCGCGGCGGCGGGACGTCGGCGCAGGCGCTGCACGTCGGGCGCATCATGAGTCACGTCCTGCGGTGCGTGGCGGCGAGCGCGGGGTCGTTCGGCGCGCAGGACGCGGCGGAGGTGGCGGCGGGGATCTTCAAGTCGCTCCTGGGGCTGTCGCTGCCGCCCGCGGCGCTGGCGGCGCACGTGGGGGCGCTGGCGGGGCTGTGCCGGGCGTCGGTGGGGGCGGAGGGGTCGAAGGTGGCGCTGGAGCGCGCGATGGCGGAGTGGACGGGGGGGGTGTTTCGCGCAGTGGAGCAGGCGCTGGAGGCGTACTCGACGCTGCTGCGGGACGCGGGGACGCCCCGCGGGTTCGACGAGCGGGAGGAGCGTGCGGCGTACGCGATCTTCGTGCTGGGCGAGGTGGCGCTGCAGGAGGGCGTGGCGGTGCCGTCGCGGCTGTCGGTGCTGGCGCAGAGCCTCACCGCGCGGCGCGTGGTGTCGCGCGGGGGCGGCGACGGGCTGGGCGGGCACGTCTCGGCGCGGATCCAGGCGTTCGCGTACGTGTGCGTGGGCAAGCTCGCGATGCGCGACGCGGTGCTGGCGCGCAAGATGGTCCCGCTGCTGGTGCAGGAGATGAGCGCGTCGCACGCGCCGGCGGTGCGCAACAACATCCTGGTGGTGCTGTGCGACCTGTGCACGCGGTACACCGCGCTGGTCGACGCGCACGTCCCGCGCCTCGTCGCGTGCGTGCGCGACCCCTCGGAGGTCATCCGCCGGCAGGCGCTGGCGCTGCTCGCGCGGCTGCTGCTGGCCGACTACGTCAAGTGCCGCGGCGCGCTCTTCCAGCAGCTCCTGCTCGCGCTCGTCGACGACTGCGCCGACGTCCGCGAGCTCGCCTCGCACCTCCTCACCGAGACCCTCGCCGCGCGCACCCCCCAGCTGGCGTACAACCACTTCCTCGAGGCGCTCCTGCACATGAACGGCGCCGCGGCCGAGGCGGACGACATCGTGCAGACGCAGACCGTCGAGCAGGAGGCCGGCGGCGGGTTCGTCGCCGGGTCCATGTCCGCGGGCGGCGCGTGCGTGGAGGGGCCCTCGGAGCGCGCGCGGGGCAACCGCCGGCGGATCCTGGCGTGCCTGCTCGACTGCATGGCGCCGGAGCAGCGCGTGGAGACGGCGCTGCGGCTGAGCCGCGAGGTGCTGTCGCGCGCGGCGGAGGGCGGGCTCGCGGTGGCGGGCCACGAGGAGCTGCTGCGCGACACGCTGCACGTGCTGGTCGAGGGGCGGTGGCAGGTCGGGGCGCAGCGGCGCGGCGCGGGGACCGCCGGGGACGACGCCGCGGACCCGGAGGCGGCGGCGGCGGCGGAGGTCGCGGCGGGCGGCGGCGCGCAGCAGATTGCGCGCGCGGTGGCGCAGGCGGGCGAGCGGGTGCGCGGGCAGGCGCTCGCGCTGGTCGTGCGGCGGTACGTGCTCGAGCACACGCTGCCGGCGCTCGGCGGCCTCCGCCAGCGCCTCGCGGACATGCAGCACCCGCTCCAGGGCGAGCTCCTGCGCAGCGCGGCGGCCATCCTCAGGGAGTACCGGTCCGAGGTGGACGAGCTGCTGGCGGGCGACCGGGAGTTCGCGTGCGAGCTGCGGCACGAGATGGCGCGCGCGGACCGCGAGCGCCAGGGCGCGGAGCGGGCTCCGGAGGCGGCGGCGGCGGCGGCTCCTGAGGCGGCGGCGGTAGCGACCGAGACGGCGGCGGTGACGCCTGCTGCGCGGACGCCGGCAGCGAAGTCGCCGAAGACGCCCGTGGGAGTGACGCCGGGGCGGACGCCGCTGGCGGCGTCGGTGCTGTCGAACGGGGCGAGCGCTGTGTCGACGGGAGGCGGCGGTGGCGGCGCAGCGACTCCGCAGCTGACGGTGCCGCGGACAGCACGGAAGACGCGGCGCGCGTAGAGGGTCGTTGTAACGTCGTCGGCTGACGCGCAAACTTGCTGGTTGTTGTCAAAGAAGGAACACGTGGTGCATAACCGCTGGTGGTACAGTGCAAGCCGCAATGACGGCGCTCCATCCGAGACCGCACGCGGCCCTCGCCCACAGGGCCCGCGCACCGCCGTGCGCGCAGCAGTGCTTCCTGAGCTGGCGCAACAGTCGGCCCAGGGTCTTCGTGCCACCCCCCTCCAGGCGACATTGGCTCCTGCCGCGCATTCCTGTGCAGCAAATTCCTTGTCCTTCGCTCACTCTTGCGCCACAAGATCCGGTGAATCGAGGGCGCGGCTTTTCGCCCTGCTGCCATAGCTCTCTCTCTTGCGAGGTCTCCCCGTGCGGCGCTTTCATCGCGCCACCGAGGGGGGCAGCTCCGAGCGGCACTGCCACGCTGGAAGAACAGCGTCGGTCTGGGGCAACGTCGGCGACCTTTGCCTCCTGACAACGCCTCACGGGCCACGACCGAGCCCCACGCAGCGCTCTGAGGCAAGCTCCGTTGCGTCGTCACTGAGGAGGCGTGATGGTCCAGGTGCGCCGCAATTCGAAATCACGCATCCACTGATTCGATTGGGGGCGTTTCCAGCCTCGCAGCGCCCTGCCTGCGCAAGAGGGGCCCGTTCCCGCGCCCCAGCGGGCATATTCGTGGGTGGCCAGACGTCGCTCCACATGCGGTGCGGCAGGCGTAGCTCGCGCTTTTCGGGCATGTCCGATCAGTCGCCGGAGATCCCTGTCTTTCTCGTCTCCTGTCGCGGCCGTTGTCGTCGCAGAGTGCGCAAGTTGTGCTGTCTGCTTCGTAGCGACGCCTGTGCCCCCTGCGCAACACATGCGATGTCCACTTGCATGTCTCGCTGCGCCGCTGGCATGGATACCAACGATCCCATCCCTCCTGGGACCTGAGCATTTCCGCTCCGGCCGTGCTGACCCAGATGGAATAGCAACCACCTCTGCGAGTGAGTGCGATGCCGCCCGTCGACGGGTCCGCTGACCGCAGGGGGGCGATCTGAACGGCGTCAAGGCTGCGTTCGACGCCGCCATTCAGTCGATCGTTGAGGCGCACACGCCGACGATCGCTGTGGGCGAACACGACGAGCCTCCTCTCCGCACGCCTCTGCCGCGCTTCCGCGACGCCCAGACGGCCTCGTCGAGTTGGAACGCCGGCAGCCCAGCTCCTGCGTCGCCGCTCACACCCCAGGGCCAGCCACGCGCCTTCGCGTCCTGAAATCCTGGCGCGCCGCGCCTGCTCGCTGCCGGCGACCCTTCTCCGCCCGCGGCAGCCTGGGATGCGCAGCATTTCTTACAGCAGCCGTTCCTATGCAGATGACAATTGTGGTGGGGGGGTGGGCAGTGATCAACGGCGAGCAGATATCGCGGCGTGCATCGTGTCTGCACTATTGTATTCCCGGGTCGCGGCGCCGCCGTCCGCGCCCGGCAGCCCGCCCTCACGTCCCTCCCTCGCTCACCACGGGTGGCAGCGAGGGCGCCCCGCCGTTGCGCCCCACCGAGTCCGCCGCGGTCCGCCCCGCCTCCTCCTCGCCCTCCAGGTCCTCCTTGATCGAGCGCTTCATCGCCCCGGAGCTCTTCTGCTTCGACTGCAGGCTCCGTTCGCTCTCGCCCGACATGTGACTGCGCGTCCCGGTGTGCCCGCTGGCCCCCAGGCGCGTGGCCATCTCCGCGAGCGCCTGCGCCTCCTCCTCGTCCGCCTTCTCCTCCTGCGCCCGCAGCGTCGCGATGCTCTGCAGCAGCATCACGTTGCCCCGCGGCCCCTTGCCCGCCAGCACCATCTTGCGGTACAGGTTGCTGAAGTTGCTCCCGATGACCGTGATGGGCAGCGCGATGACGAGCACGCCGAACAGCATCACCAGGCTCGCGATGGCCTTCCCGTACCAGTACCGCGGCACCACGTCGCCGTACCCGACGGTCACCATGGTGACGATGCACCACCAGAACGACGCCGGGATCGACGTGAACGGGCTGGGCTCGAACAGCTCGAAGCACGAGTCGTTCCGGCGGTACTGGTACTCGCAGGCGAACTCCGCGGCCTGCGCGCTGATGCGGTTGGTCAGCACGCAGTGCGACAGCCGGGCGCGGATGTAGGCCTCGTCCAGCGGCTCGCTCCCGGCGAGCTGGACGGTGATGTCGCACTGGTACGCGAACCGGCGCTTCCACATGCGCATCTCCGCGTCGTACTTGCCGCGCTCGGCGTAGTAGATCAGGCTGGAGAAGAGCACGGTGCCCAGCGACACGAAGAAGATCAGCATGTACAGCGGGCGGCTGGACTTCTGCATGGTCTTCCCGAAGAGCGCGAGCGTGCCCTGGGACATCTTGAAGAGCCGGAACACGCGCACGAGCCGCACGACGCGCAGGCCCTGCATGCCCGGGATGTCGGTGCCGTTGAGGGCCAGGTCGATGTAGAAGGGGAGCACGGAGACGATGTCGATCCAGTTCATGAGCTTGCGGAAGTAGTCCGGGACCGAGGGCGTCGTGAGCAGGCGCAGGAAGATCTCGACGGTGAAGATGGCGATCGAGACGGCCTCGAGGAGGTAGAGCGGGGAGGTGCGCTGCTCCGACTCCTCCTTGAACTGCGGGAACGTCTCCAGGCAGAACGTGATCGTGCTGATGACGATGAACAGCATGATGAAGATCGTCAGCCACCGCGCCGCCGAGCTGCTCGCGGGGTCGTCCAGCATCAACCACAGCGGGTTGCGCCACTGCGCCCCCCACCGCGCCCGCCACGCGTCCTCCGGGTCCTCCTCCGCCCCGTCCTTGCCCTTCTCGTCGTCGTCCGTCTTGCTCTGCGCGACACGAGGGGGCGGAACCCGTCGGCGCCGCACGCACCGGCGCGGTGCCAGACCCAGCAGCAGTGCGAGGAGCAGCGCGCAACGGGGGGGGGGACCACGCACGTCGCCCCCGTCCAAGCTATCTCTCGCCGATACACCGTCGCCCTCCGCCCCCGAGTCCGACCGTCGCGCCAGCATGAGCTGCCGTTTCGACATGAGGTGCCGCTCGAGCTGCCGCTGCTGCTCCTCTTGCCGCATCAACTGCGCGAACGACACCGCGGGGGGCGCACGGGGGTGACGAGGCAGAATGGCGTCCGCTGCGCCGCGCGAGCACGGCGGGACGGGCGCGCCCCCGGCGCACGCGCGCCATCCGTTGGCCTGTTGAGCATGCAGCCAGGTGCCCGCCCGGCGCTTCCCGGGCGGCTGCGGCGCCGGCCGCGGGCGCTGCGCCGCCCCGGGGCCCCAGCAGCCGCAACGCGGTCGCGCGTGCCCCGGGGCCGCGCGCGCGGGGCGCCGGGCGCCGCGCGGGCCCCTGCGCTGGGCCAGCATGCAGGTCTGCGCGCTGCGGGGCGCGCGGGGGACGCACCTCGAGCGCCCTCGTGCGCTCGTACGTGCGGTACTGCTCAGTATCGCGCTGCCCCAGGCGCCCCGTCTCCTCGGTCCGCAGTTCGACCGAGGACCCGGGCACCAGGTCGTCGAGGCTGAACCCCTCGTAAAAGGTGCCGAACGCGGGGTGCTGGAGGTAGAAGTCCGTCGACACCACGTTGTCCGTCACCGAGAGGTTGAACTCCGCGACGAACAGCCGCAGGAGCCCGAACCACCCGCTGTGGCGCGCCCACACAGCCCTGCGCACATGGTTTCCCGCCCGCAGGAAGAGCAGCACGTCCTCCCTGCGGCCGTCCCCGGCCTCCCGCGCGCCGTTGCGGCTGCTCTCGTCCGTGCGGAAGGTCCCGCGGGGCTCCTCGTGCCCGGACGCGGTCGCGGCGTTCCCCGCCGTGGACCGGGGCTGCCTCCACCGGCCTTGCCCGGCGGGGGGCAGGTCCGTGGAGAACCGCCCGGCCTGGTTGCGGCCCGCCGTTATCGCGATCATCTAGCTCCGCCGCCCCTCCATCCGTCTCGCACGGCCGCTCTCTGCCCGCCGCGCCGCGCGCGCCGCCCCGTTGGCTCGAAGACGATTGCCGCGGGACACCCACACCCCCCCCTGGCGCGCCCACAGCAGGCCTCAGGGGCTCCTGGCGCGCGCCCGCGTCTGCACATACCGGCCTCGCGCCGCTCGCGTGCGTATCCGCGCCGCTCGCCCCGCCGAAGCGCCCGCGCGGCCCGGTCTGAGGCTCCACCATTGCCGCCTCGCCGTCTCGCTTGCGGGGCGGCACAGCGAGAGCGGTCTGCGGTCCGCGGACGACGCAGGTCGTAGCGACGCCGTCGTCGTCGGGCAGCGCGTGCGGAGGGGCGCTGCTGCCGCCGTGGGGCGCTGAGCTGCCAGAGCTGTGTCGGTGACGCTGGGGCGGGATGTCGGGGAAGGAGCAGGGGAAGGATGACATGGGCGGACAGAGCCCGGCCATGGACCCGCAGGCGCTGCAGAAGATGGTCGAGCGGCAGCTCGATCTGAACGTGAGCGCCCCGACCGCTGCCCCGCCGCCACGCCCGCGCCCCGCAGCCGCAGCCGGGGCCCCCGCGCGCAGCTCGCGCGTGCGCACCGCGCGACTCAGTTGCGAACCTCGGCACGGAGCTGGACCGCTGCCCCTGTCCGCCGCCCCGACGCCCGTAGCCCGCCAGTTGCCTCTTTCAGGCTGCACCGCTCGCACCGCGCAGCTGCGAGCGCGGCCGGCGGCGGCGACGCGCCCCGCGCAACATCGCAGCGTATCCCAGCGCGCGAGCGCTTGTATCGCCGTCCTAGTCGCCGCGGCGCCGAAGCCCGGGAGCGTGCAGCTGGAGCGCGCGCCTCCTCGCCGCCCGCCGCCCGCCGCCCGTTCCGCGCGGGCCGCCCCCTCACGGCCGGCCACGCACGCGTCGTCCTGGTCGCGCAGGCGGGGAACAAGAAGGACACGAAGGACAAGTACGCCTTTTGGGAGACGCAGCCCGTGGCGCAGTTTGGCGCCAAGGGCGGGGTGCCGCAGGACGGGCCGATCGACCCGCCGAAGACGATCAACGACGTCCGCGCGGAGCCGATCAAGCTCCCCGCGCCGTTCGAGTGGTGCGACTGCGACCTGCGCGACGAGGCCGTCACGCAGCAGGTGTACGACCTCCTCGCGAGCAACTACGTCGAGGACGACGACAACATGTTCCGGTTCGACTACTCCCCGGAGTTCCTGCGCTGGGCCATGATGCCCCCGGGCTGGCGGACCGACTGGCTCCTCGGCGTGCGCGACGCCCGCACGCAGAAGCTCCTGTCCTTCATCAGCGCCATCCCGCAGCGCATGCGCGTGCGCGAGCACAGCGTGCCGATGGTGGAGATCAACTTTCTGTGCGTCCACAAGAAGCTCCGGTCGCGCCGCCTCGCGCCCGTGCTGATCAAGGAGATCACGCGGCGCGTCAACCGCACGGGCGTGTGGCAGGCGGTCTACACGGCCGGCGTCGTCATCCCGAAGCCCGTCGCGGTGTGCCGGTACTGGCACCGCTCGCTGAACCCGAAGAAGCTCATCGAGGTCGGGTTCTCGCGCCTGGCGCGCAACATGACCATGGCGCGCACGGTCAAGCTGTACCGGCTCCCGGAGCGGCCGCAGATACCGGGGTGGCGCAAGATGGAGGCGCGCGACCTCGCGCAGGTGGGCGACCTCCTCCGCGCGCACCTGGACCGCTACGCGCTGCGGGCGCAGATCACCGACGAGGAGCTCGAGCACTGGATGATGCCGCGCGACGGTGAGTGCGTGCGCTGTGTGTGCTGTGCGCGCGCGTGCGTGCGTGCGTGCTGGCGTTCGGTGCGTGTCTGCGAGCGCGTGTGTGCGGTTGTTATCGTTGTTTACGTGTTCGTGGTGGTCGTGACGCGGCGTGCGTGCAGGCGTGGTGTACACGTACGTGGTGGAGCGCGAGGGCGGGCGCATCACGGACATGGGGTCGTTCTACAGCCTCCCCTCGCAGGTCCTGGGCCACGCCCACCACACCGACGTCAGGGCGGCCTTCTCGTTCTACTCGGTCGCCACCGAGGCCTCCATGCGCGACGTCATGAACGACTGCCTCACGCAGGCCAAGCTCGAGGGGTTCGACGTCTTCAACGCCCTCGACCTCATGGACAACGCAGACTTCCTCAAGGACCTCAAGTTCGGCATCGGTAACACACCCCCCCCCTGACGGCGCCCCGAGAGGGCGGCCGCGCGTGCGTGCGTGCTGCGGGGCGCGTGGGCGCTGCGGTGGGCGCGAGTGCGGCGTTGTTGTTCGTGCGCGAGCGCGGCTGTGTGGTGTGTGGCTGTGTGTGCAGGGGACGGGTTCCTGCACTACTACCTGTACAACTGGGGCGGGGCGGGGGGGCAGGGCGACGAAGCGCCGCTGAAACCGAACGACGTCGGCCTCATCATGCTGTGAAGCCGCCCGGTGCCCACACACCATATGCAACGCCACGCCACCTGCCGCCCTGGCAACGCGCCGCGCCGCCGCACCGCGCCTGCCCGCGGCGCCCCGGCCGCCGCCGCGCGAGGCAGCCGTCTCCCCGGGTCTAGGCCCCGGGGCACCTCGCGCGTGTCGCAGGTCAGCCCCGGGCCCGGCCGCGCCTCGTTTCCAGGTCACGCGCGTTTGTGCGGGTCGGGGGAGCTCGTGCGGCCGCAGGGCTCCTCGGGGGCGCGGTCGCGGCGCGGAGGCCCGCGCGGCGCGCGCGCAGGCGCGGCCCGACTGCTGAGAGGATCCTCCCGATATCATCCCCCGGCCGGAGCTCGGCGGGGCGGGCCGCGATGGGGGCGCGCGGCGCTGTGTTCGCGTCACTCGTGCTCAATACCCTCGTGAGTTGTCCGGTCGAGTCACTCGCAGCCCCACGACGTCGCAGGAAGGCTCGTAGCAAGACGACATGATTGCCTCGGCCAAGACCTCGTTCGCCGGCGTCGCCGTGCGCAGCCAGGCCCCGCGCGCTCGCGCTCAGGCTCGTGCTTCGGTGCGCGTCCAGGCGAAGTACGGCGAGAATGGCAAGTACTTCGACTCGAACGACATCGAGAACACGGTCGGTGCCTGGGACATGTACGGCAAGGAGGACTCCCAGCGCTACAACGACCTGCAGTCGAAGTTCTTCACGCAGGCTTCTACCGGTCTGTCGCGCCGCGAGTCCATGCTCGCGTTCGTGACCATGTTCGGCACCGGCTCCCTCCTCCTCTGGGGCGCCAAGGGCGCCAAGGACGCCGAGCTGCCCATCACCAAGGGCCCGCAGAAGGTACGCGCCCCCACGCACCCGCGGGACCCGCCAGGCCGCGCTCCCGCCCCCGCACCGCCCCGCTACCGGCGATCATACAACACCGCCCAACCGGAACGCTGCTCCGGCAATTGAGCCGCCCCCGCCCGCCCCCACCGCCCATTCCGCCCGCCCCGGGCGGACCCCGCGGCCGTCGACGCGCTGCCGGCGCGCAGCGGCGCCCATCGCGCGCGCTCGACCAGCCAGCGGCACGGGCCCACCCTGCAGCCAGGATACACCAGAGCGACTCGCATCTGGCGCCCGTGCCGCGGGGCAGCGTCCTCGCGCCCCCGCTGCGCGCACAGCGCTTCCCTGCACCCGTGCCATGCCTGCCAGGGCGCGCGATGCGCCGCGCGAGCCCCGCACGCCTCACCGCGCGCGCCCCCGTGTGCGGTGCAGCCTGCGGCCAAGGGCCCCCGCGGCAAGATCTAAATGCCGCGCCTGGCGCATCTCGAACATCTTCGGACCAGCGCTGCACGAGGCGACGCAGCGCGATAGCTCGCGGTTGGACATCTCGGTCGGCACGGGGCGTTGGGCCACTGTAACCTCTGAGGACGCTTACCGCGCCGCGCGCACGGCCCGCCTCGCACGCGACGCCCCGCTCAGCCGCACTCGTAGGTGCCGCACCGACAGCTCAGCGGCCAGCACCGGCCGTCCTGGGCGCCGGGGCGTCCTCGCCGCGAGCACACAGGGCGCTGGATCAACCCACACGTATTGCCGGCGCGACGGGGCCGTGCGCCGCTCCCGCCGCCAGGGCCACGGCGGGGCCGCGGCGGGGCCGCTGCCGCGCGTGCAGCCCGCGTCTGACCCGTCGATGGCCGTCTCGCGCGATGGTTTGCACCGAGGGGGGTGAGGGCCGTGCGCGTGCGGGGCGCCGCGGCGTCTGCGGGCGTCGCTCGCGCGCGCTGCCGCCACTGTACGCGCAGAGCACCCACGTGCACGCACCAGGCCCCGCGCGCGCGCTGTTCTCGCGGTCGCCGCGCTCGTTTTGACCAGCAGAGGCGGGGTCGTAGCCGCCGCGAGCGCGCGAGAAATCGCCCGTACCGCCAGGAAACACGCCCAGAGCGAGCGTACGGCGCCGGCGTTCCGTCCGCCAGGTGCGGCCGCGGCACGCGCAGCGCCCGGAGCCGTGAAATTCCGCCAGGGCTCATCCTTGACCCGCCTGTCCCGTACTGCGTCGGGACAGACCCTCCAGGGATCGCTCCGCGACGAACACGTGCTCGCTGCGCATGACGACCCGCTGGCGGCGCGCTGGCCCGGTGGACGCGCCGCACGCCGCGCAACGCGCTCCATGGGCCGCCACATACCCCGCGCGCCCCGCCCTCACCGCGCACGCGCGCAACTCTCTGCCGCGCAGACCCGTCGAGCCCCGTGAGTTGTCCAGAGTGCCCCCAGCATCGCGGGAAATGGCGCAGCGCGTCTCGCTCCCGCCCGGGATCCGCAGCCCGTGCAACTGCCGGCCCGCCCCGCGCGGCGCCACGCGGTGCCGCGCGGGCCCGCGGGGCGGCCGCGAGCCCTCGGGCGCTCCCCGCGCCCGCAGAATGCACACCGGGCGCAATGCGTCCTCGGACCGGCCGCACCCGAGCCCCCCGCCTCACGCTGCCACCGTCGAGCCGTGCTTCGACGTCGAGGAACGCCGGAAGGCGCTACGAGAGGCCATGCACGAGCAGCACATGGGACGCGAGGAGGACGGCTCGGCCTTCCTGAGCGAGCAGGACTCCAAGCCGGCGCCGGCGGGCGCGCGCCCCGCTGGGCCGCGCGTGCGGCGCTCGCAGGTCACGCCGCCGGCTCGGACCGCCCCAGTTCGTCGCACGGCCTCCGGACGCGGGCAGCCCACGGTCGGGCCGCGCGCGATCCACGCGCTCGACGTGAGTGCCCTGGGTTGCTGCCCAACGCAACCGCTGGGCGGTTGCCGCGCGACGGGCGCCGCGGCCCGCGGGGCAGCGCGGCCGGCCGTCGCGCCGACGCGGTGGTCCGCCGCCTGCGCGGCCGCGTCATCGCGCGACCACCGCACCGCACCGCGGAGGGAGCGTGCAGACCTGGCCGGCCCAACGGTTTTTTCCGCGGCTCTCGATTGAAAGACAGGGACTGTGTCGCCGCCCGCGCAGGACATGTTCGGGATGGCGGGGAGCCGCGTGCTGGTCGTGGGCGGCGCGCGCGGCACGGGCGCGGCCGTCGCGCGGCAGCTGGCGGAGATCGGCGCGCGCGTCGTGGTCACGGGCGCCTCGCGCGACGCTGTCGACGCGGTGCGGGGGGACTTTGAGAAACACGCCCTGCGGCTCGAGGACGCGGTCTGCGCGGACACCGCGACGCCCGAGGGGCGCGAGGCGGTCGCGCGCGCGCTGGACGAGGCGTTCCTGGGGGCGCTCGACGTGGTGGTGCTCACGCCGGCGCACCACCAGCGGCGGCGGCAGCTGCACGACGTGGACCTGGAGCTGCAGCGGCGGGTGTACGCGTCGGGTCAGGAGAGCCAGGTGGAGCTGCTGAAGATGCTGCACCCGGCGCTGGTCGAGGGCGCGTCGTTCGGGCCGCGCGGGGAGGCGTCGGTGGTGTTTTTGACCGCCGTGGGCGCGGAGCTCGCCGAGCAGCCCGCGGGGCCGGCGTTCTCGATGAGCGCGGCGTCCTCGCACGCGCTCGTGCGGTGGCTCGCGTGCAGCTGGGGCCCGCAGGGCATCCGCGTGAACGCGGTCGCGCCGCACCTGTCGCGGTCGCCGGCGAGCAAGTTCATGGACACGCACTCGCAGTTCATGTCGCACGTGCGCGCGCGGACGCCGCTGCAGCGCCCCGCGGAGCTGCGGGAGGTCGCGAGCGTCGCGGCGTTCCTCGCGGGGCCCGCGTCGTCGTACATGACGGGGCAGGTGCTCCCGGTGTGCGGCGGCCACACGGTGCAGGGGACGTGGCAGCACCCGGGGGTCGTGCCGGAGGGCCCCGCGGAGGAGTGGTGGGGGAACTGGTGGCACTTTGACTGACGGGGGGCGGCGCGTCACATCGGTCGACGGGGGTGTTGCATGCGACGGTCAACTGTGAAGATTCCGCACAACGCGGCGCTCGGTGCTTCCAGCGGAGCGTGCTCTGCGCCTGCCCTGCTGCTTCCCTCGCACTCCGCAGTGTGCGTGCGCCGCGGCGCTCTCGCCTCTGGGCTGCGCGCTGTCCTGCGAGTGCCTGCCAGGCCGAGGTTTCGCCGACGAAGCTCCGAGCGGGGATCGACGCCGCGCCGACTGCGGAGCTGGCACGCCCGCACGCGAGCTGCAGGGCGTGCACCCGCTCCGAGAGGAGCCGCCTCTTGCACGTCCAACTCATGCCATGATGAGTCTCCACGGGAGCACGAAGAGCCGCTGCACCCAGGACCGCTCGGACGCGCGCAGCGTGCTGTGTTCCGCCCGAGCGCCTCTCGCATCGTCGCGCGGGCGCTGCGGCACAACCTCGCGTGGCTCGCCCATCACGTTGGACCCGTGCGAGCGTTCTCCGCTCGTTCTCGGCCGCGAACGCCCTACGCCGAGCCGCAGACCAGCCAGATCTCGAGCGATCCGAGCGGCGCCCACCGCGAGCGTTGCGTGTGTACGCAGCGGGGGGGTGATTAGTCACGTCAGCTTGGTGCACGGTGCGGAGGGCTCGGGTGCGGTGGCGGCGCGGGCGGCCAGGTGTTCCTATGCCGGGCGTTGTAGGGGTCCTTGAGCTCCCAGTAGATGCGCTTCCACTGGCACGACAGGAGCAGCCACGCCGCCTTGAAGAAGGCCACGGCGTTGCCGTTCCAGTGGCCCTCCTGCGCCCGCCGCGCGTACCGCCGCAGGTCCGCCCGCACCTCCGTGCGCCGCCGCTGCTGCAGCAGCTCCTGCGCCCGCACCGTCCTGCGGCGCCCCCGGCACACGCACGCCGTGAGGCAACACACGCACGTGCAGTGGCGCAGTCAGCGCGCGGGCGGGGCGGGCGCGCACTCGAGCGACTGGAAGGTCCCGCTCCTGCGCTGCACCGACGGCTGCACCATCGTCGTCTGCGGCATCATCCCGCCCACGATGTCGTTGCCTGCCTCCAGAAACACCTTGCCCTCTCTCAAGTACCCGGCTGCACGCGAGGGGGGTTCGTTCGACGCGCGCGGTTCGGAACGAGCTCGCACACTCGCGAGCGTCGTCGCGGGGGGCGCGCGCCGTGCGTGCAGGTCCGGCAGTGCGCGCCTGGCCACCCCCCGACCGCGTTGCTCTGCGCCCCCGTGTCGTACTCGTGCGGCATTCCCGAGATCACCGTGCACCCCCGGAGGTGTATTTCCGACTCCCCGACCGCGTACACCGTCGCCTCCTCCCCGCGGTTCGCCCCCAGGTGGCTGTCCACGACGCGCACCACAGCGCGCTGCGAGGCGAGCAGCGCCACCGACCCGTTCGACCCGACGCGGCACGCGCGGACGTCGGCCTCCGTGCCCTCGCCGCGCACGATCATCGCAGGCCCGCTGCGCTCGCCGATGAACGTGCACCCGTCCGCCGCGAGCCGCCCGCTGTGCACCTCGAGCAGCGACCCCGGCAGCGCCTCCCAGGCTGCAGCGCTCTCGCGCGCCGACTCCGCCTGCCGCGTCACGAGCTGCGCTATCGAGAAGTCGTGTCCTCCGGGGTTCTCGATCAGGATCGCAGCCGGCGCAACTTCGAGCTCCGCGGCGCCGCGGCGGCAGTGCGCAAACACCAGGTCGCGCAGAGCGAGGGTGCCCGCGGGACGCAGAACGAGGCCGCCGTCCGGCACGACGACGGACCCGTTCGCGATCTCGGTGCCGTCGGGCACCGCCAGCTCGTACCCCGCCCCGGGGGCGACCACCTCGGCGCCCCCCAGGTCGATGTGCTGGTGGGCACCGCACACACCCTTCAGTGCGCTCTCGAGCTCATCCCACGAGCTCGCAGGCATCGCGGAGCAGCCGGAGTGCAGGAATCGTTACCTCGACGCGGCGCATCCGGCCGGAATGCCCCGCCGTGCCGGGAGCGCGCGTGGTTGGCTGCGGGGGGTGCCAAGGTGGTTGGTCGCACTCACTGCCACGTCAGGGCCCGCAGCACGGGGCGCACCCGCGCGGCGCGTCGCGGGCGTCCTCGGACCGCTGCCGCGAGCTTCAGGCGCGCGGGCGCTCGGCCACGCCGGCGCCACCGCGACGGACGCACCCAAAGAAGGCAACACACAGAGATGCGCGCACGCTGCCTCGCGGCCCGCCGCAGAGCGCCGAAACGCCTCGACGCGACCCGCAGCCCCGTTGTCGACCGCACGCGTCGACTCAGCGCGCCGCCGGCGCGCCCGGGCCGCGCGTGCTTGCACAGGCGGCGCGAGCCTATGTCGACGCGCGTGACAGCTTCACAGCTACTTCTGGTCGCCGGAGAGGACGACGAGCGTGAGGACGGCCTCGACGACGAGCGCGTCGCCGACGTACCCCTTGGCCTCCATCTTGGCGATCCCGAAGCGCTTGTTGAACTTTTGCAGGCGCACGTCCATCACGAGGGTGTCGCCGGGCGTGACGGGCTTCCGGAACTTGCACGAGTCGATGCCCCCGAAGAAGAAGTTGTTCTTCGACGCCTTGTCCTCGGGGTCGAGCATCGCGATCCCGCCCACCTGCGCCATCGCCTCCACCATGAGCACGCCCGGCATGATGGGCCGCTCCGGGAAGTGCCCCGGGAAGAAGTTGTCGTTGATCGTCACGTTCTTGATCGCCACGCACCGCTGCTGCGCCTCGTAGTGCACCACGCGGTCCACCAGCAGGAACGGGAACCGGTGCGGCAGGATGGTCATGATCTCGTCGATGTCCTTCACCGCCGCGAAGTTGTTCCCGGACTTCTCGATCGGAACCGCGTCGTCCGCCGCCTCCGCGCGCACCCGCACCGAGCGCCGCGCGCGCGGCGCCGCCGGGCGCGCCTGCACCGCCTGCACGCAGAACGAGAGGCGACGCAAGCACGGTCGCGTGGGGTTTTGACGCCGTTTCCGGGGACGCGATGGCTCGGAGCAGCCATGGTGAATGCAGCGCCGTGACGAAGCGTGCGTGAGGATCGCCGTGCGGGCCGCACAGGCCGCGTTTGCAAGTGGATCAAACCGCCGCGCAGGTGCCGCCGGACGGGGCCGACGATGCTCGGAGGCGCGCCGCTACAGCGTCGTTATGAACGAACATGTGGAATGAGGGGCGTCGTTGCGGCTCGAGGGGCCGGGGGCGGGCGGCTGGAGCGCGCAAAGATGTGCACTTGCACTGCGCATCGCGGCCGCCTCACGCAGAAAGGCTATCCAAGCGTGCGGCGACCGGGGGGACAGGTAGAGGAGCTGCCCGGCGAGCGCACGCATGAGGGTCGTCGCGCTCGTTTCCGCACCTTGGCCCCGCAGGAAGGCTTGGCGCCCAGCTGCGCCTTGACAACGGGACTCGCGCGAGCAATCATCGCGACTTCACGAACCAACTAACAAAGTTGCACCAGGGGCGCGGCGCCCCGCGCCCGAGGAGCCGCGGCGGCGAGGCAGGGGAGTGGCCGACTGAGTGCAGCGAGACGTCCCGACCCCGCCACCCGCGGCTCCAGGGACGTCCGCCCCGGCGCCCCGCGCCACTCCGTAGCGACTGTCCGCGACATTCTAGGGTCGTCCGTCGACGGCACGACGCGCAGGCACCGAGCTCCCGCCGCAGGTGCAGTGGTGGCATTGGCAGCAGCCCAAGACCGGCCCCGGGCGCTTCCGGGTGGGCCGCAGCGGCCGCAACGCTGACGTAGGAGCACGATGTCCGGCGGCGGCCACGTGCCCAGGGGCCCGCGGATCCTGGGGAGGCTCACGGTCGATCTAGTGATGTCCAGCCCGCAGTACATGAACACCTGCCGGGAGTACGAGATCGACTTGAGAGGTGAGCGGCGGGGCGCCCCACGCCGCCCTCGCCCATAGAGGCACCGCGTCACCTGCGCGGATGGCCCGCCAGCGCAGCCACCGCCCCGCAGTGGCCTCCAGAGGACAAACAGCAGTCTTGCGACGCCAGCGTTCGCGCTTGCGGGCTCGTATAACGTCACCGCCGGCCTCCGCGACCGTGATCACTTGTTCGCCTCTCCCGCCTAGGACTGGCTCCCCCCATGCACACGCACACGGCGCTCCCGACCAGCCCTCCTGTTGCCGCCCCCCTCCCGCGCTCTCCTCCTCGCGCACCTGCGCGCCACACGCGAGGAGGACCGCGGCGCCGGCTCTCACCTACATTCAGCACCGCCACCACGTCGTCCAACCGCCCCACGCGGCCACATGCGCCCCCCACACCACGCTGCCTCCACGCGCCCGTTCAGAGCCCCCGCCGCGGCGCCACCGCCCCCGCCACCTCGCGCGCGCGGCGCCAGACCCCGGCATCACACCTTCTGCCGGCCCCCCGCGCGCGCAACCGCCGCGCGCCAGCCCCCCCGAGCGCCCGCCCCGCCCCCGCCCTTGCAGGCAACCGCGTGACGGTGATCGAGAACCTGGGCGTGACGAAGAACCAGTTCGACTCGATGGACCTCTCGGACAACTCGGTCGTCAAGCTCGAGGGCTTCCCGCTCCTCCCGCGCCTCCGCTGCGTGTACCTGAACAACAACCGCCTCGTGCGCATCGCCAAGGACCTGCACCAGAGCCTGCCCAACCTGGAGACGCTCATCCTGACGAACAACAGCCTCACGCGGCTCCAGGACGTCGCGAACCTCGCGCCGCTCGCCAAGCTCAAGCACCTCTCGCTGCTCGACAACCCCGTGTCGCGCAAGCCCGGGTACCGCCTGTTCGCGGTGGCGTGCCTGCCGCAGCTGCGGTGGCTGGACTTCAAGAAGGTGACGCAGCGGGAGCGGGAGGCGGCGGCGAAGGAGTTCGGCGCGGAGGGCGCGAAGGAGGCGGCGGTGGAGCGCGACGCGGCGGGCGGCGCAGCGGTGGCGGGCGGCAAGACGTTCACGCCCGGGGAGGGGGTGCCGGAGGAGGTGGCGGCGGCGAACGGGGCGGGGGAGGGCGGGGCGCGGCGGCCGCCGACGGCGGAGGAGCTGACTGCGATAAAGGCGGCGATTGCCGGCGCGGCGACGCTGGAGGAGGTCGAGAGGTACGAGGGGGCGCTGGCGACGGGGGTGCTGCCGTCGGACCTGGCGGAGAAGCTCAAGGGGGCGGGGGCGCGGATGGAGACGGACTAGCGCCGCGCGGGCGGCGTGTGACGCGCGGGACGACGTGGTTGGTGGTTGGTAACAGGGGGGGGGTTGCGGACGGGGCCCGGTCGCTGCTACGATGCGTGGTCCTCGCCGGCGTCGCGGAGCTTGGCCGGCAGCCGCCGCGCACGTCCGCCTGCACGCAGAAGAACAGCAACGCCGAAAACATCAACGTATAATTATGATGTTTTTTTTTTTTGTGGTGTGGTGTCGAATGGGCCCGATCGTGGCGTGCGCACGGCGCTGTGTGCTTGGCACAGGAGCCGCGGCAACGCGCAGCGCTGCGCGACCGCACGCGGCCCACGGTGCCAGCCGTCACGCGGCGCGGGCGCTCACTCTTCCGCTGCCCACCACCCGCCTCCTTCCGCGGCCGGCCCGGCCCGACGCCGGCCCCCTGCACGTCCTCCGTCCCGCGCGAATCCTCCACAACGATGTCCGCATGCTTCCTCCCACGCGCCCCCGCGCCCGGCGACTCCCGCACCCGCTGGCGCTTGGCGGGGGGGCGTTCCGGCGACGAGTCCACCTCCAACACGATCGCAGGCTGCTGCGCACCGGCGTTGCTGAGCCCACCACGCGAGCGTGCCGGCCCTCGAGATGCCGACCGGCGCGTTGTCTTCGCGCACTCGGGCGACGAGTCGACCACAATGACGCAGGCATGGGCCGTGCGGGGGGGGGTCAACGGGAGGACCCCGGGGGACTCCCGCGCGACGACGGCGGCAGCCGCGCCGTCGCGCACGGTCCGCGGCGTCCCGCTGCGCCCAGCGCCCCCGGGGTCGGACGGAGGGGGGGGAGTATGGCTCTTGAGCGGAGGAGACCCCCTGACCGCAGGGCTCTGCGTAGCTGCACCACCCGCACCCGCCGCGCCGCGCCCCTGCGCACTGCGCGCGCTCTCCCGCCGCGCGTCCCCGCTCCCTTCCGCGCCCCCCGCCCCGTCCGTCCGCAGACGCGCTGCTTCCTCCGCGCGCTCCACCGCCGCAACTTTCGCGCACAGACTCGCCCACTCCGCCTGGCTGCTGCGCGAAAACGGGTTGCTCCCGCGTCGCCCCGCCTCCCCCGGACTCCCCCGCCTCTCCGCCGCTGGCGATGCGCCCCCCGAGCCTTGGCGGCCGCGGCCGCCCGACGCACCGCCGTCCCTGCGCGGTGCGCTGCCCTCTGGCGTGCGCGGCCGCTCCTGCGACTCGGCCGCCGCAGCACGCGCCTCCTCCGCCAGGCGCTTGCTCTGCGCGCACCGTTCCTTGCGCTGCTGCTCCGCCTGCGCCGCCCGCTGCCGCTCCTGCTCCTCCTTCTCCTCCATCTCCTGCCAGATCGTCTTCCGGTAGAAGCACTTCTTGTCCGAGTGCCCCACGCGCCCGCACCGCTTGCACACGTTCGTCCGGTACCCGCCCCCGCGCCTCCCGCTCGCCACGTGCGCCGGCGCCCGCGCCGCGTGCCCCAGCTGCCCGCCCTCGCTGCTCTCCTGCGCCTGCTGCAGCTCCTTCACGCGCCGCTGCCGGTGGGCCTCCACGTACGCCGCCCGCGCGCGTCGGTTGAGATCCTCCTCCTCCTCGGGCGTGAGCTGCAGGAGCGGGCCGCGGTCCGGGGAACACTCGCGCTTGACGCGGACGCCGTCGGGCGCGACGTACCGCGGCGGGCTCGCGGCTGCGCGCGGCGCGCGAGCGTGTTTTTCGACGGGGGCCTCGGGGGCGCGCCGGCGCGTGCTGAGGCGCGCGGCGAGCCGGGCGCGGTCCCACGCGTTCGGCTTGAGCGTTTTCCCGGAGCTGAACGCGTTGCAGTGGCCGCTTCCGTCGTCCGCGGGGCTGGCGCTCTCCCAGCGCACACACTCGCTGGCAGGCTTGTCGCACACGAAGCAGAAACACTGCGGGCCGGGCGGGGGGGCGGGGAGGCGGCGCAAGATCAGAGGCATGCGCGCCGTGCAGTCCCCGACGCATGCGACGGCGCGAAGGCGCCTGGCGACGCAGGTGCGCTGAGCGCGAGGCCCACATGCTACGCGCCGCGGCCGAGAGGCGCTATTCGGGGCGCGCGAGCGCGCCGCGCGCTGCGTCTCGCAGGGAGCTGTCGGTGCGGGGCTGTGCGTGGCAGGCGCGCGCACCTGCGGGCAGCTCTGCGCGTTGCTCTGTGCGCCCGCGCCTCGTGCGATGAAGGCGTGCACGGGGCAGTCCGGGCGGAGGTGCGGGAGGTTCAGGATCGCTTCGTCGAGCTTGAAGTCGACCAGCTCGAGCTCCTCGTCGCCGGTGGCGTCCCTGCGGGCGCCGCCCGCGCCACATTGCAGGTCGCGCACCGAAACCAGGCGCTTCTCGCCGTCACCCTCCCTGACGATCTCGACGTCGCTGTCCGACATCGCCGAACCGTTCGACACCGTCGCGGGGTCTCGCATGCCCCCGCCCGGGCACGCAAGCTGCCTCAACGGCCTCCACGCGCGATGCCCCCACCACAGCCAGCACCCCCACTGCGCCTGGCCCTGCGGCAGCGACTCGCGGGCGAAACGCGGGACGCGAGCACGGAAATCAAACCTGCGCCGCGCCCCGGGGTCGCAGGGCGCAATAACGCCGCGAGACACCCGCTCCACGCAGGATTCCAACTGGCGCACTGGTGTTTGGCGGGCCGCTGGATACAGGCCCGGTGCGTCCCACGGATCGCCGCAAACGGCCCGCCTGAATCAACATGTAGTGCGTCTCCTGTGTCCGCGGCCGAAGAAGGCACGTATCGGCTGTGGGGCACGAAACGCGTGGTCTGACCAGGAAGGTGCGCAAAACCGCGGCGCTTCGGCGGTGTCATACTCGGGGGCGGCGCACGCCATGTCCGCGCGCGAGAAGGACACACGTCACGCAAACTAGGGGGTGCGCTCAGGAGGTTCAACGGAATCCGCCTGCGGCCATTTTCGGCCTCCAGGGCCCAGTCTGACATCCTCAAAGCGGGTTGAGCCCTTCCCTGAGTCGAGAGGGGCCCGGCATTGGCTGTGGTCGCACTGCACGCGTGCGAGGCGGCGCTGGCCAGGCGTCGCCGGCGCGGCGAAGTCATCAGTGTGTACGGCGGAGTGTTCCACACTCAATGGGGCTCGCTGCGCGGTCGCTGCGTCGCGCGGGCGTCGAGGAGCACGTGCGCCCATGTGCGGACTCGCGGGGAGCGCGGAAGGCCGACGGGCGCCCCGGTGCCGCGCCGCGACCGCGCTGATGATGGGTTACATACTCGAGGACCTAAGACTTGGGCGGTGACGAGACGGCGTCGCCGGGTCCCGAGCGTCCGTGGAGGCAATGCGCTGCGCTCCGCGTGGGGGCCACGTGCAATTTTCCGGGTGGGGGCTGGGAAACTCAGAGAGGGCAGGGACGGGCGGGAGTGACTGGTGGACAGGTGATTTTCACTTCGTGTGCAGGGGGGGGCAGGGCCGAGCGAGGGTCGGGCGCATGTGGTGCGTTGGAGGGGGTTAGGCTGGCGGTTGGGCCCCGCCTACAGCCCGAGGGGCCAGGGCGCGTGCATCCACATGGTGTCGAAGTAGGACCGGTTGACGACGAGCATTCCCTGGCTGTACGCCCAGAGCAGCACGAGCAGCGCGGGCACGACGAAGAGCGCGGCGAGGCCCGCGAACACGCCAAAGTCCGAGCGCTGCTCGTCCTGTGCGATCGAGGCCTTGCGCGCCGCGACGCGCTTGCCGGACGCCGAGGAGCCGGCCTTGGACATGAGCACGTCCGCGACGTCGCGCGGGCCCGTGTACTCGTCCTCCTCGTCCGTGCTCGCGTCGAGACTGGCGTCCAGGCTCGCGGAAGCGGTTGCGACCAGCTCGTCGATCTCGTCGCTCTTCTCGAAGATGAAGCGGACCCGCGGGGACCGTTGCATCTGCACGGTGCGGGGCACGGAGCCGGGCGTCGCGCGTCGCGGCGCGGTGCCTGGCGGGGCCGCAGATGACGTGCGCCGTGCAGCTGCCGGGCGGGGGGCCGCGCAGACCGCGCGGGTCTCTCGCACCTGGAGCGACTGCTTGATCTTCGAGATGCTCACGTTCCCGTCGAGCATCCACATATCGTCTCTCATAGGGTCACTGAGGCCCAGCACCCTCAGCCCCGGCACCACCCCGGCCTCCGCCGCCTCGCTCGGCACTCCGACCTGGCTCACCAGGATCACGTTGTCCTTCCTGCGCCACGGAAAGCCGGGGAGCGCGGAACCGTCGCACAGCAGCGCGTGGGCGCGGCAGGCGGGCGGGACCACCCAGTGACTGGCCGCTGCCGTCTCCGCGCGTGCGCGCCCGCGGTGGCGCTGCCCCGGCCCGGGCGGCGCGCCCCCGGCGCACCTGAGCGCGGTGGCGATGAACCGCAGCGACTGCTTCGCCTCCGCGGTCCCCAGCGTGACGTCGAGCCGGTTGCTGGGCGTGGCCCCCTCGGGCGACCCCGGCGCCGGCCCCTGCGGCTCCGCGGCGTCCACTGCGAGCCGGGCGGTGCGGGGCGGCGCGCGTGAGCGGCGGCGGATCGGCGGCGCGCCCGCCCGCCCGGGACGCCCTGAGCGGGGCGCCGGGCCTCGGGCGGGGCCGTGCTAGGTGTTGCGACCGCAGCGGTGCAGGTGAGGGCCAGGCGGGTCCCGGGCGCGGTGTTCGCGGTGCGGCGTGGCGCGTCCATGCAGGGGCGAGGCGGGCGAGGAGGGTTTGCCGGGCGCGGGGCGTACCGGAGGGCTCGGTTGCGGCGATGAGGTGCAGTGGGCTCCTGGTGCGCTGGGGCCACCGGGGCGGGCCGCGGCGGCCGAAGGCGGCGGCGTGCGTGACCGTGGGGCTGAGGGGCGTGGCGGGGGGGCGGGATGGCCGCGAGCACGCCGCTTGCGGTGTCGGGAGCGAGCGGAGTTGCATGGTGGTTCCTACCACGCGAGCGGGCGCCGCGTCTGCGCGATATATGAGGCTGGCGGAGCGCAGGGATGTCTGGGAGATGTGGCGGAGGGCGGGCCCGGCGTGGGGCCACGACGGCCCGCTGCGACCGGGGCGCGCGGGGGCACTGACGCAGGAGGTGGTGGCCTCCTCGCGGCGCTCGGGCAGGCCGCGAGCGGCATGTTGGCGGGGCCGAGCGGGGAGTGAGCGCAATTCGTCCGTGTCTGTCGGGTACTCGAGCTCCGGAACAGCCCTCTCGATCAAGAAAAATGGCGCAAGCTTTCGTCCCCTCGGTCACCTTCAGGGCTTCTTCGCTGCGCCCCGCATCGATCCGCAGGCGAGGGCCCTCGAGAGAAGAGAACTCACGCCGCCGACGCGCCGGCCGACGAGCGCAGCGATCGCCTCACGCGCGCTCGCGCGGCCCAGCATGGCTCCCTTGAAACCGACCAGCCCCGCGCAGCCCCCGCGGCACCATTCGACGCGCAACTGATCCACCCGCCCCCTTTCGACACAGCGAGAGCCCTGCGCCCCGCCTGCTGGCCGAGAGACCCCCGCCACGCCCTCCCGCGCGCCCCCCCCGCTGCCCAACCGAAGCACAGCGAACCGAACGCGCGGGAAGCGCTGCGGCCGCCGCCGACCGACCGTTCGATGCGCGCTGCTGCAGGAGGGCGCGCGTGGCGTGCAATGCCGCGGAGCAGGTCGACGGAGCGCACATGAAGGTGAAGATTTGCGGCGTGACGAACCCGGACGACGCCAAGGTGGCCACCGCCTGGGGCGCAGACTTCGTGGGAATGATCATGTGGCAGAAGGCCGGCCGCGCTGTGTCGGCTGAGGCCGCACGCGCCATCGCGGACGCGGCGAGGTCCGCCCCCGGCCCCCGTTTCCCGCCCAACTGTGCCCGCACCACCACAGCCCCCGCGCCCTGCGTCACCCTGGCCCCTCGCCGCCCCGCGCGCACATTTCCGGGCTCAGCGCTTCGCGAACATGCTCCAACCTCGAAAAACAAGCCACAATATCGCGCCACCGCGGCGGCGCAACGCCCACCCTGGCCCAGGTCCAACCGCCCGCGCGCCGCCTCCTCCGCGCTGCAGCGCCGGCGGCGCCCTGCCCGTCGGGGTCTTCGTCGAGGAGGGCGCCGAGGAGATCGCCGAGCGGTGCCGCGCCGCGGGTCTGCGCGTCGCGCAGCTCCACGGCGACAACGCCCGCGCGGCTCTCAACCACCTGCCCCCCTCCGACGAGCTCTCCATCATCTACGTCATCCAGGTGCGGCCCCCGCGCGACCACGCCCGGATCCAACGCCACCGGCGCGCTCTCCCTCGACGCGAACGTCGCGCCCCCCCCCGCGCGCGGCCACGGACCCCAACGCCAACGCATGCCTTTGACGCCGCCCGCGTGTCTGCAGGTGACGCCCGAGGGCGAGCTGATGACGCCGCTCCCCGAGGGCCGCAAGCCCGAGTGGGTCCTCCTCGACGGCGAGCACGGCGGCAGCGGCCAGAAGCTGAACTGGGACACCCTGCCCGACGTGTCGGACGTCGCCACCAACGGCTGGTTCCTCGCCGGTGCGCCCGAACTCCCCCCCCTTCCCTCCCCCAAGGCCGCACAGCCACTGCGCCTGCGCCTCCGCGTCGCGCTTGCGCGAGATCACCGTCGCAGCCGCCCCGCGCGCGTCACAAGGTGCTCGCTGCAACACATTGCGCACGTGTGGGTCGTCCCTGCGCGACTGATTGACGTTGGGGGCCTGTTCCCGTTTCCGCGCAGGCGGGCTCTCCCCCTGCAACGTCGGCGACGCGGTCGCGACGGCGCACCCCACGGGCGTGGACGTTTCGACGGGCGTGTGCGTCGACGGCGACATCTTCGTCAAGGACGGCCGCAAGGTCGCGTCGTTCGTCGCGAGCGCGCGCACGGCCGCGGGCGGGCCCAAGGGCTCCGCGTGGGGCGCGCCGGGCAGCGTGAGCGCCTCGATCGACGAGACGGGCGGCCAGGGCATGATGATGTTCACCGACGACCAGCTCCGCGCCGTGCCGTACGACAAGTTCAACACGGAGTGAGCGGGCCCGGGCGACGCGGTGCGAGGGGGCGCGGCGCCCACACCGGCGCCCGCACGTGCTCCCGCACCGTGGCGGTGGCCAGATGCGGCGCACGCCGACAAGCAGCGAACGGCTGGCACCCGTCCTGCGATGTGACATACTCGGCGACGGACCCGCGAGCCTTGACGGCACGCGCAAGGCGCTCGATCCATTGCAGAGGGTGATGACCATGCGGCCCAAAGTGACCCCTGGGTTTGTGTCTTTTGTTTGACACAAAACGCTCGGCGACCCACGCATTGTCCCGCCACGACGGTGTGCCAGAAGTGGTCCGGGAGCCCGACCGGTGGCCGCGATCGCGTCGCTGGCACGACATCCTGTGCGTCCCCGTGCTGGACGGCGCAGACACCCTAGGCTGTCCACGCACAGCGGCGGCGACGGAGTGCGAAGGTCCGGCCGACGCGGTGCGTCCGTGGACTCAGCTGGGCGTGTCAGTGGTGCACTTCGACCGGCGTCCGTCACACACAGTGAAACGAAACGCGACATGTGCTGGGAGCCAGTCACAGAGGGGCGCGCCGTCGCCGCCATGGGCGCGGGAGGGCACCGAATGCGCGCGGAAACCCACGATCCATGGCGGTCACGATCCATCGCGATGGAAGGAACGACAGGAAGGTTCGCATCCAGTCGGGCTGCGGGGCAGGGTCTTCTCTCTGGGCAAAACGTGACGCACGGGGGAGTGCGGCGGCGATGACGGCGCGGAGCTGCCCCGGCCCCCTCGGGCGCTCGCCCTGCCTGTACGGCTCAGTTCCCGGCCGCTGCGGGGCCGTCCACGCGTCGACATCCGTCCCCCCGTCACGGAGCAACGGACCAGGCACTGGACCCCAGACACGACGCGTCCGCGGGAGTCGCTGGGGCGTGGAACCCACGGACAGAGGCGGGCCTGACGGAGCCTACACTGAAGACCCGCAGTTCGCGACGCAGGCAGGCGCTGCGGCGATGCGGGCGGTCCGCGCAGCCGCGCTGCTGTGCTGTGCCTTGCTCCTTGGGGTGCCCGCGGCGGCAGCGGAGCGCTCGCTGCGGCAGGACAGCCCCGTGTGCAGCGCCCTCGCGTCACTGCGGAGAGATGGCGTCCGGGACGATAGCGAGGTCGCAGGGCTGCTCAGAGGGGTCACACTCCGGTGCGCGCCACTATGCTGAAGCAGCAGAGGCCGCTGTGCGCGACTCCACGCGCGCTCTGCCTCCCTGGCGTCGATTTGTGGCATAGCTCTGACATGAAAAACAGCTTCCAGGGAGACATACCGCCAGCCGTCCGGCTCATGCCAGGCAGCTCCTCTCACAAGCACGACCCGCTCCTCCCCGGCCCCGCCGACCACCGCAGCTTGGGCGTGATCGAGGAGCCGCCGTACACGGAGTACGTGCGCGAGGGCGGGGAGTTCAGGGGGGCCGCCGGGTACACAGTAGACGTCCTGGAAGCCGTGGCTGCGCGCGGGGGGTTTACGTACGAGATGGTGCCGCTGGACGAGTCGCGGCTGCAGGCGGGGGAGGAGACGTACACGGAGCTGCTCGCGCGGACGATCGCGCAGAACGACTTCGATGTCCTGGCCTCGAACTGGTACAGCACTGCGGAGCGGCAGCGCCTGGGGGTGTTGTTCGGGAGGCGCGTGATCGACAGCAGCGGGTACGTCGTGGCGCCGAAGAACGACGTGTCGAACGAGCCGCCGTTGTCGGAGAAGCTCGGCCTGTTCGCGCAGGTGCGGCGCCCTGATGCGGGGTCGAACGCCAGTCTACCGTCCGGGTGCCGCCACTATGCGCTCCACGCCGTACGACACCTCAGCGTGCGCCAGCCGATGGCCCACCCGACCCGCGCCCCACACCCTCGCCCATGTCCGCAGCCCTTCTCCGGGGGCGTGTGGGCGACCATCGTCGGGCTGCTGATCTTCCAGGCGACGGTGATGTTCTTCCTGGATCGGCAGCGCGTGAAGCGCGTGGCGAGGGAGCACCGCATCGTCGTCGAGCAGCTGCGCCACGAGGCGAGGAAGGACGACGCTGCGCGGCAGGGGCACATGTGCCACACGGCAGGGGCCGGCCCGCCGGCTGCGAAGCCGCTGCCTGGCGCGACACTGTCGATGCGCTGGAACAACGGGTGGGCGGACGAGGCGTCGCTTTCGCGGGACGATGCGGAGAAGCCGACCGCTGCTCAGGAGGTGGCGGACCTGCGTGCTCGGCTGGCGTGGGTGGACGCGCTGGCGCAGTCTGCGTTCGAGACAGTGTCGCACATGGCGCAGGCGGAGGACGCCCCCATGCCCGTGGCGTGGGCCGCGCGCGTGCAGAACGTCGTGTGGTGCTTCCTGGTGCTGCTCACCATCTCGGCCTACACCGCCAACCTCGCGACCTTCCTGATCGTGCGCTCGCAGCCCGAGTCGAGCATCAACGGTACGGCGCTCTGTGTTGCGCAGCCACCGCCCGCTCGCGTCGCGCCGTGTCGCGGGCCTCGTACGAGCGCACCGACACCGCAGCTTGCGTGCCCGCCTGCCCGAGGGCCGTGCCCCCGGTGCATGGGGCGACCGCGCAGCAGCGACTGCGCTCACACGCAGCGTCCCCTTGTGCGGCGTTCCCGCAGGCATCGGGGACCTCCTGGGGCGGCGCATCCCCACGTGCGTGCAGTTCGACACGGGGCTGGGGGAGTTTGTCTCCTCCAAGTACCCTAGCCTGAACTCTGTGCGGTCGCGGTGGTCCGACGGCATCGACAACGTCGAGGCGAACAGGTGCACGGCCATCATCATGGCGCTGTACGACGCGCAGCTGGCCCTGACTAGCGGCGCCGGATGCAGCCTGGCCGTGCAGGGCCAGCCGCTGGTGGACCTTGGCGGGGCGTGGGCGTACTCGCCGTCTTCGGAGGCTGGCTGCGGGCCGCAGGTCATGGTGGTGATGGACAGCCTGCTGGCGCAGCTCAGCGAGGAGGGCGTGATGGCAGAGCTGTGGGAGCCGTACGTGCAGCGACAGTGCGCTGCGGACCTGGAGAGCGAGGGCGCCTCCGCGAGCAACAAGGTGACGCTGTCGCTGGATGGCTTCTCGGGGCCGTTCTTGGTGTACGGCTGCGCGACGTTCTTGTTGATATGCTGTTCGATCATCGGTCACTGGAGGGAGCAGGACAGGGGGCGAGGAGCGGGGTCGCAGGAGGCGGACAGGAGCGCTCCTGCCCTTGCGGCGTAAGAGCTCGGACGGGCTCAAGGATCGGATCATGATAGTGGAATCAGGGGGGGGCACGAAATTGTGACTAATTGTTTTTCCGTGCGCGGTTCAACCATGCAGGAAGGCAAACGAAGTTGTTTGTCGGGTCGCGGGAGTGGAACGACGTGCGCGATGCAAGTCGTGCAGGTCTAGGCGCGTCCGTCGCAGTCGCAGGATCTCGGCGGGCAGAGCGCGCCCTTGCCAAACGGCGGTGTTGCATCATGGGGAAAATGCTTGAACGACGAACGGGCCGCACTCGCCTCCGCCCCTTATGCACCGCGCTCGTAGCATCGCGCGAGGCAGTCTCGCCCGCACCAGCCCTGAGAAAGCCCCCTCCTCCAGCCCGCCTCCCCGAGCCCGGAGGATCCAGTGGACACGTGTCGGCAAACGCTCACCCGTGCGCGGCGCCCGGTGGACGGACCCGACGTGCAGCGCGAGCGCCGACGACGTATCGCGTCGACGCTGCCCTGCTGAGTGCCGCCTGAGGCAGAGACGCGCTGTCACATCGCTGCAGTCATTCGAGGCAGGCTGGCGGCCTCGCGCACCGTATCGTCGTGGACGCGCTCTCCTCGCGCACCTCGCCGCCCACGTCCACGCCGGCGTCCGCGAACGGCGCGCCCCGCTGCCGCAGCACCCGCACCTCCCCCGGCGCCATCGCGAACGTGCCGTGCGCGCGCAGGTCGATGCCGAGGACCGCGGACTGCAGAATCGACAGCACGTCCGAGTCTGGCGCGATCAAAATCACCGTCGCTCCGCCGTACTGCGTCTCCGTGATCGACAGGACCTGGCGCAGGCGAACCAGGACGTCCTCCGCGGACTCGTTCGGCGTACCGTCCGTGCCGGGGGGCGGCTTCAGCCGTGCGGACGACTTGTCGAGCGCCCTGCAGCGGGCACAGGCGCGGGGCGGGCCGCGCGTCAACGTGGGTGTGCGGCCCTGCCTGCGCGGGCTGCGCAGCGCTGGCGTCCGCGGCGATGACGCACAAGCGGCCCGTGAGGCGCTGGCGGCCGCGCACTGCAGCTCCGCCTCGTTGGCCGCGTGCGCGCCGGCGGCCATCGATCGCCGCGCTGCACCCGCGGGCGCACGGCAGCGCGCGAGAGGCGCTGCGGGCGTACGCGATGGCTGCCTTGCTCTCCTTGACGGGCGTGTTCTCGTACGCGCCGACGCCGCGCGCGTCGAGGAAGGAGTACTCCGGAACGATGGCGGAGCGGCCTGTGTTGAGACGCCGCGCCACGACCTCGGCCGTTTGGTAGCTGTGGGCAAGACGCGGAACGAAGGAACAACAGTCGTCAACTTGGCGACGCGCGTCCAGCCGCGACGGCGCAATGCTGGACACGCTGCCCGTCTCTATCCTCGTCGCGCACACGCCACGTGGCCGTCCAGGGCCACCGTGCGCGTCCACGCGCGGTGCTGCAACAGCGCACAACAGCACGGGCCCCGACGCGCCTGTTCTGCGTGATCGACGGCCAGATCCAGCACTCGCCGTCCTCGCACACGCCGAGGTCCCCCAGCGCCGGCAGAGTGCGCTCCCGTAGCTGCAGCCGCCCCTGTGGGGAGATGCCAAGCAGCGTCGAGTTCTTCTGCGCCGGAGACGTCATCGTCACGCCCTCGCTCTCCGCCTCCGACTCCGCGGCCCTGCGAGAGCGTGCCAGTGCGCGGCGCGTGCGCGGACGTCAGGGCCGGATCGCGTCCACAGCGGCGTGCGATGGAATGGTTTGGCGGTTGGGGCGTGGGGCGCTCGCGCGGGGCGGAGGACGCACCGGATAAGGACGTACGAGTTGCTCAACGTCTGTCCTTGCCCGAACTGCACGAGCGCCGCGACGGCCTCGAGCGGCGACACCAGGGGGAGAGAGAGCAGCGCGGCGAAGGTGTGCACCAAGGCCAAGGCGCAGCGCCGCGACAACGCAGTCGCGTCCCGGACACGCTGCCCGGCCGCCTCCACGCGATCCGGCTGCGCTCGGTCGCGAGCGCAGGGGACCATCCTGGCGGCCGACCGGCGCCCATCGCACGCACACTGCACGGCAGCGCAGGGGGGGCGCACGCGCGATCCAAGCATTGGGGAGGTTTCGGCTTCAGTCGCGTCGCGATGCTGAGCTAACGGACACGCCAAGCAGACACCGGGCGTGAAGAGACCGTCCCAGGGTGGCCCGGACGGGGCACTAATACCTGTCGTGCCCGACCGCCGGACCGGCCCACTTTCTGCACGTCACCGCATCGCCTCTCTCGCACAGTGCGCTCGACTAGTAGCACATTCGCAGCCGGGCGCAAGAACCGTCGATCGACGCAGGCCCCGCCTTGAGCAACCCGCACCGTCTCTGTGTTCATCAACGCTCGTTGGCCGCTCACAGACGCATTTGTAGCGCGAATGTGCGACATCACAGCATAGTACGCGGCGCCGTCTAGACCCGCGAGTTGCGCCGAGAGATGCGGGGACTGCTGGAGCGCGGTGAATTCTTCGAAGGGAGCCCAGTTGATATGTTCCGGAATCCGCGCTTGATAGCGGCCCTCCTTGGGTTCGCAGTCGCCCAGGTGCGGGAGAACCGATCTCCATCACGCGCGTCACAGCAGTTTACTGCGACTTGATGGCATCCTGAGCGCGCTGCGTCGCACCGAAGGTCTCGCGCCCGCACACTGCCCGCCCGCCGCGCAGCTCCTCAAGGTCTTCACCGGCGCCATCAAGCAGCGCGGGCACATCGACTGGCGGCGCGCGGCGCAGTCCGGCGGCATGCCGAGCTCGCACTCGTCCCTGTGCTCCGCGCTCCTGGTCGCCGTCGCGCTGCACGCCGGCCCTGGGTCCGACGTCTTCGCCGTCGTGTTCGTGATCAACATGGTCGTGCTGTACGACGCGTGCCACGTGCGCCTCGAGGCCGGCAAGCACGGCGCGGCGCTCAACCGCATCGAAGCGCACCTGAATCTCGGACCGACTGGCAACCGGAGTCAGGGGCAGGTCGGACCGCCCCTCCCTCGCGGCCCGCGCGCGCGCAGGAGCTCGCGGACGCCGCAGCTCGTCCGGCCTCGTCGCGGCTGCCGCGTTGAGCGTCGCCCGCACGTTGACGACAGTGTGTGATGTGTGTCGCAGCTCGAGGGTCGTGCGCGCAGGGCGTGGACGGGATCGACGTGGAGATGGGGGGCGCCGGCGCGCTGTCTCGCGCGCGCGAGGGCGCCGCAACGCCCCGGGGCCTTTTCAAGGAGGTGTTGGGACACACCCCCCTGGAGGTGTTGGCCGGGTGGGGCGTCGGCGTCGTCGTCGGCACCGCCGTGCACGCCACCGCGTGGGGCTCCAGCTAGCCCCGTGAGGTGAGGTGTCACATTCTTCGCGTCGTCAGCCATAAGGCTTTGGGACCTGAAAAGATCATTCGACTAGGTGGCGAGTCATGCTAACCCCCCACCGTTATGGTAGCAACAGGTTCGGCAGCTGTGACAAAGTCAGCCTGGAGCAGATCCTCGATGCCACGAGCAAAGATCGCCATGCCTCGCTGATTCGGCAGGTTCAGAAGATAACGCACTGCAGCGTTGGCAGCGGCTTCCGAGTCGAGTGTTGCAGCGCCGTACAGGTCCTCGAGGTGCTGGCGTAGCCGACGGTTGAGAGCGAAGCGGCGGCGCTGTCCAACAGTTGCCGTGGAAGACAGGGGCGCATCAGCAGCTGGCGGAAGTGGCAGCGTGAGCTGCCCAGACGAGTCCATGGCCAGGCCCGCTCGTTCCCGGAGAGAGCGTACCGCCGGGGCGCAGCAGTCCAACAGCAGGTGGCGGAGGTCCTCCGGGGCGGGCGATGCCGCCACGTCCACGCAGAAGCGGCAGACTTTCGATGGGTGCGACAGCGGAGTGTGTTGCCACTGCTGTTCCTGGTCCGCCATGGCCATCGTGGAGGTGCGCAGCCTCGTAGCTCCCACACGCAGGCGGGACAGGGCACGGCGGTCGGCGTGGTAGATCGCGGTGTCGAGCAGATGTGGAGGGATGGTGCGCGGTGGTGGCTGGCACCACCAGGCGTACCTGGCCCGTGTGCGGCCAAGCCCGTGCTGAGTGACCTCGGTCCGGGGATCCGGGGTTGCCGCGGGCTCGTGGTCCGGCAGCACGACCTGAGCGATCGTGTAATCGACTTCACTCCACCGCTTGCGTCTCACATCATACGTCGCCGGCCAGGCCCCAGCACCGCCCTACGCGGGCTGCGGCAGCTGCGCGTTCCCGTTCCCGCCCCCCGTGCCGTCCTGCGACTCGTCCTTCTTCGGCTCCGCGGGCTTGTCCTTCTTCCCGCCCCCAGTGAGGCGCTTGAGCGACAGGCGCTTCATGCGCCGCCCGCCCTTGCTCTTCTTCGTCGGGAAGTCCGCGACGTCGAGGAACGTCAGCGCGAACTTCACGCGGTGCCCCGCGAACTCGATGCTCATCGACTTGAGCACGTCGTTCAAAATCGACAGCATCAGCGAGATAGCGTTCACGTACACCTGCACGGGGCGAGGCCGGGGCGCGAGGGAACGCTCGACGCCGCACCGCTGCCTCCGCACGCTCTCTCGGTGCGGTCTGCGCGACGCACCTGCCGCTCGATGAAGTCCGGAATGAATCGGATGTTGACGTCCTGGTTCTCCAGCAGCTTGTCCACGCGCCCGATGATGACCTCCTTGTTGATGCCGGGCACGAACAGGTCGTCCAGCTCCTCGTTGGTCTTCGGCTCGAGCACGCCGGCGATGACGCGCAGCTCCTCGATCTGCGAGGAGGACGGCGGGGCGCAGGGGGGGGTTCGTGGCGGGGGGGGACGGGTGGCGCAGGGGGAGCGGCGGCGGGGCGAGGGGGACTGGAGGTGGCGACGCGGGACGGGTGGTGCGGGGGGCAGCGGCGGCGGGGCGCGGGCGGGGAGCAGGGCGGAATGCAGTGTTGTTGGGACGAGGGGCGGGGGGCGGGCGGACCTTCGTTCGCAGCCTGTCGTTGTCTGCACGGTCAGTGGGGGCGGCCGGGGGGAGCGGAGGTGTTGGTTGAAGTCGGGGGAGGGGCGCATTGCTGCGCGGCAGAGCATGCGTGCAGAGTGCGCGTGGGTGCGGGGTGGGGCGACTCGGCGCCTGACCTGCGCTGAGCTTGATGACCTTGTCGTACTGGTAGCGCTTGTTGAGCAGGTGCTTCGTGTACAGGCTCCCGAGCGCGAACGCAGCTCCAAAGAACCCAGCCACTGCCAAGACCGTCAGCAGGCTCATTTGCGTCTTCCTGCGCGGCCCGGACGCCGCGCGCGCCAGCGGTGCGCGAGCTAGGACCGTTCCGGCCAGCTCCCGGGCGCCAAGCGGCTGAACGAGCCCGGAAATCGGCTTCACGGGCAGGCACTGTTGGGCGCGGCATGCAGTTGAGACGCCCGAGGACCGCCGTTGACGTGGCCGAAGCGGCACGACGCACCCGCCGAGGCGAGCGCTCGATGTCACCAGCATAGTGATCCGCCGCGCTGGCGTCGAGCGGGGCGTCGCTGCGTGGTCTGCGAACCGAACGTTGCCAGAGCAACCTCCACTGCTTCGAGCGGGCGCAGCGGGTATGTGCGCGGACGTCGCCGGAGTGGGAGCGTTCTGCGTCGACGTCCAAGCGTGCGCAGCCCCTGTGCGCGGCGCAACCGGCCGGCCGGGGCCTGTGGCGCGCGCACCGTCAGGGGGGGGCCGCCCGAGCTTCAACTGGGCGTTTGGAATCCAGCCTGCTTGCCGCGGCAGGACGGCGCCGCGCGCCACTCGGGCGGAGCCGTGAGCGTGCCCGGCTCCATTCCCGCCCAGGAACCTGCGCCCGGCCCCCGGAGCGGTCGTCCCGCGCGCCTCCCTTTTTCGCGCTTTGAGCTCCGACCGGGCGGGCCGTGCGCGATGAAGCAGGGGTCGATTTTAAACTTTTTCGGCGCATCGGCGTCGAAGAGGAGCCAGAGCTCGCCGGTGGGCGCGCCGAACCTCACCCCGGGCGCCAGGGTGCCGGCCGAGCCCAGGAAGGATGGCACTCCTGCGACGGTGCCCAGCGGAGACCCAGGTGCGATCGCCTGACACGCGGAACGGAACCCTTGCGGACCGAGCGAGTGTCCAGGCATCGAAACCGCGCGTCATACGCACGGGCCCGCCCGTGCTCGCCGCAACAAGTCCGGTGTGCGCAACACGGCAACGCGTGCTCTGTGCCGCCTCTCGCGCTGCTGTTCACGTCGCACTGCGATCTCCCGGTGCAGTCGCGTCGAGCGGGCCCGCACGGAAGCGCGACGCGTCCCCGCTGGACTCCGAGCCGGCCAGCAAGCGCCTCGCGACGCAAGCAGAGAGCCCGGTCGGCGCGGAGACGGAGCCGTTCGCGGCCCGCATCGACGCCGCGCGGACCGACGGCGACCCTCAACGGCGCCGCCGAATGCAGGAGGTTCGTTCCCACAAACCACACCCCCCCCGCCATTTCGTGCTCACACACCATTGCGTGCTGACCGCGGCCCGCCCCCCCCGCTCCGCAGCTCGTGGGCGCCGGCGCGTCCACCCGCCTCGAGCGCCGCGCCGAGGCAGTCCGACAGAAGTTCGACTGGCTCGCCCCGAGCAAGGTGATGGACGCGGCGCGGCGGCGGCCCGGGGACGCGGCGTTCGACGAGCGGTCGGTGTACGTCCCCCAGGCGGCGTGGAGCGGGCTGTCGGAGTCGCAGCGGCAGTACTGGAAGGTCAAGGCGCAGCACCGCGACCTGGTGCTGTTCTTCAAGGTGGGCAAGTTCTTCGAACTGTACGAGGACGACGCGGCGACGGGCGCGGACGTGATGGGCTGGAAGCTCACGCTCAGCGGCGTGGGCAAGTGCCGGCAGGTCGGGTGCCCGGAGTCCGGCCTCGTCGAGGCGGCGCGGCGCCTTGTCGCGGCAGGCAAGTGACCGACCTGAGCTCCTCACGGCTCCTGAGACACGGCTGATCCTGAACTTCAGCAATAGTTTCATACCTGCAGGGTACAAGGTGGGTATAATGGAGCAGGTGGAGACTGCGAGCGCGGCCAAGGCGGCGCGCGGGTCCAAGGCGGTCGTGCGGCGCGAGCTCACGCAGGTCTACACCCCCGCGACCGCGCTCGACACCGAGGGCGGCGCCGCCGGCGGCGGCGGCGTCGTGCCGTCGTGCGTCCTGTGCATGTGGGAGGCGCCGCTGCCACGGGAGCGCGAGGGCGCGGTCGAGGTGGGCGTCGCGGTGCTGGACGCCACGAGCGGACAGGTGTACGCGGGGTCCGTGCGGGAGCTCGGCGGCGGGCGCGCCGCGGTCGGGGCGCTGCTGGCCTCGGTTGCCCCGCGCGAGGTCATTGCATCGCGGGAGGGCCTGTCGACGCACACCGCGCGCGTGCTCGCGCTGCACCCTGCGCGCAAGTCGTGGGTGCCGTGCGGGGCCGGGCCGAACGACCTGCCGCGGCCGGACGACGCGGCCGCGGCGGTGGTGGAGCGCCTGCGCGGCGTCGGGGTGCAGGTGGCCGACGGAGCGGAGCTCCCGGGGTGCCTGGCGGAGTGCGACGGGCCCACGCTGTCGGCGGTGAGCGGTCTGCTCGCGCACTTGCGGCGCGTCAAGCTCGCCGGTGCTGCGCAGTTTGCGTCGAACGTGTTGCCGCTGGCGCAGATGCCTGGTGGCGGGCTGGGGTCGATGGTGCTCGACGGGCCGACGCTGACGGGCCTCAACATCCTGGACGGCCCCGAGGGGCGCGTTGCGACCGGCACGGGCCCGCCGGCGTCGCTGCTGGCGCTAGTGGACTCCTGTGCGACTGCGGGGGGGCGAAGGACGCTCCGGGCGTGGCTCTGCGCGCCGCTCACGGACCCCGCGGCGATCGACGCGCGGCTCGACGTCGTGGAGGCGCTCGTCGCGGACCCGGCCACGTCAGGCACTGTGCGTCAGCGCCTGACGCGGGCACCCGACACCGCCGCGCTCGTCGGCCGCCTGCGCAGGGCGTGTGCGGAGCCGTCGGCGGGCCTGCCGTACGACATCCGTCGCGGAGCACAGAGCCGCCGCCTCGGCATCCTCCGCGGCGCCTGCGCCGGCCTTGCGCGAGCACTCGACATCGTGTCTGACCTGCGTCAGGACGCCGCCGCGCTCGAGCGCCTCGACGGGACGCGCCGCGACCCGCCCGCGCTGCTCCAGTCCCTTCTGGACCAGCCCGGTGCGCGCGACGAGCTCGACACGGCCGCGGCGCTCCTCGCGGAGATCCTGCGTGCCGTGCCTGCGCCGACGGGCAAGGCGAAGCAGGACGCCGGCGTGGCGGTGAGCGCGTCGGTGCTGGAGGGCGCTGGGCTGGCGGCGGACGCGGACGACGAGGGGCGGCTGGAGGCGGAGGTGAAGCTGACGACGCGGTGGGCGGAGACCCTGGTGGGCTGGGGGTGTGAGGGGCCCCCGGGGGGGGTCAGCGCGCTCGCGGGGGGGCTGTGGGAGCGCGTCGACGCGTCGCTGTCCGCGATCGACGCGCTACTGTCCTTCGCCGCGTTCGCCGGCTGCGCAGACGGCGCCGTCTGCCGCCCGGAGGTCCTCCCTGTGTCGGGGGACCACGGACACCCCCTCCTCGACCTCCGCGGGATGTGGAACCCGCTCGTGCGGACCCCCGGCTCCGGCACGGTCGTGCCCAACGACGTGGCGCTCGGCGGCCCGACGGGAGCGCGCGTCGCGGTGATCACCGGCTCCAACATGTCGGGCAAAAGCACCGCCATGCGCGCGGCATGCCTGGTGGCGGTCCTCGCGCAGGCGGGGTGCTACGTGCCCGCGTCGGCGGCGCGGCTGTCGGCGTGCGACCGCATCTTCACGCGCGTCGGCGCGCAGGACGAGATCATGGCGGGCCGCAGCACCTTCCTGGTGGAGTGTCTGGAGACGGCGGCGGTGCTGAAGGACGCGACGGCGGGGTCGCTGGTGGTGCTCGACGAGCTCGGGCGCGGCACGAGCACGCACGACGGGCACGCCATCGCGGAGGCGGTGCTTGCGCGGCTGGCGCGCGGGGCGGTGCGGCCGCGCGTGCTGTTCTCGACGCACTACCACGCGCTGGCGACGGGCCCGATGGCGGCGGACGCGGGCGTGGCGCTGGTGCACATGGCGTCGGAGCGGGACGGGCGCGGGGGGCTGCGGTTCTCGTACAAGCTGCAGGCGGGGGTCGCGCCGCAGTCGTGCGGATACGAGGTGGCCGCGATGGCCGGGGTGCCCGCGGCGGTGGTCGCGCGGGCGCGCGCGGTCGGCGAGCGCGTGGAGGAGGAGTGGGCGGCCGCGCAGGGCGTGCGGCAGATCCTGCGGGCCGCCCGGGGCGCCGAGTCGAGCAACGTGTAACGGGGGGATGTGAGGCCAACTGTGCGCGACACGCGGCTCGTTTCACTGCGTAGCTAGTGCACCAGCTGGAACTCCCCCTCCTGCGACATGTCCTTCGCGCCCCTCCGCCCACCCGCCTGCCCGCGGTCCAGCCGCACCCCCCACACCGGCTGGCGCGCGCCCCCGCCGTCCGCGGGCCGCTCGATCTCCTCCACGCGGTCCGCGCACCCCCTGTAGTCCAGATCCTGCCCCAGCAGCCGTATCGACCCGTGCCCGGAGCACGACGCAAACTCATACCCCACCCCCAACAGTACCCCGTCCGCGAGACCCCCCCACCCCTCACGCCGCCGCGCAGACCCGTGCGGGTGCAGCACAGGGCTCCGGACGTCCAGACCGACGCGCAGCGGTCCGAGCCCCAGCCGCAGCCCGAGGAGCAGCGTTGGTTCGATGCGCCACGTCTGGTCCTCGTGACTCCCCCCCGCGTGGCGCCGCACGGCCTTGCGCACGAGCCCCGAGATCCCCCGTGGACTCTTCGTGTCCCTGCGGAGAGACAGAGCACGGGCGTCCCGGAACGTCACCGCATGCCGCGCCCTGAACATCTGCCAAGTGTGCAAGCGCTGCTTTGCACATCATCGCCGCTTGTTCACTTTCGCCCCCGCCCGGATCCGCGTGCTGAGAAGCGCAACAATCTTGTCGCTGCGCTGCAACACGAGACACCTCCACGTCGGCGCAACACACCCCCCCTTCCCCGCACCTGTCGTCCGGCAGGTTGAGTCGGAACTCCGGCGCGACCCCCGCGAACGCCGACGCGGTCCACCTCGCGTCCCTGCGCACGAACGGCAGCCGCCAGAGCGCCCCGAGCGACCCCACGTGCAGCGCCCCGTCCCCCGCCGCCCGCGTGCTGCCAATCACGCACTCCACCTCGTCGCACGGCCGCGCACGGAACCGGCCGCCCACGCCCAGCGGCATCTCCGGCGCCCTCACGCGCAGCCCGAGCCCGAACCCGCCCGCGCGCGGCCGCTGCGGGCCGTCCGTGCCTGCACACAGGACACGGGCTTGTTCTGGGAACGGCATGGGCGCACGGGGCGCCTGTTGCGGGGCGCGGGGGGTGCGGCGGGTGTGGGGCGGCGCGCGCGCACCTCCTTGCGTGCCGTCGCTGTACTTGAACGGGTCTTCCTGCTGCGCGGGACCGGCGCCCTCGCCTCTGAGGCGCATGAGCGGCCAGACGTCCATCGCGAAGCCCTGGGCGCGCGAGGCCACGACTCCCACGGCCGAGCGGACCGCGAACCACGTCTCGATGAAGCCCTTGTGCTCCGGGATGAGGGCGCTGCAGTGTGGGGGAGGCACGCAGAGTGAGCGTCCGCGGGGCGCGTAACCCGTCGTCCACGTGGATCGTTGACGGAGAGGGTCGGCAGGAATCCTCGAGGAGAGGCACTCGCGACGAAGAACGATGCCCGTCCGCGGTGTTCCGACAAATGCGCGGCCGTGCTGTGGAGCCAGGCCTCCGGGCGGCAGGCGCGCGCATGCGGACAGCTGACCGGCACCGCGCGCGCAGCCGTACGCCACGCACAACACGCACGCGGAGGGGTCACGCGGCACGGTCCTCGGCCCCTGTTCGTCGCCGGGCGCTGCGAATGATCCAGTCCTTGCCTGCAAGGGTCGTCCTGGCACCGCTGCTTCACCACGAGGTCCACGCAGCGCGACGTGGATTGAAACTCCTGCAGCGAGCCGCCCTTGTCCGGGTGGTTCCGGATCGCCCATCGCCGGAAGTCGTTGTTGCTGTGGATGCCACGCGCCCGCAGCGAGCGCTTGCACCGCAGACACTCGTACGCCTCCGCCTGCCCCCCCATCCCCGCCCCGCGCCCCTCCCCTCCCTTAGCACCCCGCTACCCCGCGAATCTTGCGCCCGCGCGAAGAACCAGCCTGCAGGAGCCCGGCACCGCAGCCCGTGCACCGGTGGCCAGAGACGCGCCGCGCACCGCGTACAACCGCCTTCGACGGCCTAGTTACACAGAAATATGCACACAGACCCCGACGAACGTCCTCGTGGAGCGTCTGCCTCGTCACACCACCGCGCCCGCCCTGCATGCGCCCCGTCGCAAAGGGGAGCTCGACGCGGTGGGGCCTGACGGGCTCCGTGCGCGGCGGCCAGTGCTTCGTGGCGCAGCGGCCGGCGCCGGCTGCGACACTCGTGGCCACGAGAGGCGTTTTTGATGCAGTCCAATGAGGCGTTTGCACGGACGAATGCGCGCGGCTGGGCCGTGAGTGCGCGTGAGGGTGCGCCCCGGCCTGCGTAGTTAGGCGGGCGGAGATACAGGCGGGATGGGGCACGCCCGCACGAGGCGTGCGCGGGGCTCGAAGCGGAAGCGCGAGAGCGATCCGGAGATCGTGTCAGAGTCGGACCCGGCGATCGAGACAAGCACTAGTAGCTCGGGCGCCGACACGTCGTCGTTGAGCGATAAGATCGCCTCAAAGTTACGGAAGAGCGTGAACAACGCATCCGTCCGAGAGCCTGCGCGCAGAGCGGCGCGTGGTTCAGGTGTAGCGTTACGGACCCGGGCGAAAACATCACAGGGACCGAAGGAACATCACGGTGCGGCCCCGCTGCAGCCGCACTGCGGCCAGCGCATCACGCAGACGGAACGTTGCGATGACACGGTACCTGGACACCTGCGAGACGCGGCTCATGCAGCAGCGTGGTCGCGCCCTTCAGAGGCAACCGCCAACGAGCAACGCATGCTGTGCCGCAACAAGCACAACGCGCCAGACGTGTCGGTGCGCGTGATCTGCAGCGACTGCGAGGGGAGGCGGCAGGCAGCCGCGGGCATCAAGGAAGGCACAGGTGAACCAAATTCCTATCAACATGCAATCTTTCCTGTTGCCGCACTGCTGGACCCGTCGTGCCCCTCGGACGGGGACCTGCTCGCCCCCGACGGCTTGCCTGACCAGCCTCGAGCCCCTGAAAGCCTCCGCGTGCGCAGCCATGCCTCGACGGCCAGTTCACGCCCCCACCGAATCCACACCTTCTGCAGAAGCCTCGGCGCGGCAGTTCGAGCTCCGAGCCCCTGAGCCTGGACGAGAGCAGCAACGACGACGACCGTAGCGTCCGGGAGGCGGGCGTCGCCTCGGAGGACTCGCCGTCCGTGTCAGACGCGTCAGCGGAGTCAGGGGAGAACTGGCGCGACTCTGGGTCAGACGACGGCGAGTCCGAGGACCCGCAGCCCGCCAGACGCACGAGGACACGCGCCGCGGCGCGCTCCGCGCCGGCCAAGCGCACGCGTGCGTCCGAGCGCGTAACGACGGCCGCTACGAGACAGCCTGCTGCGAAAAGACATGCACCCGCCCAGCGGACTCCGTCCCGGAGACGCAGGCAGCCGTCGCCGTCGCTTGAGAGCGACGGAACACCGGAGAGCAGCGGCGACGAGCCGCCCCGTCCAGCGCGGGGCAGGCAAGGGCCTGGTCACGCAACAACCTCACCAGCGAAGGACACGACCAGCAAACGGAAGGCGCCTGCGCCGCGAGCCGCCGCGCGGAGACGCGAGGAGACGCCGTCGGACGACGGCGGCAGCGACGCACCCGAGAGCGGCGACGAGGGGCCGACAGCAGCTCGCCGTGGCAGGAAAGCGGGGCCCGCCGCGTCGAACCGCGCCACAAGAAGCGCAGGCGGCAGGCAGAAGGCGCCTGCGTCGCGAGCTGCCGCACGGAGACGCGAGGAGACGCCGTCGGACGACGGTGGCAGCCGCGGGAGCAGCAGCGACCAGGATGAACTGCCTGCGGCGGCGCACGCCAAGAGTAGGCACAAGGTACTTTCCCGGGGACGTCGGAAGGTGTCGTCCGACAGCGAGGACGAGTCGGCTGAGGGAGCGCGGCCCGAGGAGAGCGACGCACCTAACAACGCAGAGCAGAGGGGACGCGAGCGTTCGCATCCAGTTGTGCTGCTGTCCGAGGAAAGCGAGGACGCGTCGGAGCGGAGCGGTTCGGGTGGGTCCAGCGGCGCAGGGGAGGCGTCGGACGGGGTTGTTGGTGACGACGCTGCGCCGCTGCCGTCCCCGGGGGTCGCGACTCGGGCACAGGGGCGGAGGTCGGACCCGCACGTGACACAGGAGGCGCGGATGGCCCTCGAGACGATCCGGGAAGCGCAGCGGAAGGACGCCCAGCGCCGGAGACGGCAGGCGGAGGCTGCGCGGCTGCACGCGCTGGAGGACGACGACAGCGGCGCGGCGCAGGACCGCGAAGAAGGGGAGGACGACGCCGAGCAGGAGGAGGACGATGACGGGGACGCGTCGAGGGAGGACTCCGAGGAGGCACGGGAGGTGCGTTGGCGCGTGCTGCACGCGCGCTCGCTGACGCGTGTCGGTTTCCACCCGCCACGGCCGGCGATGTGGATCACGCGTGTGGATCACGGCGTTGCAGGAGCTGGCGAGGCGGGTCGAGCTGGACACGAGGAAGGCGCTCGCTCGCATGCGGGCGTTTGCGGGCGGGGACCGCGGCGAGACGCACCAGCGCCCGCGCCGCCGCGGGACGAGGCTCCTCGCCGACGGCCCGCGCTCGGGCTCCGAGGCGTCCGGCGGCAGCATGGACGACTTCGTGGTCGAGGTCGCCGACTCCCCCCCCGAAGTCCCCCCGGGGCCTCCTGCGCAGGTCCCGCGCACCCGCGCGAAGGAACAGTCGCGGATGCTCGATCGGCCGCCACCGGCGGGGCCCGAGCAGGATGACGACGCGCAGGCGTTTCGCGCGCTGTCCGGCAGTGAGGACTCGGAGGAGCTACCAGCGGTGCGGCGTTTCAGCGGGACAGCGCGGGTGGCCGGGGCCGCGCGGACGCGTCGGAGAGGGACGTTGGAGGCACGGGGGGGTCGCGTGGCGGCGTCGCCGGCGGTGGTGGACCTGGAGGATTCCTCGGAGGACCGGGGGGGTGCCGAAGACGGCGGGCGGAGTGAGAGCGATGTGGAGGTGGTGGACGAGGACGACGGAGCGGGGCGCGGGAACGTGTTCGTGAACGAGGACGGCATCACGAACGAGGAGCTCGACGGCTCGCCGGGGTTCCCGCAGCTGGGGGGCAGTGATGATTCGTCCGACGACGACAGAGGGGAGTCTGGCGAGGGGCACGCGCGGAGCGGCGACGGCGACAGCGGGATCGTGTACGCGCAGATGGACGACGAGACGCAGCGCGAGATGGACGCGATGCTCGGCGGGCGCAACGTCCCCGAGGAGCAGGCCTTCAAGGCGTTCTTCGAGGCGGCGATCGGGGAAGCGCTGTACAGAGACTTCTGGGGCAGCATGTATCCGAGGGAGCGCGAGCAGCTGCGGCGGACGGTGGAGCGTGCGGAGCAGAAGCTGTCGGAGCTGCGCAACCTGTGCGTCACGTCGCAGGCGTGGTTTGGGAGGAACGTGCACCCGGACTTTGTCGCGGCGCTGCACCTGCTGCCGATGATGGACGTGCACGAGGATCCGCCGGACGGCGACGGCGAGGGGTGCGAGATCTGTGGGCGCAGCAGCCACCCCGCGAGCAGCACGTGAGTCGCGCACAGCCGTCCGTTGCGGCCGTTCCGCCACTGTGCGTGTTCGAACTGGATGCCATCGTCGACGTAGACCGTCCCGTGCTCCCCACGTCGTGGGAGGCCCCACGAACCCCCCCTCACGTGCCGTGATGCGCTCACGTCACCGCTCGCCCGCCCTGCACGCAGGGTCACGCTGTACGGCCGGCCGTACGTGGCCAAGATCGCGCGGGACGTGGAGATGTCGGAGATCAAGCGGCGGATGGAGGACACCATGAACCGGTGGGAGGGGCGGCAGCGAACGATGGAGTTCGCGGCGGGGAGGTACTGCAAGGTCCGCGTGATGATGTACCACCTGCTGTTCCACCACAAGAGGAACGTCGTCGCGCGCACGCGGCGCAGCCTGTTGGCGCTCGCCGGCGGCGCGGACGCCGGGTTCGAGGAGCTGCAGGGGGCGCTCGAGAAGCTGGCGGCGGAGGGGGCGCGGGGGCGCGGGACGCTGCACAGGATGTGGGTCGAGACGGAGAAGCTGATCCGGCTCGTGCGGCGGTGGATGGCGGACGGCAGCGGCAGCAGCAACTCGTGGCGGCAGAACTACCAGAAGGTGTTCCCGCACCTGCAGGCGCTGCAGCAGAAGGCGATGGACCAGCTGCGCGGCGAGGACTGGGTGCCGCCCGGCCGGCTGTTCCCGCACGTCGCCGAGCCGGAGTCGGAGGGCGACGACGCTGAGGAGGCCGGAGACGTCGTTAGCGCGCAGGAGGAGGAGGACGAATAGGGGCGCGGCGCGACGAGGATCGCGGGACTGTGCCCCGGCGCGTGTGTGACGCGCTCGCCTGCGCGCTGCGGCCGCACCGTCGCTGCGCGGGCGTGTCGACTGTTAATGCATGCAACATGCGGCCAGGAGGGGAGTTCAGTGCGCGAGTGACACGTGCGGATGGCGCACGTAGCGCGTGGGAACGTCCCGCCAGGCGTACGTCTCCGGACAGACATGCGCGCTGGTGACTCATCAGGGTAGCTGCTGCGCGCCTGTCCGACAGTGTCAGGCCACTCGCAGGCGTGATGAGCGGGAGCGGCGAGGTGGCGCCGGCAACCTTTCGAGACTGAGCCTGCGTTCGGGGGTCTATAGGCGTTCCAGTGTGTCGCAACGACGCTGTTTGAGGGCACGTACACACCACCTGGTGGAAAGCACCCGCGTCCCGCGCAGATCGGGCCGCGCAGGCCCCTGGGAGGACCATGGTCGATTTCGATCCCTCGCACAGCTGAATACGGACCTCTGGCCCCGGCGCCGCCCGCGGACCCGTGCGGCCGGACGCGACGGGGTGCCAGCAGTGGGGCGCGCCAAGTGCAGCTCGGTTCGGTGCCTGCGCCGCGCTGTTGGGTTCAGGGCCGATTAGGAGGGGAGCAGGTGCATTATGGCGTCCCAGGGCTCGAGCCAGATCAGCGCGGAGCAGCTGGAGACGCTGTCGCGCGTGTCCGCGCTCGCACGAGCGGAGCCCTGCGTTGCGGCTTTTTCGCGGGAAGTGGGGACGGTGCAGTCGTCGTTCGCCTTCGTGTCGCCGGAGCCGTCGTTTTCGGAGGCAGGCGCCACGCCCGGGACCGATGACGCGCCGGGGTCGCAGTCCCAGGCCCGTCAATCCCACTACCGCTCCCCAGTGACGTTCGGTGCGCCCCCCGGACGGACGCGCGCCAGTCTGCCCCTCGCGAATCGCTGCCCGATGCAGCCCTGAGCTGGTTCGGCGCTCCCGGTGTCGCACGCCCCGGTCGGAAGCTTGCGGCGACGCCGGGCGGAGCAAGACAACTTGTGCCTCTTTCGACGCCTCCCTGCGACGCAGCGGGCTATCTGATGAACAAGCGACAGTACGAGGAGGAGCAGGCGATACTCGAGGCATTCGTCTCGCAGTTCTCGGATCAGTATGCCTTCACAACCGACGAAACACTGGCCGGACCGTGCAGGCGAGCAAACCACCGCGCGCCCCCGACCCCGCCGACCGCCGCCGCGCGCCTCTCGCGCCCCTCGCTCGCCCAACCGTACGCGTCACGCCCGTTCCGCCGCGCAGGGAGCTCCTGACGTTCCTCCTCGCGGCGCGCCTCTCGTCCAAGAAGTTCCGCCTGCAGTGGCCCCGCGCGCACGTCCTGGCCGTCGTGCAGTGCCTCCGCGTGCTCATGCGCGACTCCGCGCTCCAGAAGGTGCTCGTCGAGCTCGGCGGCGTCGAGGCAAGTCCGCCCCACCGCGAACAGCCCAAGCGACGTGCACACACACAGAGGCGCCCCGCACGGCTCCAGCCGCGCGCACGCGGCGCCTGGGCGGCAACCTTGGCGTCGTAGCATCGCCCGCACCTCGTGGCGGGCCGGGGCGGCAGACGACGGCACCGCCGGCTGCTCAGTCTTGGTTTCTCGTCTCCGGTTCGCAGATCATTGCCCTCGAGGTTGCGCGGCTGACGCACATCCACCTGGGCATGTCCGAGGAGCCGGACCCGCTCGGGCGCCGCACGACCCCGGGGCGCGTGTCGCGCTTCGGCGAGCTCCCCCCCTCGAAGCGCATGACTCGGCACAAGTCGAGCAACTCGCTGGCGGAGGGCAGCGCGCGGCGGCGGACGTCGGAGCGGACGCCCCCCGCGGTGCTGCTGCGGCGGAGATTCCGCAGCGTGGCGCACGGGTTCGCGACGCTCGAGGGTGCGGACGGCGAAGGTGCGAAGGCGGAACACAACAGCAGGAGTGCGGTGGAAGACACTGTGGGGGCTCTGGAGAGCTTCGCGGAGGACCAGAGCAGCTCGTCGGACGAGGAGGAGACCGCGGACATCATGGAGGTGCGCCCGCGGCGCAGCGCGACCGCAGCTGGTGCGTGCGGATACCTGTGGAGGGTTGTCCTCTCACGTGCTGCGGTTGTTCTCGGCGACTGCGCGCAGGACCTGTTCGTGGCGGAGATGCTCGCGGAGTACGGCTCGATGCTGCGGCGGCTCGCGGCGGCGACGGAGTGGCGTGAGACCCTCGCGCTGGCCGGAGTCCCCACGCTCCTGACTCAGCTCCTGCGGTCGCGGGACGCGACGCTCCTGCCGCTCGTGCTCGTCGCGCTGCGGCACCTCGCCGCGGACAAGTCCGTCCTCGAGACCATCGCGGCCACCACGGACGCCCCGGAGGTGTTGATGGAGATGTTGCGCTCATACCCCTCCCCCCTCCGCGACCTCGCGCTGGGGCTCATCCTCCCTCTCGCGCGGCACTCGGTGTTCCGCGGCGACCTCCTCGAGCTCGACGCGGTGCCCGTCGTCCTCGGGCTCCTCGGCGCGAACCCGGGGGGGGAGTTGTGTGTTCTACTCCTGAAGACGATGTGCGCGCTGATCGTCGGGCCGCAGGGCGTGCAGGAGGCGCGCACGTACGGCGCGATCCCCGTGCTGCTCGCGTGCCTCGCCAAGGACTCCGGCGCGCCGCCCCCCGGCGCCCGGCTGCGCTCCGCGTGGGTGACTGCGCGCTGCTCCACCGTGTCGCTCACGTGCACGGCGATCACGCGGCTGATCGAGGACATCGACGGCGCGTACCAGGTGCGGCAGAACAACGGCATCTACGTCCTCGGGTGGCAGCTGATCGACCCGCTGGGGGTGCGCGTGGAGGCGAAGGCGGGCGCGGCGCCGGCGAGCGTCCTCGGGGACGGCCCGGCGAAGAACCCGCCGCGCGATGCGCGCAAGGCTCTCGAGGACATGACGGTCGCTGCGCTGGAGCGCTACGAGACGCTGCCGCCGGCGTTGAGCAGCCGCGTGGACACCGTGCGCGCGTGGGTCATGCGGGCCCTGCGGTTCATGTTCTCCGTCGAACGGCACCGAAAGTACGCCGCCCCCTGGCACTCACCGTGCGTCAACCAGCGCCTGCACACCGCTCGCACACCGGCGCACGTCAAGCGCAGCAGCTGCCACTTCGCGCTCACCGTTTCCGCGCACCCGGCGCTGCACTCCCGCAGGGTATTCAAGCGCCTGCTCCCCGCGGGCCTCTTCGGCTCCTTCATCGACATCGGCAACTACGAGCCGGACCCGCGCAAGTACCAGCCCGCGGTGCAGGCCTTCAACTCCCTGGGCGCTCGCGGCGCGGTGGCGCTCGCGTGCGGGCTGGAGGACCACAAGGCCGCGGAGGAGGGCGAGCGCGAGGTCGTGCAGCGGTACGAGATCGTCGAGCTCCTGGGCCGCGGGGCGTACGGCGCAGTGTACAAGGCACGCAAGCAGGGCGAGGAGGGCGAGATGGTGGCGCTGAAGGAGATATCGATGGAGAACACGCAGCTGTTCGGACAGACGCAGCGCGAGAAGGACCTCGGCGTGGGGCAGATGTGCCGCGAGATCGAGATCCTGGCGGGGTTGGATCACCCGAACATCGTCAAGTACCACGAGTCGTTCGTGGCGCGGAACAGGCTCTGGATCGTCATGGAACTCAGCGAGGTGCGACGCACGGCTCTCGCTCTGGCCGGCTGCGCATCCGCCCCGTGCGCGTCATGCGGTGGCCCAGGGGGGGGGTGTTTCCGTCTTGTGCGCAGGGCGCGTCGCTGCTGGACTACATCACGGACGTGCGGGAGAAGGGGCAGCGAATACCGGAGGACCACGTGTGGCAGTGTCTCGTGGCCGTGGTCACCGCGCTCGACTACGTCCACAACGCGCGCGGCGTCGTGCACCGCGACCTGACCCCCGGGAACATCATGCTCGGGCTGCACGGCGAGGGCGGCAGCGCAGCGTCCTTCCGGCGCGCCAAGGTGACGGACTTTGGTCTGGCGCGGGAGCTGACGCAGACCATGAGCGTCGCTGCGTCCATGTGCGGCACCGTGCCGTACATGTGCCCGGAGATGATCCAGAACGAGAGGTGCGGCGAATGCGTCCACGCTGGACCTGCACGCCGTGCTCGCGCGAGACCTGATTTCACGATCGTTGTTGTGTACGTGTACCCGCTGCGCAGGTACTCGGCCAAGGCCGACATGTGGTCGCTCGGGTGCGTCGTGTACCACATGATGATGCTCCGACCGCCGTTCGAGGGCAACAACCCCCTCGCGATCGCCTCCCGCATCGTCGAGGGCCGCTTCGACCCCCCCCAGGAGCCCCCCGGGACCCCGCGTCAGCTCTACAGCGACGAGCTCCGCGCCCTGTGCCTCGCGCTCCTCACCCCGGACCCCAGCCGCCGCCCAGGCGCCCGCGACGTCGTCGCGATGGCCGCGGGCCGCGTCCTCGAGGCCATGACGGCGTGCCGGGAGGCGGAGGAGGTGTGGGAGCGCCGGTGGGGGTTGGAGCGGGCGAAGCGGATGCGGGCGCAGGAGCACTACCGCCGCGTGCAGAACGTCGTGGACATCACTGCGGCGGCGCCGGCGCCGGCGCCTGCGGAGCGGGACCTGCTCGGGGGCGCGACGGACGGGAACGACAGCTCGAACGCAGTGACGCCGACGCAGCACGGGGTGACGCACTTCCCGACGGGGTCCGACGGGGCGGGGAACTCAGCGAATGGGAACGCTGTGGGCGGGGAGGGCGAGGCGGCGGCGATGGGGCCGGAGACGCCGCGGCTGCTGCCGACGCGCGGCGCGAGTGGGAGCGGTGCGCTGGCGCCGCCGACGCGCAAGGGGCGCGTGCGGGTCGGGTCACGGACGATCACGATCACGAGCGACCGGCTGCGCCCGATCGACGATCCCGTCGTGCAGATGCTGCACGTGTTGCACAAGGTGTTGTACATCGATCAACTCCCCCCGGGACCGTCACGGGACTGGAAGCGACGGTGCGTCGAGCGGTTCCGGAAGCACCTCTTCCATCCGATGCAGCACGGGGCGTCCATCAAGACACAGCTGTCCAAGTAAGTCACCCGGGGTGGCTCGACCCACTTGATCTCTCTCAAATACAAACTTGCCAGTTGCTCCTCTCGACTCACCGATCAACGGAGCGCCGCTCGCACTGCAGGCTCGTGTCGGGGTCGCAGGATCTGATCGACCTCACGTTCCGCGTCGAGCAAGGCGAGAACGGCACCAGCGGGCTCAGCAACGGGGACGGCGGGGCCCAGGGGCGCACGGGCACCGCGGGGCGGGGGAAGCGGCAGGAGCGGCGGCTCACGTACGACGCGCTCATGGGCATCATCCACGACGTCTTGCAGGACACAGGGTTCCACGCGGCGCGCCGGCAAGGGCTGGGGCGCGCGCATGCCGCCAACGCGTCCGTGCGGGGCAACCTGGACGCGAACCTCCCGATCCGCGCGGCCCAGAACAGCACGATCCTGGACCACGTGTGACGGCGGTTGCAGGTCGGAGCAGCGGCGCGCGAGTCGGTGCGGATCCCCACGTCTGTCTTGTTTGTTTGTACCAGCCGGCATGTGGTGCACCCAGCGCAGCGGGGCGGCGCGGGAATCGCACGTAGCCTCAGCGACCATGGGCATAGGGCACCTCCGGACACGTCGTTCGAAGGCCGCTTCGTCACACGCGGTGTTACTTCGACTCGCTGCGCCGAAAAGTGGTGTGGAGCTTTTGCGTGCAGCCCGGATTTGCACACCGTTGTACAGCCCAGATTTGCTGTACCATGATCTTTCGGGAAGCGCGACAGCTACTCCAAGTAAGGAAGTTCGCGGGCAGCTACCGCAACGTTCGTTCGAGCGCGCCGACAGTTCCCCACCAGAACCAGCCCCTTGTCACTGCACCATTGCCTGAGCTCAGGTAAGTAGCCGCGTCGCGCGGTGGATACGTTGATATCCACCATGTGTCGCGGCCTCCCTGTCCACGGTTCATCCCCTGCTGCTTCCAGTATGGCTTCAATGACCTTTTGCAGTCCTTGCAGTGTTATCGCGCCGCACCTGACGAATTCCAGACTCGTGAGCGTCAGTCCACCCCGGATCGCCATCGCCAGCGCAGTAGCGACGGTGTCATCGGCGGGCCCGTCGATGAAGCCTTGCCCCGGCCCCAGCCTGTCATGCGCGTACGGACCAATGTCGAGGTGCGTGATCTTCGTCTGCGCTCCCAGCGCCGCAACGATGGCCATAAAGCCGGCGCGACCGACGCCGCCCCAGCCGTCGATGCCGACCCTCCGCAGCGAGGGGCTGCGCGCGAGGCTGCTGGCTACCTCCACTGCCCCGGCATCGCCAATTGCGAGGTAGCTAAGACGCAGGCATTGTAGGGCACAGTCCGCGCTGCCAACGAACGCGCTCAAAAGCTGCACTATCTCAGGGGCGCTGTCAAGCACGGGGTTCTTCCGCAGTCCGAGCAGCAGGCTCCGCAGGGTGGTGTTCCCGTGGAGGGCCCTCAACAGCGCCCTCAGCCCTTCCTCTGGCAGGAACATCTCGCTCAGGCGCAAATCTTGCAGCGTCTTCCGCAGCTCTCCGGCGCCGAGTGCCTCCGCGAGGCCCAGGGCGTCGGCCAGCGGGCAGTCAACGTCGTCGAGCGCGCAGCCCTCCAGGTGCAGGACAGATAGAGACGACTGCCGCGACAACGCCCTCGCGATGGGACCGCAGCTTGAGGCGGCAGACGTGGAGCCGACGATGGTCAGCTGGTGCAGCGAGCACGGCCAAGGCAAGCTGCATGCCCCCTCGGGGGAGCTCAGGTCTGGAAGTGTCCAGTCTGACGCCGGGCGGTCTCCTCGGCGCATCTCCAGCACGCGAAGCTTCGAGTCGGCCCTGAGGCAGTCGAGGATGGCTTGCTCCGGAGAGCACACGCCGGGCGCGTTGGCCTCAAGCTCATCCTGCAGTGTCGGTGCCGAGGGTTGACTGGAGACCTGCGACGACCCTGAGTCATGTTCGTCTGCGGAATCGTCTGCGTCGTCGGTGGCCGATGCGAGCTCGTCGTCATCGGTCAAACTCGACTCGTCCGTGTCTTCGTCCGAGTCGTACGGCACCGGCGGTGCCGTTTCAGCGATGGCCCGCTTGTAGCCCGCATCGAACTCAGCGCCGCCGATAGCTACGTGCACCAGCGACGTTGAGCGATCCAGCGCCGCGCCCAGCCTCGCCGCGTCGCGAACCGTCGAGATGCCGCAGTCACGAAGCGCAAGGTACCGGAGCTTGTGGAGCTTGCCGATCGCCCCGCAGAGGGCCGCCATCGCATCGCGCTGAAAGAGGAAGCAGCGCATCTCCAGGGACCTGAGCTCGCGACACCCGCGCACCGCGTTCAGCAGCACTGTGGCCGGTGACGGCTCATGGTCGTCCCCCATGATTTTCAGCGGCCCTACGCGCAGCTCACGAAGGTGGCGCCGCACAGACTCGCGCCGGAGCACGCGCTGCAGCGCCTGCATGCTGCGAAGGTCGTCTGTGGCCACCCAGGGGTCGCTTCGACGCCACATTTCCAGCCGAGACGCAGGCAGATGCAAGATGGCACATGGTCCCCGGAGGGGAAGGATGCCGACGATCTTGTACACGTGCAGCGGAAACCCTGCCGCCTCGGTCGCGACGATAAACTGCTCGAGGGCTTCAACGAAGCGTGCCGCCCGAAAACAACCATTATTGTCAAGCAAAGTTGGCTCGAACAACTCCGGTGATTTCTCGTAGACGACATCGAGCTGGTCCCGCAGCTGAAGGGCGTCGGTGGCGGCGAGGGTCGCATTGCAGAGTGCCTGAATGCGAATTCGACCGCCTTGAGAAACCCTGCCCGCCTCGGCGTGCCGTGCGAGGCCGCAAAGCACTGCGCCGTGCAAGTCGACGTCGAGGCACTCTCCGTGCCGGATGGTTGCGAGGAGAGCCGACCAGGAAACTTCTCTCAGCCTCGGATTGGCTTGCGAGGTGTGTGCGAGGGCGGTCGGGACGGCGTCAAGCAGTCGCTCGAACGGAGATGAGTCCTGCAGGGGGGGCGCATGAAACGAAGTCAGACCATGTTTGAGGCCATGTGAGCGTGCCGTGCATCGCCTCGAGCCAGCTTGTGGCGGGCGTCACGTACCATGGTCACCTATTTCGGCTCGTGTTGCCGCGAATGACGTCTCCAGTTGCTTGTTGCGAAGATCCGGCTCAGCCGCTACCTCCCGAACTTCATGAGCCCGCTAGATACAAGATGTGTCTATAGTGTATCAGGAGATTGCGCTTTGAACGGCAGTGAAAGCGAAACACGGCGCTGGGCGATTCACCCGCCGGCGGTCTCGCTGTTTTGGGGGACAACGGCGACCGTGCCGTGGTGGAGATCGACCCTCCCGCTCGCCCTCAACGCAAGTAGGCCCAATCTGTCCCCGCGAAGCGCCGGACCAGAGCTTCGAGGACCATCGAACACGAAATGCTTTCAACCTGACTCAACTGCTGCTCCGGGTCCCACGATGGCTGCAAACGACCCCGAACCATCCTGACAACCACCTCACGGCCCGATTGAGCTACGATCAAGCCTGGGCAGAAAAGAGCATCGCTGCAGCGACGGCGGGGATTCTGCCCCCACCGGCTGAACATAACGCGCTGGCAAAACACAAAACAGACCTCGGCGCAAGCACGAACGTCGCCGCACCACCTCACACCTCGTTGCGGCCACCTCCTCCTCCCCGCGCCGCGTTCCCTCCGAGCCACGCCCTGCCCCTCACCCGAGCATGGCCTGTGCCAGCGCCTGCGGCAGCTGCTGCAGCACCTGCAGCAACTCCTGGTCCATATACACCGCGTACCGCACCTCCGCGCTCTCACGCACGCGCACGCCGCTCCCCGCGCGCCCCCCCAGCAGCCCGCGCGCCTCGGCCCAGCTCCGCAGCTGCCCGCCGTCCCTGTCCAGCGCCAGCGTCGACACCACCACCTCGCGCGCGACGCCGTCCCGCCGGTCCTGCAGCGACGTGATCAGCCACCACAGCCCCGCGAAGGTCATCGTGCCGCAGTTGAAGAGCCCGAGCGTCCTGAGCGGCGCGCCGCGGTCCACCGCGCGCGCCAGCGCCCTGCACACGTCGTCATCGACAGGCCCCTCCAAAACACCCCTCGCGACGAAGACCGGGCCGTCCGGGTCGATCCGCAGGTCCTGCAGCGCCCCCTCCGGCCCCAGGGCCTCCGCGATCGCGGTCACGCCCACGCTCCCGAGCCCCACGCTGCGATGCAGGTTCAAAACCGCGAGCGTCCTGTTGCGCCGCAGGCCCCGCGCAAGCTCGACCGCCCACTTGTCGCCGACCTCGCAGTTGGTCAGGATCAGCTCCGTGAGCGCGCAGCCGTCGCCGCCGAGCAGCGAGCCCAGCAGGGCACCCAGGACGCCCGCCGCGTCGTAGTGGCACGCTTGCGACACGTCGAGCTTCTCGAGGGCCGCGCTGCCCTGCAGGCCGTCAAGCAGCGCCTTCATGCTCGCGAACTCGCCCAGCACCGGGATGCCCGACAGCAGCAGCGTCCGCAGGGAGCGTCCCAGCGCGCCCGTGTGCAGCGCGTCCGCGAGCGCCTGCACGTCGCCGTGCGACACGCTCGTGAGGCCCGAGAAGTCGAGCTCCTGCAGCGAGGACTGGTGCGCCAGGGCCTTGCAGATCGCGCCGACCACGTCCGCGACGCCCAGGTATCCGCTGACGGTCAGCGTGTGCAGGGCGCCAAGACACCGCCACGCGGCCGGCTCCGGAAGCGGCAAGCGCGCCGCGGCGAGGCTGCGCTCGGCCGGCAGGGGCACGCCACGGCGGACGCGCAGCGTCCGCAGGGAGGCGCTGCCCGCCGCGCCCCGCAGAATGCCCATGCTCGGCACGCGCGGGCGCTCGCCCAGACTGTAGGCGATGATCTCGTCCGCCCACGACACGCGGGCCCAGCGCTCGGCCGCGGCCTCCCAGCCCCGCTCCAGGAACATCTCGGGCACGCGGATCGTTGCGGACCGCGCAATGCGCTCCCACGGCTCCTCGAACAGGTCCTCTGCGTGCTCCGCGTATTCGAGATCATCGCCGTCGAAGTCCGCGAGCTGCTCGCGCACGTCCTCGGCCGCGCTGCTGAGCGCCCACGCCGCCATCTTGGCCACGCAGGCCGCCTGCGTGAGTCCGCCGTACACGAAATACTCCCCCCCGTCGACGTCGAGCCGCGTCAGCGTCGTTGCGCGGCGCAGCATCCGGTTCAGCTCGCGCACGCCCGCGCGCGTCATCCCGCAGTCGAACAGCCGGAGCGTGCGCAGCGCCGGCAGCCTCTTCGCCGCCCAGCGCAGCGCCTCGCCTCCACGGTCGCTGAAGAACACCCCACACACCTCCAGCTCCTCAAGGCGTTGCACCCCGGCGACCGCGCGACACAGAGCCGCCGCGAGCTCGGCGTCGTCGTCCACGATCCTGAGCGGGCCCACACGCAGCTCGCGGAGGTGGAGCCGCACGGAACTGCGGCGCAACACCCGCCGCAGCGCGTGTAGAGTGCGGAGGTCGTTCGTGGCCGTCCACGGCGTGCTGCGACGCCAGGAGTGCAGCCGGTGGCTGCGCGGCTTGCTGTCGACCAGGCGGAGCACGTGCAGCGGGCGCCCCGCGGCCTCGGACGCTTCGAGGAGTCTTTCCAGAGCCAGGACTTGGTTGTGCCTCGCAGATTGAGACAATGAGACTTCCGGGCACGAATTGAGGGCCCGATGGAGGGCGAACGCGTCCGAGGCCGGGAGCGACGCGCCGAAGAGGCCCGGCAGGAGCAGCTGGGACGCGGACGCGACGCTGCGCGCCTTGGCATGCCGCGCAAGGGCGCGGAGGAGGTGTCCGTGGCCGGTGATGAGGAGCTGAGCGTCCGCGTGCCTGAGCGTGGCCAGGAACGCCGACCACGACGTGGCCGCTACGTCCCTGCGCGCCTTGTGGTCGAGGTGCTGGACGAGGGCCGGGACGGCGTCCAGGAGCCGCTCGAAGTCTCCGGGCTCGAGGGCGGGAGCCTGCAAGGGATCGCGCGGGGCGTCAGTGGCGTGGGTGGGTCCGCGGGAAGCGGCCGGCGTCGACAGGGCGAATTCTTCGTTCGCGAATAGGCGTACCATGGTGTCAGTTGCCGCTCGCGGCGCCGGAAGGCGCGAAAGGTTTCGTTTTTTGGTCGACTCACGCCAGGACAGCGTCGGGGCGCGACGTGGGACGCCTCGGGGCGCTGAGGAGCCCGGTCGCGTTGAATCGTCGGCGTGCCGATCGAGTTTGTCGAGGCGGGACACGCCAGCAAGCGCCGCTGTGCCTGCAACCGACGCACACCAACGTGAAGCAGTTCGCGTCGACATCCTGGCGTGTCCCGTGCAAAAGAAGGGCGGTATCGTCTCGAGAGCATGTATGGCGTATGGGGAGGCACGACAGCGCAGCGGGGTGGTCGGGGCATGCGGAGGGAGAGGGCAGTGCTTGGCTGCATGCTCCGTCAATGCGTCTGTTCGGCAAGGATCGCACCTCTCGCGAGCCGAATCGCGCGCACTACGTCCGGAACTGTCCCGGTCGATGCCGGTCAGGCCCATTGATCCTCGTCGCGCTGACGAACGAACGAGTCCTCCGCCTCGTTCTTTCTCCTCGACACCCCCCCTCCTCACGCGCGCACGCGACTCGACCTGCACAGAACATTCATCAGCATTCTCTCCATCCGCAGCCGGGCGAACGCGGTGAAGCCACGACAGCGGCGCGAGCATGCCCTCACATCTGCACCTGCGCGCCGCCGCGCCCCTACACCGGGCTCCGCGGCGCCTTGGTCCGGTCCTCGTTGCGCAGCGTCGTGTACCCCGACCCCTGCGCCCCCGACGGCCCGGCCCCCTGCTGCTGCTCCCCAAACATGAGGTCGCCCCCGGGCTGCTCCACGAACGCGCCCTGGATGACGGGGAGGCCGAGGAAGACGTCGTGCACGTCGCTCTGCGTCACGACCTGCGCGTCGCGGTCGATGGCGAAGCACACGAAGACCGCGTCGACGACGTTGAGCAGGAGCCCCGCCAGGAACGACAGCACGACGAGCGCGACGACGCCCGCCGCGACGCCGAGAATGATCGCCGCGGCGCCCCCGCCGTCCTCCCCGCGCCACCGCACCGCCGCGAGCAGCCCGACCGCCACGCCCCACACCGCGGCCGCCACCAGCGACGTCATCTGGAGCACGAACCCGGGCACCCACCACACCGTGAACGCGTCGAGCACGTTGCGCTTGAGCAGGTCGATGATGTCGCGCCCGGCCTGCAGGAACGCGTCCCCGCTGATCGCCGCGTACACCGTGGCGTACTTGGTGATGTACTCGATGAGCTCCGTGAGGCACTGGGCGGCCATGAGGAAGAGGCAGTAGAGGATCTGCGCGAGGCCGTCGCCGCGGTTGCGTTCGCGCGCGTTGCGGATGCTCTGGCGGACCAGGTCGACGACGGTCATGATGGCGGCGCCAAAGCACAGGGAGCCCGCCGAGGGGCCGAGGGCGTGGCCGAGGGAGCGCTTGACGCGCGCGGAGCTCGCGCCGGTGATGTGCGCGGGCGCGAAGTACCACTGCGACACCGTGCCGGACACCACGAAGATGCGCAGCTGCGAGAAGACCCACGACGTCCACAGGAGGGTCAGGCCGGCCAGCGCCCAGTACGCCGGGACCCAGTCGTCCGGCCGCCACGCGCAGCACGGCACCTGCGGGCCGGACGGCTCGCTCGGGTCGTCGTGGGCGTGCTTGCCGAGGAGGCCGCTCGCGGGGCCGTCGTCGCTGGGGGGCGCCACGCAGATGCCGTCCTGCTCGACGCGGCCCTCGACGGGCACGACGTGGCCGTTCATGTACGCCACGGCCATGAGCGCGAAGCCCGGGATGCTGGCGACGCCGAGGACGACGTTGCTCAGGATGACGAACCACACGAGGGGGGTGTTGTCGTTCAGGCCCTTGGCCGACACGCGGAGCATGCTCGCGGTGTAGTCGAGGCGGTCGCGGATCGAGTAGAAGCACGCCGCCATGATCATCGCGAACGCACACATGATCAGGCCCGGCACCGCCGCGCCGCCCATCAACAGGGAGATGCCAACTGCCGCGGGGATCGCCACTTGGACTCCGACGGCGACCGAGATCATGCGGCGCGCGTGCGACTTGAAGAGCGTCACCCAGAAGGCCCCGATCACGAGCGCGCCGACCAGGCTCGCCAGGAGCCACACGGCGCCCTGCGACGCGGCGCGCGGGAGCCCGGAGGGCGCATCAGCCGCCGAGAGCATCGCGGGCGGGGACGGCGGGTGGCGGGCGGTTCCTGCGAGGTTCCTGCGCGGGAGGGACTGGGGCGAGGTGGCCTACCTCTTTGATGTACTTGGGGTAGTCGAAGTCGTCGTCGGAGGGCTCGCCCGCGGCCTCGAGGAGCGAGCGGCGGGAGCCGACCGGGCAGTTGGCCGGGTCGTTCAGGTAGTCCGGCGTGGCCAGGTCCGTGAACTTGGGGTTCCTGCACGCCGAGGGGCGGGCGCGCGCGCGCGTTCGGGGCCGGAAACCCGCGGACCGCGACGGCGCGGGGAAGACTTCGAGAACCGCCGCCGGCGATGGGACAGAGCCGTGCGCGCGCCAGGGACGGGCTGCGCGGCGCCCGAAGCGGGCCGGCGCGTCGACGCCGACGCAGAACTATCCGGCGCGGAGGTCGTCGCAGGCCACGGGGGCCCTGGGGGGCGGGAAAGTCCCCGCGGGACGGACGCACCGTGCGTAGACTCCATAGCCGCCCCAGGCGACGGTGGCGGCGACGAAGGCGAGATAGACCCACAGCCAGGCGCGGTCGCGGTTGGGGCGGTGCGTCGTGAAGGGGCCGTAGCTCCCGCCGTCCTCAGGCCACGCGGGGTCCTTCATCCTGGTCGGGGAACTCTGGGGCAGCGCACACGGCCGCAGACGGGGTGGCGAGGCCGACGACTGCCGCACACTGTCGGTCAGAGGCCTGTGTGGGGGGAAAGGTACAGCGCAGGCGCTCGGATCGACCAGACGTGCGCGTTGCCGGCACTTCACGTGGTGAGGGGCACGAGCTGCAACCGCAGACGCTGCGGACGTGAGTATGCGCCCTGCAACCGGTCGCTGTGCGTAGTGGCAGGCGTTGGCCGTCCGCGGGGCCCGATGTGGGCGCAGCTCGCGCCGCGACCACGCCACGGCGGTCTCGACGAAACGGCCCACCCCCCCCAGGCTGCCGCGGCGGCCGTGGGCGGCCAATCGACGGCGCAGCGCGCGCCGGCGTTAGAATAGATTCGCAGGTTCGGACATTCGCTGACGAAACACGTCCGCCCGACCAGCCGTCGCCGGTTGGCGCCCGACTCTGCAACTCGCGCCATCCGCCACCAGCGGCCGTGCGATGCGCTAGACCTTTCCATTCGCGCACGGGTTCGAAACTTATAGGCATCATGAAGAAACAGAGGGCTCGTGCGAGGAGCCCCGAGCTCGAGGCGCGCAGCAGCAAGCCAAAGCACGACAGTGAGGCCGTGGGTGAGTATGGGCCCATCGTGAGCGACACCCTCGCGCGACAATTCTTTCGTTGTACTATCGGGGGAGGGCCGCGCGACGCGGTACGCCGTCGACGCGGCCTGGTTCGCCGGGGCGGGCACCCACGAGCCCTCTACCGGCTCCACCGGGGTCGCCGCGATCGCGCCCTGTCGCGCGCAGTGCAGCGCAGAGATTGGTAGAACGCACCTCTCCCGCGCGCCTCGGTCGGCGTCCGGTCCCATCCGCCCCCGCACGCGGGCGCGACCGGCCGCGCGATGCCGCATCCACGCGAGCCCCGTTGCGGGGGCTTGCAGCCGCCCGCGGGGCCTGGAATCGAGCGCGAATATGTTTTTACACTCGCGAACGGCCAGGGTCGCGCGGCCGCGCCCGCGTGCGGGACTCGACGGCTGGGCCCGCGCAGCGTTTTCATGGCCCGCCTCCTGTTGGTGGACCGTGCCCGCCCCGGCCGTGACGACCCGCCGCAGGCAGCGCGGCGCCCCCTCCTGCATCGTTCCTCGCGTCCCCGCCGCCCAGGGCCGCTCTCCGCGCGGGGAACCCTCCGCACGCGCCCATCCTGGGTGCATGGCCTGCGGGCCCGGCCTCGTGTGCCCTCGCGCGCCGTCCCCCTCCGCCCAACGCACGGCCCACGCCCCCCTTCGCCGCAGACACAGCGAATGCGCGCGAGGCGCAGCAGCCGGCGGGCAATGCGGCCGCGACCCGCGACGCACCGCGCCTCCCCGCCCGGACGGACCTCATGGCAAGTTGCCCGCCCCCCGCGCGCCCCGCGTCGCTCCCGGCGCGCGACGGCGCGCGACGCAGCGTGGCCACATCCAGAGCCACGCCCCCGGCCGCACGCCCGGCGACCGCACGCCCCCAGGCGCACTCCCGCCACTCCGAGCCTCACGCAACAGGTGCAACGCCCTCGCCGCGCCCCCGCCCCGCCCGTGCAGCGCACCCCGAAGCGCCCGGACGGGCCGCGCAAGGACGTTCCGCCCTCGCCGTTCACGGCCTTCGCGAACAACCTGTCGCCCATCCGGCCGCCCCGGAAGGACTTCCCCTACACCATTCGGGACATCCAGTCCCCGGCCAAGCAGCTCCTGCAGTCCCCGGCCTTCAAGGAGCGCGACGCCGACATGTTCACGCCCCTGCGGAACTCCGCGGCCCGCCCCGCGCGCGCGGCGCGCTGCCACGCCCGCCCGACCCCCCTCGCTGCCGCCACGCCGACGCCGACGCCGCCGCTCTTCCTGGGGGAGCCGGACGCGCCGCTCCCGGAAGCCACGCCCGCGCGGCGCCTCGCGACCTTCCTGCGCGAGGGCCAGGGCCAGCGCGACGGCGCGGAGCCCGTCGAGGACCTCCGCGGCGCGCTGCGCGAGGCGGTGCAGTCGCCCGACCGCGGCGAGCGCCACATCACGGTCGGCCCGGACGTCCAGGCGCCGCCGACGGTGGTCCGGCAGGCGCTGATCCGGCAGATCGGGTTCGCCGCGGACCGCTCGCGCAAGTCGCTGTCGTTCCAGGTCCCCGACGCGGCGCCGGCGCCGGCGCCAGCGCCAGCGCCAGCGCCGCTGTCGCCCGCCGGCGCTGGAGGCGGCCGCGGAGCGCGGGGGTGTCGCGGGCGGGCCGGACGCAGCGCCCGCGCCGGCCGCTGGGCTCGGAGTCGCCGGACGCGCGCGGCGCGGACGCCGCGGGTCGCCGGCGACGCCGCAGGGCGCGGGCGGCCGGCGCAGGCGCCGCTGGCTGCCCCGCACGGCAGCGGCCCCCCGCACACGATCCCGGTGACTCCCGGCACGGTGCTCCTGTCGCACGTCGGGCACGCGGCGGCCGGGCACGCCGCGGCGGCCCCGGCGCACGTCGAGGACCGGCGCGCGTCGATAGGCACCAAACGGGCTCTGCGGTGCAACTGCAAGAAGTCGCGGTGCCTGAAGCTGTACTGCGACTGCTTCGGCGCGGGGCAGTACTGCCAGGGCTGCTCGTGCATCGGGTGCCTCAACAACGTCGAGTCGGCGGAGATCGTGGAGGCGGCGCGGCGCGAGGTCAAGGCGCGCAACCCGGACGCGTTCGAGCCGCGGCTGATCCGCGCGGAGGACGGGACGCGGCACAAGAAGGGCTGCCGGTGCAAGAAGTCGCACTGTCTGAAGAAGTACTGCGAGTGCTACTCGGCGGGGGTCAAGTGCTCGGAGGCATGCAAGTGCGAGAACTGCTTCAACCGCGGGGAGGGCGAGAACGGCGGGGACAAGCCGGGCACCGCGCCCTCGCGCAAGTCCAACAGGAAGGCCACCGACGTCCGGGCGCCGCAGAACGCCGAGCCCGTGCGTTACACCGGCGTCAAGTCAGGTGAACACCCCCCCGTCCCCAAACAGAGAGCTGCGCGATGCTGCGGCGCGTGCGGGGCTGACCGCCGCGCGCCTCGCGTCGTGTCCGCAGATGTCTGCCACGGAGGACCGGGGACGCAGCTGCCGGTCGTCACAATGGCGCATGCGATTCCCCGCAGCTAGCCGCCGGACGCCCCCTTGCATCTCCCGCTGGCTCTTGGCCCCCCCTCGACTACGCGACCAGCGTCCTGAGGCATCGAAGTGCGCAGACGGCACTGACTCGGCAAAACACCCCCATTTTCTCCCCCCCCTCACTCCCTTCCCCGCACCCTCGCATAGTGCACTGAAGAGCCCCCCCTCTTGTGTCCGGCATCTGCCCAGCCGCTAGACCCCCAACCAGCGCCAGAGGCTTGAAGGCCCGATCGCCGCAACGGCGCCCGCAACGCACCCCCGCGTCGACATAGCAGTTACTGCCCTCACCGGTCAGGGGGTGCCACGCGCGCGCCTGGATGGCTACGGCTGTGAGCCTGCTGAAGTGCGTCAGGGCAACCGTCGGGCAAACGAGGCGTCCAGAAGGTCTCCCACACACCACCGAGTGACGTGACAGCCTGTCGAAAGTATCCGAGCCACCTCGCGCGACCGCCGGCCGCACCGGATGCGCGGTGCGCGGCTCACGCGAGCAGGAACGGGTCGAAGGGAGGCTCGTTCGATTCCCGCCGGGCGACCGCGTACCGCTGCACGTGCAACAGCTTTTCGACCATCGCGGAAAACCATCCGTCGCCGGGATCGACCGCCGGCGTGGCGCGCAGCACCAAGGAGCCGCCGCGGACAAGGTGCTCGCAGCAGCAGCAGCGACCCGCCCAGGGCCACGCACAGCACGCACGAAATGCCCGCGCAATCTTGTGCCATGTTGCCTGCTGTCAGCGAGTCCAGAGACGCAACTGCTTCCGCGCGCGCTCCCCAGCCCCAGCGATCAATCAACGAATCACATGGTGTTGGGCGAGAACACCCTCTTCGGCGACGGCAGCGGCGACAGCGGCTTCTCCGCCGCAGACCCCGCCAGCTGGCTCTGCGACGCCACGCGCATGGCCGCCTTCTGCGCGGCCTCCTTGATGTCGGGCTGCTCGGCCTCGAGCTCGCGCACCCAGTGCGGCTCGTGCACGCGCCGCAGCAGGTCGAACAGCGCGTAGTTGACGTCCAACATGTTTTCTACTGACATAAAGTGCGCGCCCGACACGATCAGCGCGGGGCAGTCCAGCCAGGTGGCCAGCCGCAGGCCCGAGCTCGGCCGCGTGATGATGTCCTCGCGCCCCACGACCACCATCTTCGGCGCCGGGCTGCTGCGGATGTTGCCCAGGTCCTGCCTGCAAACACACAGACGCACAACACACCCACGGTCGGCCCAGGTCCGTCCCGCAGCGCAAGGCGCAAGCAACACACGCACAGTACGCCACACAACCGTCGCCCCGCCGACCCACACGAATGCGCGCTCGATCGCGGCCGTTGCGCGTGTTGATGGCAAACAACACAGCGGGGGGGGGGTCGCGCCTGGTGACGCTGAACCCGAAGACCGCGTTGACCTGTCCGGCGTTGCCGTGGTCCGGCTGCATCCCGAACATCTTGTGCTCCTGCACGTACCGCTCCAGCAGCGCCTCCTTGCGCGGCCGCGTGGGGCCGCCCTTCTTCTCCTCCGCGCGGCACCCCGTCCCGCGCCACGCCACCGACACCTCCTCCTCCAGGAAGGCCGGCGAGAAGTGGCACTGCAGGTCCAGCTTCGCGCGGTCCTCGGGCGTTTTCGCGAACTGGAGCTTCAGCGCAAGATACACCATCTTCAAGGTCGGGAGGGAGCCCCAGACGGACGTGGTGGGCGCGAGGAGGAGCAGCGAGTCCAGCCGCATCGGGGCTGCGAGGGAGCGGCGAGCATGGGGCCGGGGTTGAGGGCGGGCCGGGTCGGGAGGGGGTGTGTTGAACAGGCCGCGTACGCTCGCGCTCAGGCGCGGTGTGCGATCGCGTGGCGTGGCCGCCGTGTGGGTGCGGGGCGTCTGCGCGCGTCTGGCGCGGAGGTGGAGCGGCGCGTGGAGCGGCGCACCTGCGGCGGCGAGCTTGGTGGCGATGAGCGCGCCCATGGAGTGGCCCACGACGTGCGCGGTGGGGAAGCCCGCGGCGTCCATGCAGCGCAGGACGTCGTCCGCCATGGTCTCGATCGAGTAGCGGCTCTTGTCCGTCGGCGCTGCGGCACACACATACAGGACGGCGCGTTCGGAACATGTGTGAACAGGATCTGCTTGGCGGTCCTCGGGAACAGGTAGATCGGGGCCCCGTGGCTCGAACCACGCACCCCGCCGCAGGGCTAGCACATGGGCGTGATATGAGGCCATTGTGCGCGGGCGCTGCGGGGCACGCGGGCGACGGGCAAAGAGCACAGTGCGCACCTTCACTTCGGCCGATGCCGCGGTTGTCGAGCACGAGGACGCGCACGGGCGGGATGCCCGACAGCCGGAGTCTCTCGTCGAAGAGCATGCGCATCTGCGGCTCCCACCACATCCGCCACGACGCAGCGAGCCCTGCATAAAGACCACGTAAGCGCCTCGTTGCTCGGCCGCGGCGCGTCACGGCGACGAGGCGCGCGCATTCTGGCATCGACGCGACGCGCGGGCACCGGACCTGCGATGAACACCACGCGCGCCTCGACTGCGTGGTCGTTGCGGTCCGTGACGGGGGCGGACGTCTCGGCGTCGCTGTCCACCGCGGGGCTGCGTTCCCTGCGCGACACGACGCCCGTTTTCTCGAACTTACGCGTCGCAGATGCACGCAGGATGCCAAGGGACGCGGATCGAGCCGCGGCGGTCGCACGCGCTCGCCCACCGCTTCACGCGAAGCTGGTCAGGTGCATCCGCCAGGTCGCGGCCCCTCGCGCACAGCTCCGCCGCCGAGTTGCGCCAAAACCCATCGCGATTGCTCGTGCCGGCGATAGTCTCGACGCTCAGACGGCGGAGCATGCCGCATTCGCCTGGCACGGGTGCGCGCAGCTCGAGCACCCGCCCAGCCTCTCAGCGGCCCGCGCCGCGCACAGACGCGCCGCAACGTCCCCATCTTTCGGATTCCGAGCGGCATTGTGGGCGTCCACGTCCACGCAGGGGCGCGCACCTGGTCCGTGCGCCGTCCTTCCCGCGCTGGCTCCTTCCCACCTGCACGTCTCCAGAGCTCAGCAGGCCGTCCGTCTCCTCGGGCGCCTCGTCGTCCTCGTCGTCCGAGTAGTCGGGCCGCAGCTCGCTCCACCGGTGTTCGTAGTCGAACGTCATGTAGTGGATCTTGCACCCATCTTTCGCGGTCACGAACGGCATCTCGACCCGCGGCACCAAACGAGCGGCGACGCCGAATCCACGGTCGAACCTCCCTCAGTGCACCTGGAATGGATCGACTGTGACGCGGGGAAGCGCGCCGCGGCGCGATCGAAGCCGCGGGCCCCGCACTCCGCGCCACGTCGCACCGTGGCGGGGCCGAGCGCAGCGGAGGCCTCCCCGCGCGGGCGCGGAGGATCGGGCGGCGTGAAGAGGGGCGCGACGGTCGCCGCGGGCCCACCTCGGCTCGTGCAAGGTCCGGAAAGGGCGACAGGCCCGGAAGACTGAAAGATGGCGGCGTCGACGGCACATTCCGGGGCGCTGGTGAAGCCGGGCCGGATTGCTGGGCGCAGGGGTGAGCGAGGGGGGTGTCATCGGGCGAGGACCTCTGTCGTAGTCCGAGCGGAGTCCTCGTGCGGGCGGCGCGACGCCCTGGCGGCCGGTGCGTGCGTTCTGGCGACGGTGCCGGGACTGGCCAGCACGGCGGAGGCCACGCCGCTGGCGCCCCTCGGCAAGGTGGGAGCGTCCGTCGGGGGCGAGAAGAGAGGGGGCATGGGAGCGGAGGCCGTCGCGAAGGTCCTTGAGCGGTGAGCGGCGCCCACGCGGCCCCCAGCACCGGTCTGAGCGACTGCCCTCTCTCTCTCTCGTCCGCGCGAGACAGTTCGCGTTCGGCTGTGACGCAGGGACCTGAGAGAGGGGCAGTACTTCGTGACGGGCGCTCTGACGCCGGAGATCTTCGAGGACGAGTGTCGCTTCAAGGACCCCACGAACGACATCGTTGGCCTCAGCAGGTGCGGGCGCCACGGACAGGAAATCGCTGATGAATCCCTCATGGCGCACGGACTCTCACGGGATCTACCAACCGAAAACCGCGCCTCTGCAGGTACATCAAGGCCCTCGGGCTGCTGTTCGACCCTCTGTACAGGTGTGGCGCCTACATCTGCTAGCATCGCAGCTGTGCGGCTCCTGACCCCGACGCGCGCCTGCAGGGAGCGCACAGTGCAGGCGTGCCATCCGCCTGAGACAGTTGCTCGTCCGCCGTGCAGTGGGGTGGAGCTGAAGGGCATCAAGGTGACGTCGCCAGACACCATCGAGGCCGACTGGCGCCTCGGGGGCTTCCTGAACAAGAAGTACTTCCCCTGGGGCGCGAAGATCGACCCGCTCGAGGGCCACACGGTGTACAAGCTGAGCGACCGGGGCCTCGTGGCGCTGCAGGAGCAGACGTGGTCCATCACGGGGTTCGAGGCGCTGCAGCAGACGTTCACGCCCGCGGGCGTCGCGCCGTACAAGGTGCTGTGAGGCCGCGGCTGGGTCGAGGGACGGAGAGCGGGGCGATGCGACGACTGCGACGGGTGGGTCGATTGCGGTCGCCGCGTGCGCGACGTGGAGCGATGCACTCCGCGCCGCTGCTGTCCGCTCCTCGCCGCACGCAGAGCCCTCTACGTATCCTTCCCCGACTATTGCTAGAGCGAAGGACGCCGCACAACGGACCGAGTCTCTCACTCGCACATCCGCACCAGGACTGGGAGCGAGGGCGACAGCGCCTGCCCGCAGCGCAGCCATGTTGTATCTAGCTCACACGATGCTCACGCGCGAGCTCTCCTAGCGCAGCGCCGCGCCATTCGCAGCGCCACGGACACACCTGCACGGTGCGTTGAATCACTCCTCCACTCGCCCGGTCCCACGCACGCAAGCGCGCCTACAGGCCCGCGGCGGCGCAGAACGCGTTGTTCGAGCTCGTGTCGAACACGCGCGCGCCGATGCCCGTGGGCGTGGTGCCGTACGTCGACGTCGCAAAGTTGCCGCTCCCGAAGCGCGCGTAGATCGCCTCGAGCACGTTGTTCACGCGGCACAGCAGGCGGCCGAGGTCGTCCGGGGACTGGTGCTGCGTCGCCTGGAAGTCCACGTACCGCTGCGCCAGCGCCTTGGCCTCCACCGCGCCGTCGTAGATGGCCTTGCACTGCGCGTCCGTGAAGGTCCAGGTCGTGTTGCCGTCGGCGTCGGTGGACGAGGAGGCGCCGCAGGACGCCGTGGTCGTCGCGAGCGCCTCGGCGCGCACGCTGAAGTCCTCGGCGTAGTTGGTGATGTAGAGGCGGTAGTGGTTGACGTCGCGGACGCCGAACATCGACGGCGCGTACGCCGCCTGGCTGAAGAGCAGCGCGGTCGTGAACCCGGCCACGATCAGCGTGATCACCCACCCGATCACGATCTTCGGCACGATCATCCAGTTGACGCCCTTGATGCCCTCCAGCATGCCCACGCCGATGGTCGCGCCGACCTGGCAGTGCGTCGTCGACAGCGGGATCCCGTAGCGCGACCCGAGCGCGACCACGAGCGCCGACCCCAGCTCGATCGCGAACCCGCGTGAGGGCGTGATCTTGGTCAGCTTGACGCCAATGGCGCGCATGATGACGTAGCCGTACGTGGCGAGGCCGAGCACGATGCCGATGCCGCCGAGCGCGAGGATCCAGTACATGTCGTTCTTGATCGCCTCCGTCTTCTTCTCGAGGCGCTCCAGCTTGTACACCACGTACAGGCCCGCGAAGGGCCCCACCGAGTTGGCCACGTCGTTGGCGCCGTGCGCGAACGAGTCGCAGATCGCCGTGAACACCTGGAGGTACTTGAACGACTCCTCGGTCTTGTTGTCGTACACCACGGTGCTGCTGTGCACGCCGCCCACGTTGTCGTCCTCGTCGACGACGGCGTGCAGGTCCTGGTCCACGCCGCGCGACACCGCCTTGAACAGCGACTGCATCCGCGACCGCGGCTTGTCCTCCGCGTCCTCCTCGGCCTCGGGCTTCCCCTCGGCCTTCGCCGCCTTGGCCGCCTCGATCGCCGCGGCGCGCGCGGCGAGGTCGCGCTCAACGAGGCGCTTGAGGACGAACTTCGCGAGGAGGATGGCGACGATGCCGCAGCCGACGGCGACGACGACGGAGATCCACGCGGCCTCGGAGATGTCCATGTTCTTGATGCTGTCGATGGACTTGGCGCCCTTGTTCAGAATGAAGAAGACGTTCACGAACACCGCGACGGTCACGAGGACGGGGAAGGCCCAGAAGGAGCGCTCGTAGCTGTTCTCGTGCTTGAGCACGAAGAAGCGCGTCGTGAAGAAGAAGAAGCCCGCAAGGATGGCGCAGGCCACGGGCGAGAACACCCACGAGAAGACGATGGCGCCGATGCCCTTGAAGAAGGGGAAGTCGTCGCTGCGCTCCGCCCACACGACGGCCTCGCCGCCGCGCGACGCGAGCGTGAAGCCCACCACGCCGCCGATGGCCGAGTGCGTCGTCGACACCGGGAGCTCAAAGTACGTCGCGATGAGGAGCCACAGGCCCGTCGCGGCGATCACGCAGAGCATGCCGTACATGTAGATCTCGGGGGCTGCGCGGAGGCGGGCCGGGCGGGCGGTCGTGAGCCTGGAACGCCGACGCCGGAGTGGCGCGTGCGCGGGCCGGGGCGCGGCGCACCGTCGTAGAAGAACTCGATCTTCGCGATCTTCCCGCGGACCGTGTCCGTCACGTGCGAGCCCAGGAGGAAGGCGCCCAGGAACTCGAAGACGGCCGCGATCACCACCGCCTGCTTGACCGTCAGGGCCTTGGAGCCCACGGACGACCCGAACGCATTGGCTGCGGGGGACGAGGGCGCGGGGCAGGACCGTGTGGGCGCGGCGGAGGCGGTCGTGCGTCGCAGCAGGCGGGGCGAGCGCGGGCGTTCGCAGCAACAGCTGCGTGTGCGCAGCCAGGTGGCGGCGCGCGTCGCGGCGGCGGCGCGCGGTTGGTTCGAGAGGGGCGCGGGGGGGCGTACCGAGGTCGTTGGCGCCGATGCCGTAGGCTGCGGGCGGAGCGGGGCGGAGGGAGGGGTCGTTAGCACAATCGCAACATGTGTGTGTGTGTCGCACGCAGGTGTAATCACGAGGGGATCGCGTCATGCGCTGGCGGCGGTGCAGAGGGCGGTTACGGTGCTGTCGCGGTCGCGGTGTCGTGTATGCGTGCGCGAAGAGGCTCGGAACCGCGCGGAACGGCGGGGGACGCGGGGCGGCGCGGTGGGCGGCTGCGATGGCGTGCAAAGTAGTTGGCCGCCGCGGGGGGCGCGGAGCGGGCTCATGTGCCGTAATTGTCACGCAAGAACCACAAGGAGACCAAGAATGGCACAGAAGAGCAATGTATTGTGCTTGATCCTCTCGCGCCGAGGCGCTAGCGCGCTGGTAGCAGATGCTCTGGAGTGTTGCGGCTGCGGGCGCCGCGGGGCTCACCAGTGAAGACCTGCGGCGAGCGGGGCGGGAACGATCCAATCATGGACGTGTTCGGTGCGCGAGGATGCGCGTGGGCCGCGCCCTGCGAGCGGCGCGGCGACAGCCGAGCATCGGTGCATAGCAGCCCCGGCGGGTGACGCACCGCCAGGAAGGCGCCGACGACGACGATCCACCGGTACTCGTCCCACATATTGTCAGATCCTGCACGCAATCAAAACCAAGCACAGCGTGTCACGCACGGGCCCCTGCGCCGCAGCAGAGCTCCGACCCCGCGTCGCGGGCCCCGCGTTCGCGCGGACGCACCTGTCAAGCTCCACGCGACCGCGATCCCGAACCGAGTGCACGCGGCCGGCGCGCGGGCCCGAACACGGCTCCGGCGCGCCTGCGGCGGCGAACGGGGGGGCATCTCCCCCCGCCCGCCATACTGCTCTCAACCGTTTCCCGACGCCGTTATTCGGGCGATCGGACACTTGTGCCCCCCCGAAGCAGCCCCCAAGCGTACTCTCGCACCCGAACCGGCCGCGTCGCGCTCTGGGGCCCCCGTTCGCGACCTATACGCGCCGGGGCCGCCACTCCCCTGGCTGTGAAGGCATCTTCGGGTTTTGCGGGGGCCCCGCGGAGCATCTTGGGGGCCTCGGTGGCGGGTCTTGCGGGGAAGGAGGCCAGGTACGTTTTGAACTGCACTCCGTGAGGTAAAAACCGGGCCTATAAGCCGCTGTGTCGCCGCGGCGAGGCGCACGGCGGGCGCTGTGGCTTTCGGGGGCGGCCGACGCGCCACGCGACGGCACCTGGCGCCAAATCGCGGGGGCTCGCGATCCTCTGTGATACTACGAGGTGCCTGTCTGCGCTCCGCTGGGCCTCCGAGCCATTGTACGCCGCGGGGGGGCGCAGCGCAGCCAGGCCCCCCGGTCCCCAGCAACTCGCGCGAACCGAGCCGCGGCCGCGGTATAATCTTCGTTTTCTCGAGCGCGGCCCGACGCTCATCGCCACGCGCGCCTGCTGCGACCCGCGCGCGCCGCTCCCGCCCCCCCCGCACCCGTGACGCCGCGTCTGTGTCCCTGGTGTGCAAACACGCCCGCTGCGGCGGCGCCCAGCGAGCCCGCCGCGCGCCGGCCGCCCAGCAGACGCCCAGGGCGCGCAGGGACCCCCACAGCCCGTCGCCTGCGTCACAGCCCGAACTCCTCGATCGGGAAGCGCTGGACATCCATTTTACGGAACGCGCTCCCGAGGAGCTTCTCGCGGCCTATCTGGTACACCAGCACCCACGCCAGGAGCACCGTGATCCACGCCGCACACCCCGCCGCTCCACGCGTGACGTCTGCACGGCACCGGGGCACCACGGCGTGGTTGCTGCTTGCGGACGAGCGATCCTCCGCGACGGCGTTGCGTTGGGCGAGCGCGCGCGGGCGGGCGCGGGGCGCACATTTGAGGAGCACGGGGTGTCTTCGGCGCTTCAGTTCGGGCCAGAAGAACCACACGGAGATGCCCCAGAGCCACGGGAGGGCGAAGCACCCGCCCCAGAACATCCGCTGGGCCGCAACCATCGCGTCGCTCAGCTTCATGATCTGGCCGTCGACCGTCAGGACCTGCGCGCGGAACGCACGGCGCGCGTGTGGGCCAGGGGCGCGCGGAGAGGCCGTGCCAGCTGGCACAGCAAGCGAGCAGACGCACGCGCGCCCAGACGCCTGAATCACGCATCCCGGCCCGGGAACCCACGCGCCTTCGATCCGGGACAGTATCAAGACGTCGAATTTCGCTCGCAAACGCACAGGCACGGAGGGGGTCTCCGGCGTTACGAGACACTCGTGCTCAGCGCCATCAGTCCGCTGCCCACCTGGTCCTGGCCGCTCCCGGGCTCCTCCTCGTCCTCCAGCACGTCCCGGCGTGTCGTTGGCCCCGGCGGAAGCGGTTCCACGCGCTCCGTCATCCTCCCCCGCCACGCGCGCTCCGTACCCTGCCCCTGCGTTTCCACGCCTAACGCCGGCTCTCGCACTGCCGCAACGCGCCCTCGCGCCAGATTTCTAGCAGGACAGGGTGCCGGTCGAGCTTGTCGCGGACGAGCGCTGGTCGTGTGCTGCGTTGAATCGGCGTGCGAAGCTCCCTTTTGTTCGCGCAGGGGAATCAGACCTTGCCCTGGCCTCCACGTAGATCAAGCACCTAAGCCGTTCCGTCCCGGAAAATCTTCCTGCATCTGCAGCCACGCAGTCCCTTTGAAACGCTCGCCCGGCCCCGTCAGACGAGCGCACGGACGTGGTTCGTGTCTGTCCGGCCCTTTGCGTGGCAGCAGCGTCAGGCCCAGCCACGGGACATGGCCGCGCGGGGCGCGCTGCCGAGGGCAGCGTGCAGCACGTCCGCAGCGCAAGGCGTCGGTTGCGTCACTGTCGGTCCGGGCCTCTCACAGCGTGGTGACCTCATGCGCTCGTCCCTCGCGTCCACGTCCGCCCCGGCGCGGGCGCAGGCTGTGCGAGCGCCAACCGCGCGCCCACGGGCCCGTCCGTTCGCTCGCTCCGCGCCGCACACTCGGAACCGGCGCGATGCCGCTACGGTGCGCACCCTCGCTCGGACCATGCACACCTGCTTGCGTGGCGGTTCCGGCGCCTGCACGACCTCTCGCAGCCTACCACGCGCTTCGAGGCCAATAAATGTTGTTTCCATCATCCTCCGGTATAAAATCTGGAATCTCAAGCAGTAGGGGCGAGCACTCACTCGCCTGGTGCTGCGTGGAAAGCCTCACGGCCCGCTCCGCCACCCGCGCAGATCACGTCCGCGACCGTCGTGGACATGACGACCTCGCCCCTGGCCACCTCGTCCGCGCACTTGACCCTCACTCGGCCCAACGGCGACACCGTCACCGTCGGCGAGCTCACCGAGGTCCGCCCCGCCGCCCGAACGGCCCCAGACGACAGCACAGGATCCCCGCGCCTCGCTACACCGCCAGCCACCGCCTCAGCGTCCGCGATACGCATGTACGTACACACCCCCCCCCCGTTCGCATCATTTCATCATTCATAAAAGCTGCGCGACTTCTACCCCGCACGCCCCCTGCAGGGCAAGACCGTCATGGTGTTCCTGCGGCACCTCGGCTGCCCGTTCTGCTGGGAGTTCGCCAAGACCGTGCTCACCATCCGCCCGCAGCTCGCCGAGCGCGGCTACACCCTGGCGCTCGTGTCCATCGGGGACGCGGACGGCGCGGTCAAGTTCTGCGAGAAGCTCCCCTGCGACGAGGACGTCCTGCTCGTGGACGAGAGCATGCGCGTGTACGAGGCGCTCGGCCTCACGCGGGGCGTCCGCAGCACCTTCTTGTCGCCCAAGACCGGGCAGGCGCTCGCGAAGCGGGGCACGCAGGGGCTGCGGGAAGCGACCGCCGGGTACACGCCGATCGCGCCCAAATCGGCGCAGGTCACGCTGCAGCAGGTGCGCGCCCCTCGCGGCCACACCGCAACGCGCCGCGCACATGCACCACCTGTCCGTTGTTGCCGTGAATGCGGCTCGCTCGCTTGCGTTCCAAGCCACAGACCGTACGTCCTACAACGCGCACGTCCTGCGCGCTCGTGATCCGGCGTGTCTGTCCGTCGCGTGGTCGCAGGGGGGCGCGTTTGTGTTCGATGGCATCCGGGTGCTGTACGGGTGGCGGGACGAGGCCACGGGGGACCACGTGAAGCTCTCGGACCTGCTCGACACGTGCGTCGGGGACGTGGACGGCGTCAGCGTCGTGCTCGCCAAGGGCAGCGGCGGCAACGCGTGAGCGAGAGGTTGTGCTCGCGGCTGTGTGCTGTGCGGGGGCGCGCCAAATATAGCGCCCTGCGGCCGAGCGGCCGCTCGACGCGTACGGTGATGCTCGCAAACACTGTGGCGCCCTGAAGCAGTCAGTGAGTTCGGTTGAATCGTCAAATAGCGATCGAAGTCTTGAAAGCGCACAGCATGTCTTCGATGGCGCGTCACAGAGCGCGGTCCCGCCGTCACGGGTCACGCGGGAACTCGAGCGCGCGCAGCCGCTCCGCCCACCGCTCCTCCGCCCGGTCCATCGTCTCCCGGCACTGCGCAAGCCTGTCGGGCGCGGGATGTCTGACCGGGCGCATCGGAGCCGGCGACCCCCCCCCCAACAACGCCTCCGCACGCTCCGCCGCCGACGCCTTCGGCGCACCGCCCCTGCGCGTCCCAGCCGCCGGGACGTACCGCGGGGGCGTCGGCCGCCGCACACCCCCCCCCGCACCAACACCACCGCCCCTGCTCGCTGCCAACACCCCGGGCGGCCCGTCCCACGACCGCCGCGCCGCATCCGCGGCCGGCGCGAGCCCCCGCACCCGCGCAGCGTCGCACTCTCGCTCCCGGACCTGCGCCTCCGCCTCCAGGTCGCGCGCCCGCTGCTGTGCGTCCAGCGACAGCCGCACCGCGCTCATTCTGGCATCATGGACCCGCCGTGCCGCCTCCCCCGCCGGCGCGAGCAGCCTGCGCCGCAGGTCCGCGACGTGCGCGTCCTGCGCGAGCTCCGAGGCCGCCGCGGCGGCCGCGTCCTGCGCCTGGCGCGACGCTGCCGCCTCGCCGCTGCCGCAACGCGCCACGTGCGCTCGCGGTCTGCGGCGTCGCGGGCGCGCTGCTCCGCGGCCAGCACCGCGCCGTCGCGCGCAGCCTTCTCCGTCGCAGCCCTGCACGCAGCCGGCACGCACGCACGCCGTTTGTTTGTTTCGCCCCAAAAAGACCAAAACAAATCGCGAACTTCAATCATACATTCATATATATGTTCACGACCGAAAACGGCGTGCGTCACGCAACGCCCACCCCGCCGCGGCAACGTCAACCGCCTCGTCGGGCGCGGCGCACATTTGAATGCGGGACAGCTCCAGTTGCGCCCGCGCCGACACACCCCCCCCTGACGCCATCGGCCCCCGCCGCACCGCCGGCGGCATCGCCTCGCCCCCCGCGAACGCCACGCTCCGCCGCCCGGCGTCCAGCAGCCCGAGCAGGCCCTCAGGCCCCCCCAGCACCGGCCCCCCCGCCGTCACGCCCCCCGCCTCCGACCCGCCGCCGCGCGGAGCAGCACCGCTGCGCCGACTCCCCGCGTCGAGCGAGACCTCGGACGGCGCCGTCGCGGCGCAATCCCGCGCGGGCTCCGCCTCGGACGCCCCGTCAGCAGCACACGCAGGCGCGGGCGGCGATGGTGCATCGGTGACGGGCCACAGGAGGCGCGACTGGCTCTTGAGGGACTCCACGAAGCGCCGCTCGAACTGCATGCGCGACGCCTCGACGTCCCCGGCCAAGTCGAGCATCGCTTTCCGCACCCCGGCCACGTCGTCTCGTGCCTTGACCAGCGCCCCGTCCAGCTCCGGGTCCCTCGACTCCCCCGCGGGCCCGCACGCGGGCTGCGGCGCGCCCGGGGCTTGTTCCGGTGCTGCTGAGGTCCTCTGGGGCGCGGATGGCGCCGGGGGTCGCGCGGGGAAGGCGGGGGCGGGCTCTCCGTGGCGCTTGAGGCGCCTCTCGCCCTCTCTCGTCTCGAGGAGCGAGCTTTCGAGGGCGTTGTACACCGCGAGGTCCTCGATGTAGAGCAGGCGGCGGTTCGAGGTGTCGAGGGCCGCCATTAGGGAGTTGAGCTGGCCGGTCAGACCGTCCTGCAGTCTCGTGAGTTCGCGGAAGGCCGGGTCCCGTCCCGCGGCGTCCACGAGCGAGCTCGACGCGCTCGGAAGCGGCAGCCCGTCGTCCACATCCTGCGGATCGCGCGTCCGTGGTCGCGGCGCGTTCGGCGCGCGCGCCTGGCTGCGGGAGCGCGTGCGAGGGTTTGAACGCCAGGCGTGCAGCTGCGCCGGAGCGGTCGGACAGGGGGTGTTTCGGGCCGTACCTCGATGCTGATGGGCACGGAAGCGCTGTGAGACGGCGCCGGCGGCTCCTCCGCCGCCGACATCGCGTCTGGCCGTCGCAGCACGCTCGGCAAGGCAGCACGCGCACCGTGGGCAGCTCTCCCGCGCGACAGCGGCCTCTCTCTGCGTCACGGCGGCGCGCAGGGCGTGCAACGTGGCCGCGGCATCGCGGCGGCGGCCCACGTGTGCCCGAGGGGTGCGGGGCCGCGTCGAACAGCCCCGGGGAACTCTCCAGAGCCTCCCGAGGTACAACAGGGGCGCCGTAGCGGGCTGAACGGGCCGTGGAGTCGCTTTGCGACGCATAGTACGGATCAAACTGTCAAAGCACCGTCCTTTCGTCGAGAGAACTGTGCCTTCACCTGACGTCACTGAGAGAACGGAGCGTAACCACCCACGCCGGTCTTCAGGCCGCGTCCCGCACTCGCCGCGCAGTCGACGCGAGCGTTCCTCGCGCCACGATGTTCGCGCACGTCCACGCAGCGCGCCCGCAGGTCGCCGTCCGGCCCCTGCACCGCCGCGCGGCCCCCGCGCAGGCTCTGGGCCGCCCAGCCACCCGCACCCGCCGCGTGCCGTCGCCCCTGCGCGCCGAGCCGCCGAAAAACGACACCGACACCTCCAGCACCAGCTCTGAGGTGCGCCGCGGCCGCAACACCGCCTCCACCGCCGCAGCGAGCGCCCGCGGCGGACCCGGCGAGTGCCTGGCCACCGCAGTCTCGCACCGCGCGGTGCGGCGCTCGGCCCACGCCACGCCCGCTCCCCGCGCTCGCACCTCACAGCGCGAACAAAGAACCTGAAATTGCAGCAGGATGCGAGGATCAAGGAGATTTCGGACCAAATGAGGAGCCAGGGGGTGGACCGAGCGCGTGCGAGGGAGCTCCTCGCGATGTGGGAGAAGCAGGCCGACTCCGGGTCCCCCGAGGACATCAAGAAGGTCCTGGCGAAAGGAGCGCTCGCCCCCGTCGTCGCGTTCTCCACACAGGTGCGGCGAGGACCCCGCACACGCACGCCCACGGCACGCGCCATTCGCCGGCGTTCCCGCGGCACCGCGGACCCGCGCGACCTTCGCACCGCCCCTCCACCCAAGTTCCATGCCATACATGGACGAGGAACGGCGGACTCACAGCGATCGCGGCTTGCAACGCCCCCCACCCCCGCCTGTGTCGCCCCTGGTGGTTGACACCACATGGTGCTCCGCGGCCCCCCGTGCGCCGCTCACGCGCCCGTTCACCGCGCCCGCGCAGCTCGTCATCGACGCCGTGGTGGCCGTGGCGTCGTTCAACGCGGCGGTCATGCTCGGGCAGAGTGACGACTTCTTCGGCAAGTGGCTTCTCGGGGGACTCGCGTACGGCGCGAGCTTCTACTACGGCGCCGAGGCGCTCCTGAGCCTCTTCCTGCTCATCTCCACCGGCATCTCGACCTACTACTTCTCCACCAACGCAGGCACGCTCCCACGCGCCTCCTGAGACACGCACGTACGAACCGCGCCCTCACACCGCCCGTAGCCCACGTCTTGCGCTTCGTTCCCGGACGGATTCCCGCAGACGCGTACGTCAAGGCCGTGCAGTCCCTCGCTGGCGGCGAGACCGGCCTGGGCGTCGTCGACCGCGCCAAGAAGGCCGCGAGTGCTGCCAAGGTGGTGCGCATGCTCAACCAGATGTCCGCGGCGCTGCGGGCGGACTCGGAGAACGCCAAGGTGCGCCGCGCGGAGCCCTGTCTGTGCCCTGCGCGAGCGAGTGCGCGGTGCGGGGATCCCTCGAGCGCCGCGCGGCACACCAGGTTGATTTGTCCAGCTGCGGTGGGGCCGGTGCGCGGCGACGGGCAGGTGCCCGCAGCGTCCGTTCGTGGCGCGCGGTGCCGCGGGCGAGCCCTGGCCGCGTGCGCTCTGCTCGACTTCGCGCGCCAGCCCCACCGCAGCTTGACAGGCACACCTGATTATGCTCCGCGAACGCTCGAGGGGCTCGTGGCGTCCGACACACTCGGGCCCACGCGACCCGCGCCCCACGCACACCTCGCGCCCCCAGCTGCGAACCAGAACGCAGTCCGCGCAGCAACAACAACAACGAGCACACGCACACGCCGACACAGCGCCCCCTCACGCCTCACGCACCCCTCCGCGCGCAGGCCGAGGCCGCGCAGGGCGCCAAGCGCACGCTGTCGAACCTGTCGTCCTACCTGCTCCTCGCGGACGCACAGACCAAGCTCGGGTTCCGCGCGGAGGACTACGGCCTCACGCAGGCCGACGCCGAGAGCATCGCGCGCGTGTTCGTGCGGTACGACAAGAACAGCGACCTGCGGCTCGAGGTGGCGGAGCTCGCGGTGCTGGCCAAGGAGCTCGGGCACGACATGGGGCGCGAGGAGACGGAGACCGCCATCCGCGTGCTCGACAAGAACAAGAACGGGTACGTGGAGTTCGACGAGTTCGTGCAGTGGTGGACGAAGGAGGTGTCGCCCACGGGGAGCATGCTGGCGTCGATCGACGAGGCGGAGGCCGCGGGGGTGTCTGCGGGCAACACGGGGTGAGGGGGGGGTGTCTCGGAGTCCGGGATCCGGTGCGGCGGAGGCTAGTGCAGCGGCGTCGTGCCGGGGACGTTGCAGCGTGTGTATATACGTATGTGTGTGTGCGTGGGTGCCTGTCAGCGGTGTTGTTTGTGCTGAGCGTGCATGACGTGTCGGACCACCGTGGTGGCGGAGGGGGTGGTTGCTGCGGGCTCGCGTGTGGCGTCGCAGGCCCGCCCGTCGCCTGTCTCGGAGGGCGAGAGAGAGGGCGCGGAGCGGGGCGCCCGACTGCGTCACTGACCCCTGGCGGGGGGGGTCGGAGTTGTGTTGTTCCATGCATGCGTCAGGCCGCTGCCTCGCTGCGGGAGAGCGGCGAGGCCCCGCGCGGCGCGCGAGCACTTGCGCCGACGCGCCCGACAGGGACGAAGCATCAGTCCTCCCCCCGTGCTCTTCTCACTGGGTGGTGTTGTAGCACCACGTCTCCCGAGCAGGATTCGGACTCTCTTGCGGCGAAACCCAGACCAAGCTTCAGCTACTCGTAGTAGCGACCTCTCTGCGTCGCCATGTCCGCTGCTTACGCGCCGTGTGCGCGGCATCTAGACGTACGGGCTGCAGCCTCGGTCCGACCGCGAACGGTGCGTGCAGAGGCGGCGCGCAACGAGCTGGGCCGCCGCGACGTCATCTCGCTGGTAGGAGCCGGCGCTTGCGCATCCGTGACGTGGCCCAGGTACGCCTCACATCACGGCAGCAGCGCTGCGAACCTGCACGGACGCAGCAGCTGCTGCCTCAGACTGGCGCGAAACCGCCGTGACGCCGTCCCACGCGAACCTCGACGTATCGCTCTCTTCAGTACACACCTCCGCTGGAGCGTCTGCTGCTCCATGGTCGGACAGAGCAGCACCAAGCGACCACCCTGTCTCTCTGTCGCAGGCAGGCGACGGCGGCGGCGCCGGGGTCCGTCGCGCCGGGCGCGGGGTACGAGGGCGCGGCGCGGCTGCTCGACGCCCCGAACGTGAGCAACCCGGGTCCGGCGTGGGCCCTCGGGAAGGAAAACAAACAGTTGAGGTATCCCGATTGGTTTGAGGGGACCTGGGAGGTGCAGTGGACGCTGCGCGACGTGCAGAACCCCCGCGGACGCAAGTACATCACGCGCAACACCCCCGGCGTCACGAAAGGGTCCATGGTGCGCCGACAGCGTCACGCGCGGTGTACGCGTGCGCGGCTCTGCGCTCCACGCCGCGTCCGGCGCCGGGAACCGCGACACGCCCCCTCGGCCACCGCAGGCAGCTGGAGTGCCCGACATCGGGGCGGGGCAGGGCGTCGTGACCTTCCGGCAGCGCTTTGTGCGCGAGGACAAGCCCCCCGGGGGAGTCGTGCTGGACCGCCCGTTCAGCGTCGCGTCCACGATGGACGCCCACCTCGGGCCGAACACCGCGCGCTCCGTCGCGTACGACCCCGCCGCGGACCCCACGCGCCTCGCGGTGGTGTACGCCACCCCGCGCCGCGACGGCGGCACCGACCTGCGGAAGGCTGAGATCTTCGTCAACAACCGCGGCGGGGGCAGCAGCGGCGAGACGTTCGCGTGGTTCGAGGCGTACCGGCAGGTGTCGCAGGCGGCGCGGCAGGGGGGGGTGGGGGACTATTTGATGGCGCAGGAGTGGACGCGGGGGAGTGACGGGGGGTCGGCGCGCGGGCGGCTGCGGTGCGCGTCGTTCCTGCAGCCGCAGGACGCGCTGTACTTCGAGGTCGGGAACGACGCCGTCGGGCTGTACGACTACGACGTCGCCGCCAGGAAGCTGTGACGACGCCGCGATGTCGGCAGCGCTGCCACGGCTCGGCGCGCGCGTCGCTCTCCCATCCGACACGCGCACGAGGTGCCGAGCACGTGGCATCGGTCCAGGCGACACACCACACCACGCTGTTGCTACCATAACGGTGGGGGGCTAGCATGACTCGCCACCTAGTCGAATGACCTTTTCAGGTCCCAAAGCCTTGTGGCTGACGACGCGAAGAATGTGACACCTCACCTCACCTCACGCCTGAGCCATGCGGAGCGCCCGGCTGGTGCCCCCTTTCACGCATGCCTATGTGCTCACGACGCGCGCCGCGCGCGGCGTCGGTCCGGCCACAGACCGCCCCGGCAGCTCGCATGCATGCGCGCGAACGTCGCGTCGCGCACAGGGATGCGCTGCCGGGAGCGTCGGCGTCCCCTGCCCCTGCGTGTGTCAATACGCCCCAGGGCCCTCGCGTGCGTCCTCTCCCGGCCACGCCTACGGCCTGGTTCCCCGCCGCCCGCGGTCACAACGCGCTCAGAACCGGTCCCAGTCGTTGAAGCGCGGACCTACGCGCTCGAGCGGTCCGCGGCGCCACCTGGAGTGCACAGAGCCAGGTTGTCGCGGCTCGTGGAGGCCCGCCGTGGCGGTGACGTGGCCAGGAAGTGCGCTGCCGCTTCGCCTGGGAGCTGGAGAAGCGCCGAGCGTCCGGGCCGGGCGTTTTCCTGCGCGGAGAGGTGCGCCAACCCGCTGAAACGCTTTCTGGCACCACGCAGGCAGCGTCCGCGCGGTGCCGAGGAGAGCGGCGCAGCGCCGCTCACGGCGCGCTTCCCGCGCTCCTTGTCCGCCGCACGCGCGCCTCCGAGGCGGCGGCCGCGTCTCGTCCCGCATTTACGGCGCGCGGCCTCGCGGGGGCACTCCTGCGCGCTGCAACGTCCCGCCACGTCGCCTTTCCGCGCCGTTCAGCGCCGGGGGGCGCGCCTTTGAGCATGTTCATGCTCGACCGCCGCCGCCGCGGGCCCCGGCGGCCGCACAGGCCCCCCAGAGCCGCTCGGAAGCGATCCTGTTGCACTCCTGGTCCGATTCGGCGCTCGATTGGGCAGCCACGTCCCACGCGGGCCGTGTGCCTGCCCCCAGGGCTCCGCTAAGCTCCACACGGACCGTCTCCGTGCGCTTTGCAGGCCCGGGTGGCGCCCGAGGGGCCCAACGGCGCGCACAGCACCGCCCCTCCTGGCACTAGGGTAGCCTGAGGGGCACCGCGCGGCGCCTGCGGGGCCGTGAGGGCTTCCGGCCATGTCGTCGCCCGGCGACAACGAGGAGGTCGCGGACGACGGGTTCCGCACGGTGCACCTCGGGCCCGTGCGCCCGGTGTTCGGCCTTGACCGAGTGGGAAAGGCAGCGAGCCATCGGTGGCATCAGAAGTTCCACGCAGAGCACCCGAACGCGCTGTCGAAGGCCGCGAACAACAGCATCAGCACCACGAAGTTCACGGTGCGCGCCCCGCCCCCCGCCGCTCACCGCGCGCCCCCCCTCAGCACCTGCCTGGCACCGACCTTCCCGCGCCCGCCCGCCCCCGCCCGGACGCGCAGATCTTCACCTTTCTGCCAAAAGGCCTCTACGAGCAATTCCGGCGCCTCGCGAACCTCTACTTCCTCATGGTCGCCATCATCTCGTGCACGCCCATCTCCCCGCTCACGCCCGTCACCTTCGTCGTGCCCCTCGTCTTCGTCCTCGGCGTGTCGCTCATCAAGGAGGGCGTCGAGGACCGCCAGCGCTACCGCAACGACTGCGAAGTCAACAACCGCCGCGTCGACGTCCTCCACGAGCACGGCTTCCGAAGGCTGGCCTGGAGCGACGTGCGCGTGGGCGACATCGTGCACATCGCGCCGAACGAGGCGCTCTGCGCGGACGTCGTGCTGCTCGCGAGCGGCGGCGAGGAGGGCGTCGCGTACGTCGAGACGTCCAACCTCGACGGCGAGACGAACCTGAAGCTGCGGCGGGCGCCCGACGAGACGGCGGCGCGGCAGGGCGAGGCGGCGCTGGCGGAGCTGGCGGAGCGCGGCGCGCGCGTGCAGTGCGACCACCCGAACAACCACCTGTACACGTTCAACGGCAACATGGTCGTCGAGGGCCTCGGGAAGGACGTGCCGCTGGGCCCGCAGAACGTGCTGCTGCGGGGGTGCACGCTGCGGAACACCCCCGGGGCGTACGCCGTGGTGGTCTACACGGGGCACGAGAGCAAGATCATGCTCAACGCGTCGGCGGCGCCGTCGAAGCGCTCCCAGCTCGAAAAGCGGCTCGACTACCTGATTTTGGTGTTGTTCATCATGCTCTTCGTCATGTGCTTCGTGGGCGCCGTGGGCAACGGCGTGTGGGTGAAGACGCGCGGCGCGGAGCACTGGTACCTCGACCTCGCCTCGGACCAGCTCGACGCGATCGACAAGGTCCTGTTCGACCCCGGCAACGCGGCGGCCGCGGGGCTGATCAACTTCTTCACGCTGCTGGCGCTCTTCTCGACGCTGATCCCGATCTCGCTGTACGTGTCGATCGAGGTGATCAAGTACTGCCAGTCGAACTTCATCATCAACCAGGACCGCGCAATGTACCACGCCGAGACGGACACGCCCGCGCAGTGCCGCACGTCCAACCTGAACGAGGAGCTCGGGCAGGTGGAGTACGTGTTCAGCGACAAGACGGGCACGCTGACGCAGAACGTGATGGAGTTCTTCAAGTGCTCGGTCGACGGCGTCAACTACGGCTCCGGCATCACGGAGGTGCAGCGCGCGATGGAGGCGCGCAAGCGCCAGGAGGAGAAGAGCAGCACCGCGGACCGCGTGTGGACGGCGCTGCACGAGAAGCACGAGTCGCGCATGCAGTCGCGCATGCAGTCGCGGATCAGCTCGCGCGGCGCGACGCCCAAGGCGGCCGCGGCCTCGGCGCACGCAGCCGGCGCCAGCAAGCAATGGAAGGAGCCGCCGCCGCTGTACGAGGAGCGCGTGGCGGACGGGAAGGAGCCGCCGCGGGCGCTGAACGAGCGCGCGAGCCTGAACCCGCGGGGGAGCCTTGCGCGCCGGATGGGTCCGCGGATCGACACGTACACGACGGCCGCCGACATCGCGTCGCAGGAGGCCTACTACGGCCCGCAGCGTGAGCGCCGCCGCCCCGCCGACGACTCGCGCGCGCGCTCGAGTGCCTGCGTGCCGTCGGACTGGGCGGGACCGCCGCCGCTGGTCGTTTCGTTGCGCATTCGGAGTTGAGTGTCTTGCATAATTAAATATTCTGCGTGTTTCTTGTTTGCTGTTCGCTTGCAGCGCTGGACAGCCCGATGCCGGAGAAGCCGGCCCCGGAGAAGGGGTACAACTTCACGGACGACCGCATCACGGGCGGCGCGTGGCTGGACCTCCCGGCGGGCAACGCGGCGCGCGTGGAGGAGTTTTGGCGCGCGCTCGCGCTGTGCCACACCGTCGTGCCCGAGGGCGACGGCACCTTCAGCGGCACGACGTACCAGGCGGCGTCCCCGGACGACGTCGCCACGTGCCTCGGCGCCAAGCACATGGGCTGGTTCTTCCACAAGCGCGCCACGACGTCGCTCTCGCTCCTGACCAAGCGGTCCGTGCTGAACCCGGGCGTGCAGCGCGACAGCAAGGACGTGCTCGAGGAGTACGAGCTCCTCGCGACCATCGAGTTCAACAGCACGCGGAAGCGCATGTCGGTCATCGTGCGCGAGCCGTGGAGCGGACGCATCCTCATCTACACCAAGGGGGCTGACAACGTCATCCTCGAGCGCCTCGGATCCGACCCGAAGGACTCCGCGATCAAGTGCGCGCCCACCCGCCCTCCTGCTGCCAGTTCCAACCACGAACCCTCGTCTCCCCGTCCGCTCCGAGCCCTGGTTCACTGTGTCCGCGTGCGCTGGCGCCGTGCGCAGGGACGCGACGATCGAGCACCTGGACGAGTTCGCGCACGACGGCCTCCGCACGCTCTGCGTCGCCACGCGCGAGATCCCCCCCGCGGAGTTCGAGGCCTGGTCCCAGAAGTGGGCGGACGCACGTGCCGCCATCAAGGGCCGCGACGAGCTCATGGACGCCGCGGCGGAGGACATCGAGGTCGGGCTGCGGCTCCTCGGCGCGACGGCGATCGAGGACAAGCTGCAGGTCGGCGTCTCGATGGCCGTGGAGCGGCTGCGGGAGGCCGGGATCAAGGTGTGGGTTCTGACGGGCGACAAGGTGGAGACCGCAATCAACATCGGGTACGCGTGCGCGCTGCTCACGGACGACCAGGAGCTGCACGTCGTGCAGTCGTCCTCGGCCGCGGTGCAGATGGCCATCGAGAAGGTGCGTCGCGTGTCGTCTACTGCGGGGGCCTCGTGGCCTGTGCGATGCCGTGCGCGTGAGCAGCGCACGCACCTTGCAGCTGATGCGTGTTGCGTGTTGAAGATGTTTACTTCAGATAGACTGAGCCCCCACGTTTGGTATCAATGAGTCGAGGTTGATGATTCTTGAGTCGAGTGTGCGCGCTGCAGGGCGAGGACCCGGACGACGCGCTCGAGAACGAGGTCCGCCGGCAGCTGCGCGACATCCTCGACACAATGGGCGGCGAGGCGGCCCGGTCAGACGGCGGGACACTCCCCCACGAGATGCCCGTGCAGCCCGCGGCGCTGGTCATCGACGGCAAGGGCCTCCGCGTGGCGCTGGGCGACACGCTCAAGGACCTCTTCCTCGAGGTGGGCATGCGGTGCACGTCGGTCGTGTGCTGCCGCGTGTCCCCGCTCCAGAAGGCGCTGGTCACGCGGCTGGTGCGCACGCACGCGCACAAGGTGACGCTGGCCATCGGGGACGGCGCGAACGACGTCTCGATGATCCAGGCCGCGCACATCGGCGTGGGGATCTCCGGGCAGGAGGGCATGCAGGCCGTGATGGCCTCGGACTTCGCCATCGCGCAGTTCCGGTTCCTGGAGCAGCTGTTGCTGGTGCACGGGTCGCAGATGTACGTGCGGATGTCGCGCGTGGTGGGGTACTTCTTCTACAAGAACCTCGCGGTCACGGCCGCGCAGTTCTTCTTCCTGGTCCAGAGCGCGTTCTCCGGGCAGACGCTCTTTGACGACTGGCTGGTGTCGACGTACAACGTGGTGTTCACGTCGCTGCCGGTGTTCGCGGTGGGCATCCTGGACCAGGACATGGACAAGTACACGCTGCGCAACGTCCCGCAGCTGTACGGGTACGGCCGGCGCAACCGCAACTTCAACGTGCCGACGCTCGGCGGGTGGCTGTTCGACGGGATCATGCACGGGGTGATCTGCTACTGGATGTCCTGGGCCGCGTTCCCGTCCAAGGACCAGGCGCTGAACTCGGACGGCCGCTCCGTCGGCCTGTGGGCGGACGGCGTCCTGGTATACACCATCGTCGTGACCGTGGTCAACCTGCGGCTCATGATGTCGACCACGCACCACACCGCGCTGCACATGATCACGGCGTACGGCTCCATCGGGCTGTGCTTCCTCTTCATGCTGCTCTACTCGGGCGTCACGCCGGACATGCTCTCCATCCTCAACTCCTCCACGGCCGGCATCTACATGGTCTTCTACAACCTGCTCGAGGTGGGGCCGTTCTGGCTCACCTACATGGTCGCCGCGGGCACCTGCATCGGCACCGACTTCCTCTTCAAAGTCTGGCTGGTGCGCACCACCGCCCTGCCTCCGCACCCGCCGCCGCGCCGTCTCTTGCTTCCCGCACTGCGCCCCCCCGCACCCCCCCGTGTCTCACCCGCCGCCCGCGGCCTCCCGCTTCGCTCTGCAGCGGCGCATCCGTCCCGAGGACTACGAGATCATCCAGGAGCACCAGAAGTACGCCAGGAAGAAGTATAAACGCGAGGTGACGAGCCGGCACGGGGAGTCGGCTGTCGGGGACCGCGTGCCCGCGGTGCAGCTCGCGGAGCTCGGGAGCGGCGCGCCGGCGCCGAGGGTGCCGACGGCGGGCGTGCAGGGGAAGCCGCACTCGGCGCACCGCACGGTGTACGGGACGGGGCGGCAGTCGGGGGCGTCGGGGAGTCCGGAGAGCGGGGCGGACATCGGGCTGGCCGTGAGCCAGGTGGCGACGTAGGGCGCGATCGAATTGACTTGCATGTTACAAACTCTGTTGCGTGCCGCGCTGCAGACGACTCCTGGTCGAGGCCGTGCGTGTGGGGAGGTGCTGCGCGCAGGAGCGTGGAGCGGGGCAGCGGCGGGCGTGGCTCGAGCGTTCAGGTCTCTCCGCCTCGCGTCGCTGGGAGGTGCTGCGTTAGTGACGTGTGGCGAGTGTGTGTGCTTGTTCGTTGTCTCTCCGGGGCAGCGAAGAAGGGATCGTCAGTCAGTCTTACATGCGCCGGCCGCAGTGCACACAACGCGCCGGGCTGCGCACCGTTGCGCCGCGTGGCGCACCCCATCATGTGCTGGACCTTTTCTATATTCGAGCCGCTAGCATCCTCGCTGTAAGACTCCGACGTCTACCCGGTCGCCGTCTTCCATCTTGTGCTCGAGTGGCGTATCGTCAGGACCCAGTCTCGTACAATCGAAGATGAACGAAAGCGTCTCCAAAGGGACATTGTAGTGCTCGCTGTACTTCTTCATCATCTTGTCGAACCGCGTCGTGGGTCTGACATTATAGTCGATGCTCCTTCCAGACTGATCGCAAAATGTCAAGAGCATCCTGAGCTCGGGCGCGTGCTCCTGCGCCTCCCCCTCCGTGCGCCGTCGCTTCCCCGATGCAGGTGTCAGCGTCGTGCCGCCTGCACCGCCCCACACCTCCTCCGGCGGCGCGCACCCGTGCGTCCCCGCGTACGCCCCCCTCAGGTTCCCCCGCCGCGCCTCCTTCTCCGCCTCCGTGTCGCGCGACGTCGCCGTGCTGTGGTGCACCACGCGCCCAAAGTGCTTCTCGCAGTATGCGATGTAGTCGCGCGTGTTGAGGATGAACGCGTGCCACGCCTCGTCCAGCACCGCCGGCATGCTGTACATCTCAGGGTGTGCCGCGTCCGCGTAGCATTGCAGGCACCGCAGCATCTCCTCCACGACGTGCCTGGGGCTGCGCAGCGACGGCTGCGAGTGGGCGAGGTGCGCGACGACCTCGCGGACGAGCTCGTGGTCCGTGTCGTACATGGAAGCGTCGCCCGCCGGCCCCGCAGCGCCCCCCGCGTCGGCAACGGCCGGCATTTCCACGAAAGCACTCGTGCTCGTTGCGCTCCCTCGTGGGTCGCCCCGGGACCTGCAGCCGCAAACAACGGGCGACGTCGCTTATCCACCAGCACGATAGCGTGATGATGTGCAAGAACAGGCAATCTTTGCCTTCTTGTGAGAAGGGGCGCCCGCTGTCCCTTGCAACTGAAATGCCTTGCAAGAGGCGCCCCGCTGAGCACGCCTGCGCACGATGATGGACGCGACACTCAGCGCCGCACTGGTCCTCACCGGTACACCAGGTCGAGCCAATCCAAACGCCCAGCGCGCGCCGCCCGACGACGGTTCGAGACTCGCACCACCGAGAGAGAGAGAGAGAGAGACTGCCGGGCGGGAAGCAGACGTCGGGGCTCGCAGCCGCAGAGTTGCGACGATCAATGAGACCCCGCCTGTCACTCGTGCACCAGGGAGGCCGGGCAGCGCGACCAAATGACACGCGAGCTCGTGGACTGGCCACGACCACGGTGAGAGACCCCCCGGTACCTGAACAGCACAACACCAACCGCGTGGCTCCTGGGCGCCGCGCGGCACGCGATTCCGTCGCCGGCCTGGCCTGCTTACCCCCGCACTGCCACGGCTCGATCGGGCCCTTGCGGAACGTGAAACGTTGCAAGGAAATGCAACGCTGTCAAGACACGGCAGCATCACGCTGCTTGGCACCGTCTCTGCGCCGTGAAAGCATGCATGGCGCCGTCAGCACCAACCGCGGCAGCGCAGAGGGCGGCGTGTCGACCAATCCTCGACCACGCGCAAGTCGCTTGTTCCCAAACAGCGAACAGGTCGCATTCGGTGTTGCAACGACAAGAAGCTTCTTCGACGGCGTCACATGCCTGCGTCGCGCTGCGCGACGGCGGCGGCGCAGCAACGCCCGGCTGCGCGGGGCTGCCCTGCACGCGGCTGCCAATCACAGCCTCGACCACCAACGCTGCTAGCATCCTGCCTGTTTGATGATGACGTACACCTGTTCGCCGTCCTCCATGTCCATCTCACGAGGCGTGCCGTCAGGCATCAATCGAGAGCCTTCGAACCTGAAGGCCGCCTCCTTCAATTCGACATCAAAGTGCTCGCAGTACTTCTTCATCATCACCTCGAACCGCGTCGTGGGTCTGACATTAAAGTTGATGCTCCTTCCAGACTGGTCGCGAAATGTCAAGCGCATCCTGACCTCGGGCGCCTCTTCCTGCGACTCCGTGCGTTGCCGCTTTGCAGGCAGCGCCAGCGCCATCGACCCCGCGCCGCCCCACACGTCCTCCGGCGGCGCGCGCCCGTGCGTCCCCGCGTACGCCCCCCTCAGGTTCGCCCGTCGTTCCTCCTTCTCCTCCTCCGTGTCGCGCGACGTCGCCGTGCTGTGGTGAATGACGCGTCCAAAGTGTGCGTAGCAGTATGCGATGTAGTCGCGCGTGTTGAGGATGAACGCGTGCCATGCCTCGTCCAGCACCGCCGGCATGCTGTACATCTCAGGGTGCTCGGCGTCCGCGTAGCACTTGAGGCACCGCAGCATCTCTTGCACTACACGCCGGGAGTCTCCCAGCCAGGGCTGCGAGTGGGCGAGGTGCGCGACGACCTCGCGGACGAGCTCGTGATCCGCATCGTACATGGAAGCGTCGCCCGCCGGCTCCGCAGCGGCCGCCGCGTCGGCAACGGCCGGCATTTCCACGAAAGCACTCGTGCTCGTTGCGCTCCCTCGTGGGTCGCCCCGGGACCTGCAGCCGCAAACAACGGGCGACGTCGCTTGTCCACCAGCGTGATAGTGTGATGGTGTGCAAGAGCAGGCAATCTTTGCCTTCTTGTGAGAAGGGGCGCCCGCTGTCCCTTGCAACTGAAATGCCTTGCAAGAGGCGCCCCGCTGAGCACGCCTGCGCACGATGATGGACGCGACACTCAGTGCCGCACTAATCCTCACCGAAACGCCAGGTCGAGCCAATCCAAACGCCCAGCGCGCGCCGCCCGACGACGGTTCAAGACTCGCACCACCGAGAGAGAGAGACTGCCGCGCGGGAAGCAAACGTCGAGGCTCGCAGCCGCGGAGTTGCGACGATCAATGAGACCCCGCCTGTCACTCGTGCACCAGGGAGGCCGGGCAGCGCGACCAAATCACACGCGAGCTCGTGGGCTGGCCACTGGCCGGGCCACCGTGGCCCACGACCACGGTGAGAGACCCCCCCGGTACCTGAACAGCACAACACCAACCGCGTGGCTCCTGGGCGCCGCGCGACACGCGATCTTGTCGGCGGCCTGGCCTGATTACCCCCGCACTGCCACGGCTCGATCGGGTGGTTGCGCCGGAACCTGAAACGTTGCAAGGAAATGCAACGCTGTCAAGACACGGCAGCATCACGCTGCTTGGCACCGTCTCTGCGCCATGAAAGCATGCATGGCGCCGTCCGCACCAACTGCGGCAACGCAGAGGGCGGCGTGTCGACCGAATCCTCGACCACAAGCAAGTCGCTTGTTCCCACACAGCGAACAGGTCGCATTCGGTGTTGCAACGACAAGAAGCTTCTTCGACGGCGTCACATGCCTGCGTCGCGCTGCGCGACGGCGGCGGCGCAGCAACGCCCGGCTGCGCGGGGCTGCCCTGCACGCGGCTGCCAATCACAGCCTCGACCACCAACGCTGCTAGCATCCTGCCTGTTTGATGATGACGTACACCTGTTCGCCGTCCTCCATGTCCATCTCACGAGGCGTGCCGTCAGGCATCAATCGAGAGCCTTCGAACCTGAAGGCCGCCTCCTTCAATTCGACATCAAAGTGCTCGCAGTACTTCTTCATCATCACCTCGAACCGCGTCGTGGGTCTGACATTAAAGTTGATGCTCCTTCCAGACTGGTCGCGAAATGTCAAGCGCATCCTGACCTCGGGCGCCTCTTCCTGCGACTCCGTGCGTTGCCGCTTTGCAGGCAGCGCCAGCGCCATCGACCCCGCGCCGCCCCACACGTCCTCCGGCGGCGCGCGCCCGTGCGTCCCCGCATACGCCCCCCTCAGGTTCGCCCGTCGTTCCTCCTTCTCCTCCTCCGTGTCGCGCGACGTCGCCGTGCTGTGGTGAATGACGCGTCCAAAGTGTGCGTAGCAGTATGCGATGTAGTCGCGCGTGTTGAGGATGAACGCGTGCCATGCCTCGTCCAGCACCGCCGGCATGCTGTACATCTCAGGGTGCTCGGCGTCCGCGTAGCACTTGAGGCACCGCAGCATCTCTTGCACTACACGCCGGGAGTCTCCCAGCCAGGGCTGCGAGTGGGCGAGGTGCGCGACGACCTCGCGGACGAGCTCGTGATCCGCATCGTACATGGAAGCGTCGCCCGCCGGCTCCGCAGCGGCCGCCGCGTCGGCAACGGCCGGCATTTCCACGAAAGCACCCTTCACGGTCGTTGCGCGTTCCCTCGTGGGTCGCCACGGGACCTGCAGCCACGGATGACATGCGCAGTCGCTTCTCGACTCACGCACCAACGCTCACGCATGCACCGCTTCACGAACCATCGCTCCCCGCGACAGGGAGCGCCCGCTGTCTGCGATGCGAAACGCCAGGCCAGAGCGGCCCGCCACACACGCCCGTACGTGCGAAACGGGCGTACCGCTCAGCCTCGCACTTCTTCCGACCAATCAACCAGCTCCTCGCCGTTCAATCGCCACCGCGACCTCTCAGACGACGGTTCGAGGCCCACACCAACACTCAAGCAAGCACAGGGCGGGAGCGGTCCTGGGGGATCAGCGCCGCGGGTTGCCGACGTCAAACACCTCCCGGCCGTTCACTTGTGCACCAGAGAGCCCGGCAGCGCGGCCCAATCGCACGCAGGCGCCGCGCCTGAGCTGGCCACGGTGGGAGACCCCCGGCCCCTAACGAAGTACAGCACCGCCGCGGCACGCCCCGCGGGCAGCGCACCGCGCAGCGAGGTACCGGTCGCGGGCCCGCTCGCCGCGTACTCGGAGCTAGTCGCCGCGCGGGCATCCTTCGGCCGCGCCTCGCTTCGCAGTTGCACGTCTCGTCTCGTCTTGTCCGCGACATCGACGCCGCTGCCTCAGTCGGTCTCACAGGCGTCGCAGCCGACGGCATCGACGACGGTCGGAAAAGCTGTGAGGGTGCAAGCAGCGGTCGTCGCGACGCCACGTGCGCCCAACAAGCGCCCGGGCCTGCCGGGCGCGGTGAAGCCGGCGTCCCCGCCCCCACCGCCCTCGATCGCGCTGCACTCGAGAGCATCAGCACCCAATTAGAGGGTGCGAAACGTCAATCACGTCGTTGTCCTCGATGGCATATTCTTCCAACCTAAGACGCTCATCTAACCTGACACAATCGGAAGACAGTCTGACGTTTGCACGATTGAATGTGCGACTGATGCCGCACTCTCCGCAAATGAGCTCCTTCAACTCATCGACGGTGGTCTTCGCCGTCACCCGCACCGGGAACGTCCACTTTTTGGGAACAGGGACGAACTCATTGATTGGCCGCAAGCCGTTGAGGATCAACCCCATGCAGACGACCACCGTCATCGCCCCGTCCTGCTCCCCTGCGTCCGTGCGCCTCCGCTTCCCCTCGGGCAGCTCTGCCGCGTCGCTCCTGCACTGTGCCTCGCGTCGTGCCGTGCCGCCCCACACGTCCTCCGGCGGCGCGCGCCCGTGCGTCCCCGCGTACGCCCCCCTCAGGTTCCCCCGCCGCACCTCCTTCTCCGCCTCCGTGTCGCGCGACGTCGCCGTGCTGTGCTCGATGACGCGCCCAAAGTGCTTCTCGCAGTACGCGCGGTAGTCGCGCGTGTTGAGGATGAACGCGTGCCACGCCTCGTCCAGCACCGCCGGCATGCTGTACATCTCCGGGTGCTTGGCGTCCGCGTAGCACTTGATGCACCGAAGCACCTCCTCCACTACGCGCCCAGGCGCTGCGACATCGGGACGTGTTTGCGACAGATACGCCACGACCTCGCGGACGTGCTCCTGGTCCACGTCGTACATGGTTGGATCATCGACTGGCCCCGCAGCGCCCCCAGTCTCGGCCACGGCGGGCGTTGCCGCCAAACCACCCCTCGCCTGCGTTGCGCGTCCCCGCGCCGTTCGCTTTTGCGCCTGCAGCCGCGAATGATGCGCGCCGTCGCTTGTCAACAAGCTCAACAGCACGCCCGAGTGCAATACAAATCAAACCGTCGCCCCCTGCGCGAGGGGACGCATGCTGTCTGTTGCACAGCAAACGCTCGCCCAGCGGCACGCCTGCACTTGCTCACGCACACAGCACTCAGCGCCGCACTGCTCCTCACCATCGGATCCGCAAGGCGCTCCTGTCCAAACACCGCGCCTGCCCGTCCCAGCACCGGGTCGAGGCTCGCACCACTTCCGCGAGCGCACACAAGGCGGGAACCGGCCTTGAAGGATCAGCACGGCAGAGTTCCGACGTCTGACGCCCCCGATCCTGTCACGTGTGTACCAGGGGGGCCGGACAGCGGCCCAGCTACACGCAGACCCGTGGGCTGGCCAGCCACGACCCGTGACGGTGAGACCCCCGGTGCCTGAACACAGCACACCACCAACCGCGTGGCACGCGGTCTCGGTGCCGGCCCGGCTCGGCGCACACTCGGGGCTCACCGTCGCGCAGGCATCCCGCGGCCGCGCCTCCCGTCGACAGCATGCCTCGGAACACGGCACAGAGCAAGCTACGTGGGGTCTCTCGGCCCGCGACATCGCGCTGGTGGCGGCAGCCGGACTCACACCCGCGCACACGCCCCAGACTGCGTCCTCGCCAGCACTCGGCCGCGCGGTCGCCTCACGCTGCCACGTCAGCACCCGCTCAGCTTCAGCACGACGTACACGATGCTGCCGTCCTCGATGCCGCAGTCATGCAGCGTCCACTCGTCTGCGAGCTTTCGGCCCGCGTACATGATGCGCTGCTGGGCCGGCGGAATGCCTTCCCTTGCAGCGATGAGCTTCTTGAACTCCAGCACGTCAGTCATCCGAAGCGACACCCGGAACGTCATGGTCTTGCCGGTCAGCGTCCTGCAGTACATCGTCTCCGGGCCGTCTCCGGGCGCATGTCCCTGTGCCTCCGTGCGCTGCCGCTTCGCCGATGCACGCGCCGCTTGCGTCACTGCGACGGGCAAAGCGCTCGCGCCGCCCCACACGTCCGCCGGCGGCGCGCGCCCGTGCGTCCCCGCGTACGCCCCCCTCAGATTCGCCCGCCGCGCCTCCTTCTCCGCCTCCGTGTCGCGCGACGTCGCCGTGCTGTGGTGAATGACGCGCCCAAAGTGCTTCTTGCAGTACGCGCGGTAGTCGCGCGTGTTGAGGATGAACGCGTGCCATGCCGCGTCCAGCGCCGCAGGCATGCTGTACATCTCAGGGTGCTTGGCGTCGGCGTAGCACTGCAGACAGAGCAGCATCTCCTCCGTCACGCGGCCGGGGCTGCGCAGCAACGGCTGCGTGTGGGCGAGGTGCGCGACGACCTCGCGGACGACCTCGTGGTCCACATCATACGCACGATCCACACCGTGGGCCTTCTTTGTGCCTCGCGGCATGGCATTGGCGCTCACGTCCTTCGACATGGCGTGGTCGAGGCAGCAGCAAAGCAAGCCCCGCAAATAAGCCGCAGCCAGATCTCCTGCGGACATCAACCCGGAAGCTGACAAGTTAGAGGCCAGTCAGACTGAGCGAAGGCTCCTCAGGTGCATCATACACCGCGCGATGGCATCGATGTAGTTTGGCATCGATGTAGTTATCGGGCGCGCGGCGAGGTCCACGCAGCAGCTGCCACCATATCGCTGTATTCGGCTGCATGTTATTTCAATGTACCGTGCGCGGTCCCCGGGCTCAGCTGAACGATGCCGACGCGCCCGGTTTTTCGTACGGTTGCCCTGGAATGGCCATCATCAGCGCTTCGCGGACACAGAGCGCCGTTCCCGGGATTGTGCGTCTCACCTTCGGCAGGTCGACCCAGCGAGTGCACCGTTCGCGCGTGCCCGGCTCAACCTGACCCCCGACACCTGCCCGCGAGCTCAGATGTCCAGAGACCCTCGGCCTGACTCTGCAACATGCTTCTACCGGCCCCTCCGCCGTCCCGGCACAGCAGCTCGACGCATCCAGCGGCCTCGCTGTCCCCGCAGCCCTCTCTTCGACGATGGACCACAACCATCTTCGTACTTCGCTGACCTACAGGCACCCTCATCGCGTTCCGCCCACCAGACACAACGCGCGACGTTCCACGACGCGCGGATCATCCTCACGGATCACATCACGCGTACTTGCGTGTCCTCCGCAGACGCCCAAGAGGGCAAAGTAAATGAAAACAAGCGTGCCGGGCGGCGTTGGCAAAGTGCCGCATCTTTGGTATGTGGTTGATCGGTAGTGAGAGCACTGCGCGGCGCGCCAGCAGCGGCGCGGTCGCCAGCGGCTCGCAGCGTGCAGGGCGGGCGGCGACGGGCGCGCTGAGCACCGCAGCCGCACTGCACACGCGTCAGGTCGGACGGGGAAAGTGGAACGGAAAGGGCCACGACGGCCGCGGAGCGGTGCGGAAACGAACGAGAAAATCACGAATGGGCGACAGGCGAAGCGTGCGGGGAGCCGGCCGAGGCGGGACCCGGGGGGGGGTTACCCAAAACCACCCCCCTACTCGTCGGGGTACTGCGCCTCCATGAAGGCCAGCTCCTCCTCGTAGACGCATATCTTGTACACGAGCTTCCCGCACGCGTGCACCTTCTCCTCGTCGAGCCCCACGATCCGCCGGAACGTGTCGGCGTCGAACGCGCGCCCCGAGTCCGACGACACCTTGCTGTTCTTCAGGTACGCCACCGCCGCCTCCAGGATCAGCGGGTTCAGCATCTCCTCCGCCTGCTCGCGCACCTCCTCGATCCGCGCGCGCAGCTCCGCGGGGCTCCGCCGCCGCGGCGTCGTGGGGTCCTCCGGGGCGCCTGCGGAGGACGTGCGCTCGACGACGCCCCGCGGCAGCGGGGGGAGGTCCTCCGAGTCGACCTCGCTCTCGCCGCCCATCGTGTGCTTCAGGTTCGCGCCCGTGACGCCGAGCGAGTGCAGCTTGACGCGCAGGGCGCGGAACGGCGTGCTCTGGTGCCCCTCCTCGACGTCGGCGTTCATCGACTTGCGCGCGCCCTCCATCGACTTCATCCGCACGAACCGCGGCCTGCGCCCGGCGCCGTCCTCGGACTCCCCGCCCGTCTCCTCGCCGCCCACCGTGTACCGGCTGTGCGCGCGGTCGAGCCCGGAGCGCTGGTCCGGAGACCCCCCCCCCTCCTCGCCCTCGTCGTCCTCGTCGACGATCGCCGGCAGCAGCCCGCGCCCGCTCCGGTCCGAGATCCCCGTCATCCCGGACTTGGCGCCCAGGCTCCGCCCGGAGCTCTTCGACTTGGCCAGCGACTGCAGGTCGCTGCGGTCCGAGCCCCCCGCGCCGCCCGACGTCGCCATCGACGCCGCACCCGGCGTCACCGGCTGCGGCACGTACGCGTCCGCGTGCCCCGACGGCCGCAGGTACCGCCGCGACGGCTGCGCCATCAGCGCGGACACCTGCTTCAGCACGTTGTTGGCCGCCTTCGAGTTCACCGTCTGGCACCGCTTCAGCTGCCCGCGGCCCTCGCTCCGCGCCTGCTGCATGCCCCGCGCGGGCGGCCCGGGCTCCGACTTCTCCCCCGCCGGCGCCGCCCCAGGCTCCCCCGCCGACACCGCCGAGTGGCCCACAAGGCCGTCGCGCGGGGCCGCGTGGTCCGACGCGATCTGCGGCCGCAGGTTCGCGAGGTGCGGCGGCGGCGCCCCCGGCGCCACGAGCGACGCCCGCCGCGTGTGCTTCCTGTGGATGTGCTTCGCCACCACCTTGCGAACCTCGTACATCTCGTCGTTCGAGTTCCGCCGCTTCAGCTTCGCCACCTTGAGGTCCTCGAGCGCCGGCAGCAGCTCGCGGACCTGCTCCAGCTTCCTCCGCACCTGCGGCCGCGCCGCGTCGGGGATCTCCCGCGGCTCCGCGTCCGGCACCTGGAACATCGACGGGCCGCGGGAGCGGCGCTGCGCCGGCGGGCGCGCGGCCGCGAGCGGCGACTCGAGCTCGCCGGAGTCCGGGTCCGCCTCGGTCTCCGTCTCGACCGTGAGCGCCTGGCTGTTGTACCCGCTGAGGCCCCCCGAGCGCTGCCCCATCGACGGCGCGCGCGACGCCGCGCGCGACTCGAACGGCGTCTCGACGTTCCACTCGCCCAGCGCGCGCTTGAACGAGCTCATCCGCTCCGGGGACAGCTTCCGGATCGCCTCGGCGTACCGCACGAGGTGCTCCCGCACGTACTCCAGGTTCAGGATCTCGTCGAGCGTGGCGCGGTCCTCGGGCTTGCGGCGCAGGAGCGCCCCGACGAGGTCGACGAGGTCCTGCGAGTACTGCGGCGGCAGCGGCGGGTACGACGCCTCCAGGATCTTCACCACCAGCGACGGGAGGCTCTTGCCGTCAAACGGCCGGTGCAGCGCGCACAGCTCGTACAGCACGCAGCCGAGCGACCACATGTCGCTCGCGGTGCCGTACGGCCGGTCCTCGCAGATCTCCGGGCTCAGGTAGTACGGCGTCCCGACCACCGTCTTGGCCATCTGCGCGTCCGAGTCCGTCACGCGCGCAATGCCGAAGTCCCCCAGCTTGACGATGCCCCCCGCGGCGACGAGCACGTTCGAGGGCTTCAGGTCGCGGTGCAGCACGCCGCGCGAGTGCGTGTGGTGCAGCGCGAGGCAGATCTGCACGAAGATGAGCATGACACTGTCCTCGTCCATGTACCGCGGCGGGGGGCCCTTCGCGCCGTTGAACGCGCCGACCGCGCCCGGGTTGCGCTGCTTGACCTTGTTCGTGAGGTCGCCGTCCTCGCAGAACTCCATCACGATGAACAGGTTGGGCTCCTCGACGAAGCACTCGAAGTAGTGCACGACGTTGGGGTGGTCCAACGACCCGAGGACCTTGACCTCGTTCCGGACCTCGCGCTTCATGCGCTCGTTCATGCCCTGGAACTCGATGACCTTGACCACGAGGACCGTGCCGTCGACCTTCCGCACCGCCCGGTGCGCCTTGCCGTAGGCGCCGCTGCCAATACACTCCCCCAGCTCGTACATGTCGCTGAAGCTCCCCCTCTGGATGACGCGGAGCGACTTGAAGAGGTCGCGGTTCGCGAAGGCGTCGCGCGCCTTGAGCGGTTCGGGGCGGAACTGGTCCCGCCCCGAGGGGCCTCTCCCGAGACCCCCCCGCAGCGGGTCGGGGCGCTCGGGGGGCTCGTCGCCGTCGTCCGCGACCTCGGCCATCTCGTTCATCACCTCCGCCGCGATCAGCTGCCACCCCGTGAGCGTGCCCATCGTCCGGTCGCGCTCGTCGCCGTCGTCGTCGTCAAAGTCGTTGGCAATGTCCGCCAGGCGCGCGTCGGCCTCCGCGCGCGACGACCGCGACTCCAGCGCGCTGTGCGGCCGGCTCTTGCTCGACTTGAGCTTCGTGATCTCCTCCATCCGCGCCGGCGCCGGCCCGTAGGCCTCCTCGTCCATTGAGTGCCGCGTCTGCTCGTTCGGCACCGCGAAACGCACCGACTTCGCGCGGCCGATGGGGGAGTCCGGCGCGCAGGCGTCGTGCAGGATGCCTGCGCGCAGCGGGGGCCGGGGGCGTGAGCAGGCGGGGGGGGACGTGTGTGTCTGTGCGTGTGCGGGGGGGGGTCGCGTACCGCCGTCGTGGTCGGAGTCCGTGCGCTCCTTCTGCGTCTTCAGGACGGGCATCGGCGCGCGGGAGCTGTCGGAGCTGTCCCGGGCTGCGGTGCGGCCCCCCAGGCTGACGACGGGCGAGGCCGCGTCGGTGCGAATGGACGCTTTATTGGAGCGCGGCGCTTTCTTTTGGGCCGCGGCGTCATGCCGGTTCCCGGCCAGGGGCGGCTTGCCCGCGGCGCCCGCGGGAGGCCGCTGCTGGGGCGCCACGCTGCTGGGCAAAGGCGCCGCGCCGGGCGCCTGCTGCTTTCGGGTCGGTCGCGTGGCCCAGTTCGCGAGGCGCTCGGGGCCCTTGTCTGCCGCGTCGCCCTCCGCGTCGTTCTCCGCGTCGGAGCCTGCAGCGGGGCGGGGAGGCGCGCCGGAGGCTCGTGAGGCGCGCGCAAGCCATGGGGGCCAGTGTGCGGCCGCCCCTGGGATCGGCAGAGCTCGACTCCGCGCGAACTTCGCCCTGGAGCCTAGCAACGGGGCTTGTCCGGCAGTGCGGCGGGAATGGGGCCGATGTGAGGCCAGGACCGCGCCACACGGGCGCGTGACTTGTCAGGCCCGTGAATCTGACGCAGCGGCGCGCGTATGCGACGACGTTCCGCGCCCCGGCGCGCGGCGCGCGAGTTGCGTGCGGCGACACGGCTCGAGGCCGCGCGGAGAGGCGTGGCGGGCCCGGAGCTGCCACGCGGCTGTAGGTTTGCCGCTCAGCAGAGGCCCGGAGCGACGGAGTGGGCCCTAGCGCGGCCGAACGGCCTGCCGGCGCGCACGACGGTGTAGTACATGCCCGGGTGGAGCCCGTGGCCGGTGACGAGGGCCTCACCTGCGAAGCGGACGCCGTTCGGGCCGGCCTGTGGCTCCCTGCTGGCCTCCGTCTTCCACGACTTGCTCGTGAAGACTCCCCCCCCATCTTCGGCGCTGTCGCCCGGCGTGTCGAGCTTCAGAACCGCGCTGGAGAGCGGGTCGGGGCACAGATGCTGCTTGAGCGGGCCCTTGGCCTCGGAGAGAAGGTCGCCTGGCAGCGTCTCGTCGACCACCTTCCCGCCGGCCCGCGCCGGCACTCCGCAGGCGCTTCCCATCCCGCTCTCTCAAAAAATCCAACGCCCGGCGCCGCGCGCGCGCTGTCTGGGATCTAGCGCCGCTGCAGCCGGGTATCTTTCACCCTGTCGGCATTTTGCCACTGATCACGCCTGGTCCTCACAAAGTCGCGCCAGGATCGATCGTGTTCCCTCCTACTCGCTGCTCTGACACCACACCGCGCCGCCGGCGCGCCAACAGCCCGCTACCCGCCGCCCCGGACCACCGTCGCCCCCTGCGCCAGCTGGCACACGTCGTCTCCGCCCCCCGTGCACGCAACGCGCCCAACTGCCACACCGACACGCCGCCACGCCGTGCCCGCCATCGTGCGCAGCCATCTGACGCCGAACAAGCGCCAGACACGCAGAACGGTCCGTGGCGGTGCTGAGTGCGCGCCAGCGCAGTGTGTGTTACGCGCGCCGAGGCCGGGACCCGCTCGGACGCCGGCGCGGAGCTCCTGCGCCGCACGCCCTATCTTCCCGGCGTAGCCCCGGGGCCGCTGCGAGGCCCTCCGCACGTGCCGCCGCGGAGCAACACAAGGAGTAGGGCGTCGACGCTGCAGTGCGGTCAGTGCAGCGGGAACCGACGTGCGCCGGTGCCGGACCGCCTGGAGCGCTTGATGCCGCCGCTGGAAAGCGTCCGGCGCGGTAGCTGCGGCCGCCGCTGGCGCGGAGGCGGGCCGGGCGGGCGAGTGTGTGTTGTAGCTACACCTACGTCTGTGAGTGGCCGTGAATGTGGCACCGCGTGCCGCGTGCAGCGCGCGCGCGGGCGGGCGGTCCGGGACCCTAGCTGCGGGGCCGGACGCGCAGCCTGACGCCGAGTGTGTGGGGGTGTGGTTTGCTGACAGGCGGTGACGGGCGTTTGAACTTTTACTACCTGGGGGGGTGTTTGCGGCCCGCGCGCGGGCAGCGCCGGGGCGATGTGGGTCTGCGGACGGCTGTGCGGCGCAGAGCAGCCGGTTTCGACCGCGGAGCAGGCGCAGGCGGGCCGATCCGAGGCCACTAGCAGGGTTTCTGTCGCGGGTGCCGCGGGGCTCGACAGCCGAGCGCTCGTGCGCGAGAGCGCACTGAAAATCGAGCAAAAATGCGTGAGTTCACCCCGCGCCGCCCCCACCCCGCCGCGCGAGCCCCCGAGCGGCCGCGAGCCGTTCCCCAGTGCTAGCAATCCGCCACGGGGCACCCCCGCCGCCCGCCCGCCCCGCGCCCGCCCCGCACGCCTTCACCACACGTCAGCCATCCCGCTGATCGCACCAAACCGCTCTGGTGCGGCCTCGATGCGCCGCGGCGCCTGCACCCCTGTTTCGCTGCTCCTGCCCCCCGCGCCGCGCAGTCCTCCCGGCCCGCCCCGCCGCGGCCCGCCCCCGCGCACGCCCACCCCGCCCTCACGTTCCGCACGCCGGCCCGTCCCTCCACGCTCGCCGCGCCACCCGCACCGACCCACCCCACGCCCCCTGGGCAACAACCACTGCTCCCCTGCACCCCGCCGCCGGCCCAACACCCCCGAAAACACCCCCGCGACCCCCCTCGCCCTCTCCGCATCGCAGCGCCGAGCAAGATGGACTCCGTCGCGTCGCACGCGGTGCGGTACGAGAACCCTGTTTACGGCGATGCAGAGGAGGACCTCCCAGCGGACGTCGCCGCGGCGGAGGACGCGTCGCCGCTGCGCACGCTCGAGGGCGGCGTCGGCCCGGTCGTCCCCGGCACGCCCGGCCGCCTGGACAAGCCGGAGCCGGAGCGCCAGGGCACGTTCACCGCGGTGGGGCGCTACCGGCTCGCGAACCGTGTGCCGGACCTGCGCAAGGCCCCGAAGACGCTCGCGTCGGCCGTCCCGAACCTCATGTCGGAGAACATCAAGTACAACCCGATTTTCGACCAGTCGGGCCTGCTGCTAAAGATCCCCCTCCTGGGCTGGCTCATGCTCGGGAGCCAGGGCCTCGAGCTCGCGCGGGAGTCCTCCGACCCGCAGCGCGGCCTCCAGAACCCGCGCATCCTGCACAAGTGGATCCAGGTGCCCACCGCGGAGTCGTACATGATCCTCTTTGCGTCGTCCGTGGCGCGCGTCTTCCTCCCGCACCTGACGCTCTTCACGACGGTCATCGTCATCCTGCTCTCGATCGGGTACAACGACCTCCCGCTCAACGGCGCCGAGATCATGATCCAGTGCATCGCCGTCGTCGGCATCTCCTTCCTCATCCTCATGTCCCTCATCCAGTCCCTCTGCAAGCGGTACATCTACTACCGCCTCCTGCGGCACGGGTACATCATCGACCTGCGGAACTACTCGGGCCTCCAGGTGTTCTTCTCGCACGACCGCATCGTCGTCACCGTGTGCTGCCTGGCGCTGATGGGCTACGACATGTTCCTCGTGTCGCTCATGACGCTGCGCGGGGGCGCGAGCGGGGCCGCGATGCTCGCGCCGCTCATCGTCGTCATCGTGCAGTGCATCCTCCTCGCGCAGTGGAACGCCACGGTGCTCAACATCGAGGACACGGTGCGCGCAAAACCCCCCCTCCCCCGCCCGGGGGGTGTCTTGTCTGGCTTGCGTGCTCAGCCCGTGGGTCGGCGCCGAGGCTGGGGCCGTTGTCGGCGTGTGCGTGGGCCGCCGCGGCTGTCGCGTGGGCGGGCGCGTGCGGCGGCCCGCTCCTGGTCGCGTGCTGACCTGACCTCGCTGCGTTGTGCCCGGTGCGCGTTCGCAGCTGATCACGGTGAACAAGCTGATCGAGAACGCGAAGATCTCGTTCGGCAACGACGACATGGAGCTCCAGGGCGCGCTGGCGTTTTTGTTCTCGACGCAGGGCATCAACACGGAGGACGAGGACGAGCTGACGACGAAGCGCCTCCGGGCCGCGCAGGACCTCCCGTACGACGAAGAGACCATCCAGCACGACAACCCGCACGCCGTCTACCTCCGCACCAACCTCGAAGCCGCTATGTACGCACACACAAACGACCCCGCCTCGGCACGCCCCTGCCGCGGCGCCGCCTCCCTGACGTCGTTCTGCCTCGCGCCTCCCGCAGGCTCAAGGTCCGCAACGCCCGCGCGGCGTGGCTGCGCGACAAGGTGCTGCAGCTGTCCCCCGACGACCTGGGCGCCTCGCGCGAGGACCTCGCGGCGCGCATCCTCCCGCGCCTGCGCCTCCTCGACGAGAACAACCTCATGACGAAGCGCACCTTCAAGCGCGGCGCGCGCGACCACGAGGGCACGCTCAAGGCGCTGGCGCACGACCTGGCCGCCGCGTTCAAGCCGTCGGTGTTCAACCTCGGCTGCTGCGGCTACGTGAAGCGCGAGAAGTTCGACTTCGCGGTCCAGCGGTGCTACTGGGAACTCGACGGCATCCTGGACTTCCACAACCGGGAGAACCGCGCGCTCACGGACCCGGCCTCGGAGCTCTTCTGGCCGGACAACCACCAGCTGACGTGCGGGTGGGACACCGTGATGCAGGCCGAGTACAGCAAGCAGTCGTGGAAGTCCACGAAGACCGACGACGACATCTGGGACAAGCTCGGCAAGTGGGACAAGGTGCGCCGGCAGCCACGAACCCACATCTCTCTCCTCGTGACTCGCTCGCGTGCGTATATGTACTTGTACACACAGCGGCCGCGCCACGCGCAGACGCGCCGCCCTGCGCGCACCGCACCGCACGCGCATGTTCCGAGCGCTCAGTATTTTGATATTAATTGATTTATATTTATATTTCCTGAGTTGTGTTTGGCACGCCGTGCAGTTCGAGCGCTTCATGGCGGGGTACACGTACAGCTTCCTGCGCGACAACGTGCTGGGCGAGCCGGACGACCGGGCGTTCGCGGGTCTGATCGCGCGCCTCGTGATCCTCTCGATCATCCTCGTCATCGCCTTCGTGCTCTACGCGGTGTGGGCCGCGTTCGGCAACGCCATGGACAGCCAGTGCGACGCGGCGTCGGAGCTCGCGGAGGACATCGACCAGGTCTGCACGGCGTTCGTCATCGGCGGGAGCGAGATCGGGGCGGCGCGCGAGACCTGCTCCGCCCGGGGGTTCAACTAAGAAGCCGGTGGCGCACGCAGGGCCCGGCGGCGGCGTCTGGGCCGCAGTTGCCGCGGCACGGGACGCAGCTTGGGCTAGTGAGCTTAGCTGCGGCGGCCGACGGGCGCTTGCGCGCGGTGCGTGCGCTGTGTGATGCGGCGAGCAAGGTGGGCGGCGTTGCCGGGGGTCACGCGGCGGCGGCGTCGAGATCGCGCAGCGTGGACGCGTCGCGGGCGGGGTAGGGCCGGGCGCGGGTTCCCGGACCGCGCCGCAGGGCAGTGCGGCGCCGCGCGCCACGCAACTGTCACCGGTGTCGGGCGGTGCCCCTGGCAGCGCGCAGCGAGCCGTGCGGGGCTCCAGGGGGCCGTGCGGGGCCCGCACGAGCCATTCGCACGCCGCGTCTGCGACTGGAGGCGAGTTCAAGCCTCATACCCTATTCGCCGCACGGCACGGGCCCGGAGGCCGCAGATCCGCCGCCCTAGGCCGCCTCTGGCCCGAAGCACGGGGCGCTCCTGGCGCTTTGCCCGTGTCCCGAGTGCAGAAAACTCTAGGGAACCCAGTCGGTCGCGATGAGGCAGGTGGTGATCACCGTGCCGCTGGCGCAGGCCGATTTAGTGGTCTCCACGCTCCAGGAGGTGCGCCTCGAACGCCCGCGGGACCCCGCGCCGCCCCGTACGCGGCCGCCCACGAGGCGCCCAGTCGATGTTCATACCGGGAATTCGCGGTTCGGGGCCGCGACGCGCGCGAATCCGACGCACGCCCCGCTCTGGTGCAGGAATGTGGGATCCGGTCGCTGTCGCGCATCGCGGGCGAAGAGTCCGCGAGCATCACGCTCTACGCGTCCCACGATCTCGCGTCGATGGTCATGCACGAGCTTGACCGCGTCGGCTGCGGCGTCGCGTACGGCCGCATCGCCCTTCTGCCGGGTGCGTCTGCCGCCCCGCCCCCGACGCACGCCCCCGGCGCGCCCCTAGCTCCGTTTCCATCCCCGCCGCGATTTCCGCCCACGCGCTACATGTCCGCTCCGCCCTGGCGCCGCAGCGGCCCGCGGCACGTCCTGCGGCGCCCGCGCGGCTCGCCCAACCACCGCCACGGCCTCGCCCCGCCCGCAGTCAACATGCTCAAGCCGCTCCCGAAGCGCAAGAACCTGCGCACGGGCGTCATCAAGGACAAGGAGGCCAAGGAGGAGAAGACCCACAAGGAAGCACGCAAGGTCAAAGCCCGAATGGCGATTGAGGAAATTTACAACGGCGTGGCCGAGAACGGCGGCCTCTCGTGGGACTACTGCTTCTTCGTGCTGGTCGCCTCGCTCATCGCGGGCCTCGGCCTCGCCACGAACAACACCGTCATGATCGTCGCGTCCATGCTCGTGTCCCCTCTCATGGGCCCCATCGTCGCCTTCACGTTCGGGACCGTGGTCGCCGACACCGACCTGCTCTTCCCGGGGATGCTCGCGGAGCTCGTCGGCGCGTGCATCAGCATCGGCGTCGGGCTCTTCCTCGGCGTCATCTTCGCGCCCTGGGCTGACCGGTGCGAAAACACCCCCCCCTTCCCCTCTCTTCCTCGCTGCGCCTGCACACGACGCGCTGCCGCCCGGGCAGGCGAAAGGACCGCATATCAGTCGCGGCGGTGCTCACACCCTCGTTCCCCAACACGCCCAGCGGCCCGTCCCTCGCTGATTGCATTGCCATGGCATAGACGTGGTAGCACGTCTCCTGTCTTGCCCCTTCCGCTGAGACGGAAGGCGCTGTGCGTCCTCGACGGACCCCCCGCCTGTGCGTCCCCGGGGCCCCGTGCTGGCCAGAGCAGCGTGCGTGGGCTCGCTCGACGCATACACGATAGCTGTCGAGGCCCGTGCAGCTCCCTTCCGTCTGGAACGGGGGCAATACGGCCCTCGATGGAGATTGTGTAGCCGTCGAACGAGCCCACGCACGCGGCTCTGGCCACCACGAGGCCCCGGCAGCCCCCAGGCGGCAGGGGCGCGGCATAGACACTGCGTTCCCGGCCCGTGCGGGACCTGCGCACTTTGACACTCCGTCGCCATGATATTATATTATATTTCCAGACACCTGCACGTCGCACATGGCGCACATTCGCACACCTACCTCCCCCCCCCGTGTTGTGTTGTTTCTGTGCAGGTACGACTGGCCGACGAACGAGATGGAGTCCCGCGGCGAGTACGCGGGCCTCCTCGTCGGCCTCGCGTTCGCCATCCCCTCGGGCGCCGGCGTCGCGCTCTCGGTCACCGGCGGCGGCGCCAACGCGCTCGTCGGCGTGGCCATCGCCGCCTCCCTCCTCCCGCCCGTCGTCAACTTCGGCATGTGCCTGTCCTTCGCGGGCTTCGGGCCCGCCGTCATCGGCGACGAGTACGACTCCGGGCACTTCCTTCGCATGGGCGGCATCAGCATGGCGCTCTTCGCCCTCAACGTGGGATGCATCATCGGCGTCGCGGCGCTCATCTTCTGGCTCAAGGACATCCGCCCCGTGCGCAAGCAGCTCTCGTTCTACAAGGAGCTCCCCGCGCCGCGCATCAAGGACGCCACCAGGGACAGCGACAGCCGCGGCCCCGGCAGCGTGTCGGGTCTGACGCTCACCACGCAGCGCGTGGACGCGCAGCCCACGGGCAGCACGGTCGCTGCTGCGGGCAACGGCGCGGCGCCGGTCCTCGCCGCGCCCTCGGCGTCGAAGCCGCCGCACCGCTCGAGCCTCAAGGGGTCGGGCAACAACCGCCGCCGCAGCGCCGCGAGCACGCGCCGGGACTCGAACGGCGAGAAGCCGGACGCGAACCGCCTCACGCGGCCCACGCCCGGGAAGCCGACCGCCGCGGACGCAGCCGCTGCCGCCGCGCCGGCGCCCGCGAGCGTGCTCGGCGGCTCGCAGATCAATGCGGAGCAGAAGTCGACGGGGTCCGCCGTCGCGGCGGCGCAGCGGCACGCGCTCGATGCCGCGGAGCGCGCGCAGGTCGCAGCGCGCGAGGCGCAGGCGGCCGCGAACGTCCTCCAGCAGGCGCTCGCAGCGCAGCCGGGCGGCGCGCCGCCCGCGGCGGGCGCGCCCGCGGCCGCCGACGGGAACAACTCGCTGCTCTCCGGCTTCGAGATCAACGCGGCGGAGGACGAGCTCGGCGACATGGAGGGCGTCCAGGAGGACGCGGGCATCGACCTGTCGGTCCAGGCCAAGTCGGCGTGGCGGCGGCTGGCGGCGTTCGTGCGCGACGCGGCCGCGGAGGCGCGCGCGCGCGCGCGCTCCGAGGCACAGCAGGGCGGCGGCATCCACGGCGAGGCCTTCGATTTCCACATGGAGGAGGTGCTCGAGGAGCGCTTCCAGTGGAACGCGGGGGCGGACGCGCGGGTGTACGAGTGGCTCGGGGAGGCGTGCGCGGTGGAGGATGCGCAGAAGGGGGAGGTGGCGGCGGGGGCTGTGCCGGCGACGGGGGAGGTGGCGCGGCGCGCGGAGGCGGCGGCGATGACGGATGCCGAGGCGGCGGCCATCAACGCGGCGGCGGCGGTGGCGCCGGCGGCGGACGCGCAGAAGGAGCCTGTGGTGAGCGGGGTTGCGAAGGAGGGGGAGTCGGAGGCGGAGAAGAAGAAGGCGGACAAGAGGAAGAAAGCGGAGGAAAAGAAGAAGGAAGAGAAGAAGTGATGGTCCCTTCTTATTTCTCGGTTGATGTCGGATGACTCGGAGGACGGCGGGAGCTTTGCCGGCGCGCCGAACGCGGACGGCGAGGTGGACGAGCGCTGGTCGAGTCGAGCTGTCGCGTCCTGCGCCACGTCCAGCTACCTCCGACACTGTCCCCCCCTACTTCCACTACCCCCCCTCAATCCTGTTGCCTCGGCGTCCGGCGGTGAGCCGCAGCGCACGAAGCAGAGGTTCGAGCGGCGCCTGGATCTACCACGCCCGTCCCTATCTCGAAAGAACCAAGACAAGAGTTGCAATTCCTCAATTGCCACGCACACGCTGCTGGCCCGACTGCTCCTCGGCGGCGAACGCGCGTCCGCCCGACGTGCTCGGACGCCCACGCCCGAGCGCGACGGCGTGGCTCGCGCGGCGCGCTCGCTCGAGTCGCAACGCCCCGTGTGAGATTCCTAGCATGGCGATCAGATATGCCCCGATGAATTTCTCTCTGTCGACTGAGACGAGTGCCAGCGAACAGCAAGCACGTCTACCGGCGTCGCGGCGTGACGCCCGACCGGGCCTGCAAGGCTGTTGAGCTAGTCAGTCATTCACTTCGCACACGGACTCATGTTTTCCCTACTACGAACTGCACGTGGTATCTTGCTGCTGGCATGGCATGCTCGCACGAGTGCTCCGCGCACTCCGCCTCGCCCTTTGGGATCACTGGCGCCCGGCAACTCGTCTCTAGTATTGCGGGCACAGACTTCCTTCCCTGTGGTATTTTTCTACCAGATTAGGGTTCCAGTCTTACCACCTCTCAACACCCCCCCAGTGTCCCCCTCATGACCGTGCTGCGTCGCACCACACCCGCAGTGTACGTTCTAGCAGCCTGAAAGCACGATGACGCCAGCATGAGCGCCCAGTGACGCTGCTCGTGTCGCGCTCCTCCACGCCAGCCCGCCCGCGCACGTAGGGACGGGACCACAGCGCCCAGAGCTCGTCGCGATTGTGCGTCCGGTCAAGGTGCAGCGCGATGGCTGGGCCCATCCATCGTTGCGGGGGCGTGCGGCCCCAGCGCACCCCCGCGCACCTCTGTGGCGCTGCTCCGCCTCCCCCTGCCCGGTCGTGCCGGCCGGGGCCGCGACCTTCGTCCGCTCTGGACGACGCTCTCACTCTGCATTCGTCTCCTTTTGGCCGCCGTGCTGCGTGCGGCCGTCGGAAACCGTCGTCAGACCGGAGGGTGGCACTAGCGGCGCGGGGGGGCGGTGCGGGGGCCGAGGACGCCCCGACGCCGCTGTCGTCCGTGGACCTCGAGGAGTGGCTGTCGTCCTCGGATGTGGAAGGCTCGATCCTGTCCGAGGAGGAGTGCGAGGAAGAGTGTCTGGCTCTGCAGGCCGCTGCGACCAGCAGCGACTACGGCGCAGGCACGGAGGCGCCCAAGCCCGGCGCGCACGTCAAGACGCTGGTCCTCCGCGTCGGCCCGAAGCGCAGCCAGCGGTACGTCGCCGCCGTCATCGGCCTGCACGACCGGCTCGACACTAAGAAGATAGCCGCGCTGACAGGAGTCTCAAAGTCACGAGTGGAATTCGCGAAAGCTGACGTGGCAGAGCGCCTCACAGGTGCGCCCCGATCCCGCGACAACGCCATCAACGCTTGCGCCGTGCACACGCGCCTCTGTCGCGCGCGCGTAGTTGGGGGGGTGTGATCATGCAAGTTGCACATGTTTTGCGGTCCGTGCCGCTGCAGGGTTCGTTCCGGGCACGATTCCGCCGCTCGGCCACCGCGAGAAGATCCCGGTGTTCCTCGACGCCCAGGTCGCCGCCGCCGGCGTGCTCTACGGCGGCGGCGGCACGCCCGGCATCGGCGTGCGCGTGTCCCCAGACGCGCTCGTTTCCGCGGCGGACGCGACCGTCGCCGACATCGCAGCGCACGCCGCGCCCGCGCCGTCCGCGCCGGACCTCCCCGAGCCCTGGGAGGACGGTGTCGAGCTGGCGGCGGTCACGGGCATCGTTGCTACCGCGCGGCGCCTCGCGCGGACCCTCGTGTTCTTTAACATCGTTCCCGCGGACGTCGAGGTGCCGGACGCGCCGTCGCAGTTCGTGCGGACGCGCTGGGCGTGTCCCGGGGCGCCTGGCGAGGCCGTCGCGCTCCAGGTCGTCGCCGGCGCGTCGCTGGAGAAGTCGCTGGGTGAGGACGCGACGGCGGAGCTGCTGTCGCAGGTGAGGGTCGGCGCGACGGTCGAGGTCGCGGGGCGGCCGCAGGGGAAGGAGCAGGACCGGCCGGTGCTCGACCTGGTCGCGACGAGCGTGCGGGTGCTGCGCCGGTCGCCGTACGCACCACGCAACAAGCGGGCCGACGCCGGGCGCGGCGCGGGGCCCGCGGATGCCCGCGTGCACTCCAACGCGAACGACGGGTCGTGGGCGGACGCGTACGCGATCGTACCGACGCAGCCTGCGGCGCCGGTCAGCCTCGAGGGCATCGCGGGTCACAGCGGGGGGCCAAGGGTCGTCGTCGTAGATACGATCGACATGGTGCTGGAGATGTTCGCACGGCTGCAAGAGGCCGCCGCCGCTGCTGCTGAGCGTGGGTCGCCGATGGTCGTCGGCGTGGATGCGGAGTGGCAGCCATACGCGAGGGGCGTGCCGCGAACGCCCGTGTCCCTCTTCCAGATCTCTCTCCCGGACGTCGCGTTCGTCGTCGACCTCCTCTCGCTGTGCCAGCCGCCCGGCGCGGTACTGCACGGCCCCTCGCACGCCGACGTCCCGCCCACGGACCCCATCGCGCCCGCAACTCCCAACCTCCTGCGTGCCGCCGCCGACGGCCGCGTGACCGCGTCCGGCCTCAGCGTCGCGGAGAGCGCGCTCAGCGCTGCAATCGAGTGGGTGTTCGCGTCGGACGCCGTCATCAAGGTCGGATTTCAACTCGACAACGATCTGCGTCGCATCCATCAGAGTTACCCCCACCTGCCCTGTGTCGGCGGCTCCGGCCGCGCCGTCGAGCCGCTGGACGTCAGCCCGTCCGGCAACGGAGCTTCAGCGGCGCTCGTGCGGACCGCGGGCCCCGCCGGCCCGTCCGAGGCCCCGCGGCCGCTGCGCGCGCACGTCGATGCGGCCGCCGCCGCTCGCATCGCGTTCCCGCAGCAGGTGGAGGGGCTCTACCGGCTCGGGCTCGCGAGGCTGTGCACGATGGTTCTCGGCGAGGCGCTTGACAAGAGCCAGCAGACGTCGCAGTGGGCGCAGCGGCCGCTGACTCCCGCGCAGCTTGCGTACGCCGCAGCGGACGCCCACGTGCTCACGCGGATCTTCGCGCGGCTCGCGGACGTCGAGCCCAAGCTGCTCGACCGCGCGCACCACGTGGAGGCGTCGCTCGGCCTCACCGACGTGTCGACGTTCGCAGGAGATGGCAGCAGCTGGCCGCGGAAAGCGGTGGAGTGGGGGAGGCTCGGGGGGCTGCACGGGTCGTTCGCGGTGGTGCCGCAGGACGAGGACGCGGAGGTGAAGGCGGGGGAGTTCGGGCGGCCCGCCGAGCCGCTCATGCCGGGACCGGAGCGCCCCGTGGGACGGTCGCAGCGGCACTTCAGTCGACGGCGGCGGCGGCCGTCGCGCGGGGGGGACTGGGCGGCGGAGCGCGGCGTGAAGTCGGTGCGAGACCTGGACGTGGACCTGGAGAAGGCGTGCGGGGAGCTGCTCGGGCGGGCTGTGGGCGCTACGAGGTGCGCACTTAGTGAAACGATAGACTATCGTTTCAGATACCAATTCCTGAATAATTCTTGATCTGTATCGATGCGTACATACGAGCGTCGCCGTTCCTTGTTTGCCGGCTCGGTGGCTGCCGCTGTACGCCACCGACGAACGCTGCACATGTGGCACGTGCTCGTGGCCCGCGCAGGCTCGAGGTGGTGCACAGTCTGGTGCGCGACGACGACGGGTCGCTGGACGCGCGCAGCGGCGACAAGAAACGGTACGTCCGCTTCCCGCGCGGCGGCGGCGCCGTGCTCTGGCAGAACGCGGTCGTCCTCCTCATCAACGTCGACGGCGGCGGGAAGTACCCCAACACGTTCCGAGAGACCCCCGACGGCAGAACGACCGTCACGTGGTACCCCTCCGCGACGCGCGAGATGCGGTCCACGACGTTCGGCGGCCTCTCGCCCTCCGAGACGCGCGCACGGTGGCGCAAGCAGCTGCGGCGGCCGGAGGTGGCGGCCGCGCTGGCGCTCAGCGGCCACGCCGAGCCCGGCTCGGCTACCGCGTGCTCGAACGCCGGCGCGCACGTCCCAGCGGGCCCCGTGCCCGTCGAGGACATCGTCGAGGCCGCGGCAGCGGCGCAGGCCAGCGGGGGGAGTGTCCTGCTGGTCTGTCGGCGAGGAGGGGTTCCGAAGCCTGCGGACGACCGGTACGTGTGCATGGGCCGCGCGGTGTGCTGCGCGGTGCGCGACGCCAGCGCGGGGTCGCCAGGGCACCTCGAGTTAGTGTTTGAGCTGCCTGACTGGGCAGACGCGGTGCGGGAGCCCGCGGGACAGGCTGTTGTTCAGGGGGCGGTGCGGGGCGCGACCGAGGCCGTGTGATGCTCCGTGACCGCGCGGTGCGGCTCGGGGGTGCGGCCCGCGAGCGCCGCACATGCTGCTGTGTTTGTGTTCGATCAGCCGGCGGGAAGCGACGCTGGGATCGCGACGATGTGCAGGGGCGCGAGAGGGTGTGCTGCTGGCTTGCGACGGGCGCGCAGGGGCGGTGCGCTGGTCCCGGGCGACGCGGTGCTGCCGCGCAAGTGTGTTCTTGCTTCGCGGCGGGCGCAGAAGTCGCGGCGCGCCCTCCCACCGGCCGCCTTGCGTGTCCATAGAGATATGCATGCGTCACCTTGCGTATGCGTCGACAGTGACGCTTCGTGCGTTTCAGGCGCACCGCCCAGCTGCTTTGCCTTCCCGCCCCCGCCTGCGACGCCGACCGCCGTCATCCTGCGTCGAGGCGCCGAACATGCGTCCTTCGCTGTCGTTCGCCTCCAACGCGACGCCGCACGTCGCGCGTTTCCGGCTTCTTCGTGCCGCCCGGGGGGCTGCCTGGCACCTCCGGGGCCGATTACCGATCGCGTGGGCGGCGCGGGGCGGTCCGGCGGGGCCCGTCGGAGGGCGCTGCGTCGCTTGTCGCGCACTTGCTCTGCCGGGCAACACGGAAACGGCCTCGAAACCGGACACGGCGTGAACTACGCGGCAATGGTGGTTGACGCGTGACAGGCTGTCCCACCTAGTGTCGAACGGCGCGGAATAGATGCCCGCGCAGCGCGCTGCGGGGTAGGACATTGACATTCAGGTGCACTGCCACACCTCCACGCCTCACCTCGCGAGTCCGACATGCGGATGCGCCACTTCGAGAGAAGTGGACTTCGCGGTCGTTCCCGCGGGACACGCGTCCCACAGCGATCATGCCCGCCCGTTTCCCCAGGCTGGATGCATTGTTCCGGCCACGGAGAGCGGAATGCGCCCCCTTGCGCGCCAGTAACAAGCCCACCTTGCGCGGAACGCCGCCCTCCTTGCAGCCAGCAACCGCCGCGCGCGGCTGCGTCGCTGCAGCGCTCGCCGCCGCCTCGCCCCTCCTCCTTCGATCACCAGCTCCCCCTCACGACCCCCGTCGCGCAGGAGCGGACCCACTACCACTACCCTCGCGGAACTCCACAACCGGGGCCGCATTAGGCGCACAGCCGACCTGGTGCACCTCCGAGCGCGGCCGGAGCTCGCCCCCGCCGCACACGGCGTAGCATGGGCGCGATGACGCATTCTCGCAGTCCACCCCACGCGCACCGCGGCCGCGGGCGCGTGAACACCGGCGGGGCGGCCACGCGCGCCCCCGGGCGCGAGAAGGCAGCAATTACACGCGCGCTCGACGTGGTGGCCTGGGCCGACAGCCACGGCGGCGCCATTCCGCGCGTGCTGCGGTGCTGCCGCGGGGAGCGGCGGCAGACCGCGAACCCCGAGCAGATCTGGGAGCACACGCTTGGGCAGTGGATTGCAAACCAACGCAAGGCCGTGCAGGGGAAAGGGACGAACGCTGCGCACCCGCCCGCGATCTCCGTGCTGGACAAGCGCTTCGGGCACGCGTGGCGGTCGTGCTCCGGCGCCGTCGTCGTGGCGGCGGCGCTGGCGGACAGCGTGGAGGGTGGCGGGGCCGGGCCCAGGCCCGGCGCGGCGGCCGCGGGGGCGAACGGCGTGGTGACGTGCTGGGGCGGGCGCGGGAAGCGCGGCGCGCCTGCGGGGGCGGCACGGGTGGCCGGCGACGCGGCTCCGCGGAAGGGGGCGGACGAGTTTGCCGAGCTGTTGCTGTCGCTGAGTAATCGGAGCGTGTGCGAGGGGGGGGAGTCTGAGGAGCCGGGGGCGTCGGGGGGCGGCGCGTCGCAGTACACGACGGAGACGGAGACGCAGGACCATCCGCGCGCGCGGGCGCCGGAGGAGGGGGGTGTTGGGCTGGAGGGGGGAGTGCCGGAGGGCTCCGCGACGCCGCCGCGGCGGACCGAGGAGCTCGAGTGACGCGCGAGCGGGCAAATTACATAATGCCGCGTCGGCGCTAAGATGTTCCACCGCTGTAATCGAAGCAATTGCCGTCGCCCACTCGAGGCCCTCCGGTTCCACCGCAGTCGAGAAATCCCGAGCTCCCCTCGCCTAGATCTCCTCGAAGTCCAGTCCCTCGTCGGTCGCAGGCTGCGCAGCCGCCTGCGCTTCCGCGCCACCGCCGCCACTCCCCCCCGGCTCCAAAACAGGCCCCCCCCCTTGCCCTGACTCCCCCTGCGCGCCCCGCTCGTCCGCGGCCCGCGCGCCGCCGTACTCCTCCGCCACGTACCTGCGCGCGATCAGCCCGCGCGCCAGCTTCTCCCACCCGCTCGCGGCGGCCGTCGCCCGCCTCTCCGCCTCCTCCTCCATGCGCGCCTCCTCCTGTCTGTCTCGCGCCTCCAGCACCCCCTCCACGAACTCGTCGCACACGACGACGCCGTCCACAACGGGAACCGTGCGGCCACCGCGCCGATCGAACCCGACCAGCGCGGGCGCGTAGTCGACGCCAAGGAGCTTGCAAGCCCTGGACACGAGAGGATAGGTCGTGCCCGGGAGGTGCGTCGTCCCCGCGGGGAGAAGCGGGACGAGGGGCGGGCATTCGACGTTTCCTCGGTCGTTGCGCGGAACGCGGCCGTCGACGACGGGCGCGGGCACCCACGCGCGCGTCTGCCACTCGCCATACACCCAGACCTGTTTCGTTCCGACGCCGCCGTCGACGAAGTCTTCGTCCGGCGGGTCGTCGGCCCTGCTCGGCTGATTTTTCTCCTTGGTCTTTCCCTTGGTCACGCGCCGCGCGGGCTCGTTCACGCGCTCCGGGAGCACCTCCCTGCCCCGCCTGCGCCACTGGATGATGGTCCGCAGGTCCGACACGTCCGACTTGAGGTAGAACTTCTCGCCCTTGTGCAGCCCCTGGAACCTGCGAGCGCCACAGCACGCCGCCGCAGCCCGATCGGCCTCCGCACCACGTTCCATTCCAACCACGCAAACACATACATATGTCTTCGTGTGCATGTTTGATCGAAATAAGATATCGGCTGCGAAGATAACGGCGCACACGGGAGCCGCGCAGCTCACTTCGCGCCCGGCCGCAGGCCCTGGTACGACAGGATGTGCCGCTGCAGGGTGTACACCGGGTGGTTCTTGAATCCCTCGATCGTCGTCGGAGGACGCACACGTTCCCTCGCAGCCGCCGCCTTCAACTCCTCCGCGTCCTCCGCGTCGTGCCCCGGCCGCTGCCGCCCGTTCGACGGCCCCGCGGCGCCCTTGGTGCCCGCTTGGTCTGCACGCCGCGACAGAGCCGCGAACGCGCCGCGGAAGTACGCGGTGTCGCGCTGTTTCGTGGCGTCTGACGCGGTGGCGGGGTTGTACCGCGCAGTGACGTCGCGGAGGGCGCCGTTCTCCGCCGCGACGACCCACGTGAGGGGGCTGTCGCGCGGCCGCGCGCCGGCGACGGACGCCGCGGCCCCGACCTCCGCTGCAGCGCACACCACGCACCGCAAAACCTCAATTGCCACGTCACTTATATGTTTTTCCCTCTCTAGTGTCTTGTGATCCACAAAGCGGCTCAACAAGCCCCCCACGCACAGAAACGATCGACCGTCGCAGCATCACGCGTGTTCGCCCGCGTTCGTCTCAGTCAGACATAGCGCCGCACCTCGCAGGGGGTCCACATGCACCCATCCAGGCTTCTCGTGCGCGCCGGCCGCCAGCACCTCCGTCCACCAGTGCCGCTCCGCGCCTACGTTCTCGGGGCCCGACCGCGGCGCCTCCACCGGCATCGACCTGGCCTGCAGCAGCTTCCGCCTCCCCCCGCGGGCTCGCGACGCCGACACAGGTCGCCCCGCCCCCCCCCGACGCCCGCGCACGTCCGCCAAGATCTCGGACCGCAGCATCGCGAGCTGCGTCTCCCGCTCCTCCTCGTTGCGCGGCGCCGCGAGCGGCTGCGGCGGCGGCGCCGAGGGGGCGCTGGCCAGGGCCGCGGGGGTGTTGCGCGGGCGGCCCGCTTTGCCGGGGGGGGGTGTTGGACGGTGGACGGAGGGCGCGGCATCCGCGGCCTTGGCTGCCCGCTCCGCGATGACGCGCTCCACGATCCAGTCCTGCTGCTGCCCTGCGTTCAGCGGGGAGGGGGGGGTTGATGCGGTGTCGATGTACGTCCTCGTGTGGGGGGGGGGTGTTCGAGTGGTCGCCTGGGGCGCAGGAGCGAGAGAAGGATCAATGTCGTACCGAGCTGCGTGGGCGGCAGGTCGAGCGCGCGCACGACGCGGCAGCGCACGCCGAGCCCCCGGAGGAGTGCGCAGAACACCCCCGCTGCCTCAGCGGCGGACCCCGCACGCGTCTGCACGCGCGTCCGGAGCCGCGCCTTCGCCGCCTCGACCGCGCCCCTGCACACAACAGACACGAGCGCGCCGTGAGATCCAACAACACCAAATCTCGACTGCGGCAGCATTCGTTTCTTGCCTGTCTCCCCTCGCGGCGCTGCAAGCGTTCGACGCGGCACCAGGCCAGCACTCACCCTTCGTGCCGCAGCGGCCGCGACACGCGCGCCACGCGCGTCCAGAAGCTGTTCGAGAACCACTGAGTCAGCGCCCGGACAGACTGGGTCGTCGGGGGGCCCGCGGCGGCCTTCTGCACGCCGGCAACGAGCCGCGCGGGCGCAACGGCCCTACACAGCATCCCCAGCTCCGCGTCCTGCGCCGCTGCGTCCACCATTCGCACGTGCCACAGCTGCGCCAGCCCATACGCCCTGTGCAGCGCCAGCGCGCGCGCCCGCTCCTCCGCCGTCGCCGGCCGCCGCTTCTTCTTCTTCGCCTCGCCCTCGCTCTTGTCCGCCGCCGCACTCGTCCCGTCCGCCGTTCCCGCCGCGCGACTCGCGGTTGCGCCCTCTTCATCTTCGTCGGACGATATCTCGATGAAATCGTCGGGCTTGGCCCTGCCGCCGACGTCCTCCCACTCCAGGGGTCCCTCGTCTACTTCCTCGGGGTCCGGGGACGCGTCGGTCGCGGCGCCGCTGTCGTAGTTGCTGTCACTCGTGTTGGCTCCGCTGTCCGAGGAGGCGTCGCTGCTGCTGTCGTCCGGGGTGATCAGGCCGTCGTCGCCGCCGCCCGCGGGCGGGCGCGGACGCTCGCGGCCGCGGCGCTCCGCCGCCGTCGCCCCGCACGTGTCCTGCGACACGGAGAGCCTAGTTCCCTTGTGCGATGGCACGAGGCGAATTCAGTGGGAAAACGGGCGTGACAAAACGTGCTTTCGCGCCACGAGCGATGTCGGCAGTCTGCTTGCACGATGACCAACGAACCATTGAACGCAGACGCCTACAAATACAATGCGACGAGCACGAGTTGCTAGGGAAGCTCGCTTGGCCGCTGCAGGCCGCGAGGGGCGACGCGCGCCCTCACCTCGACGTCGCCCGTTCGGAGCCGCTTCATCGGCGGCAGGAACGCCGGTCCTGCGTTCCCCGGCGCCTCCCGCGCCGCCCCCGTCGGCCGTGCTTCCCCTCCGCCATCGGCACGCTCCGCCCCGCCCCCGCGACGCTTGTCGAGCAGGCGCCGGACAGACTTGAGGCTCGCGCCAGCGAGCGTGTCTGCGCACGTCCGCGAGAGCCCCGCAGGTGAGCCGCAGGGCTGGCGGGCCGGCAAAGCACCACCGTCCACGCAAGCCCTTGCTAGCTGCGTCACGGCGTCCTCATGGGACAAATCAAACATTTTCTTGCCCAGAGAGCTTGAGGAGGATATGAAATACGAGATACACGTCAAGGGACGCCATGTCACGACCTTGGCGGGCGGCACCGGCAGAACGTCTGGCAGGCGTGGCACTCCGAGCCGTTGCGGGCCGTGAGGTGCGCACCTTTCTCGGGCTTGCCGTCCACCATGTCTATTCACGCCCGCTCCGTATCCCGGAGACCGCCTCGCCACGACGCCTCACGCCCCCCAGGCCCCCGCATTCTCTAACCACGTGCAACAATCCACCCAAAACCTTCAAAACATGTCTATCCGTGAGCAGATCAGTCCCTCGTCCTTCCACGCAAGCAACGCCTCGCTCACCCTCTCTCGCGCGAACCCGCCCCGCCGCGCCCACGACCCCCGCCCCTGCAACACAACCTGACTCAGCCCAAGTCCGACACAGCCCCCCAGCGTGCCGCCCGGCGCCCGCGCCCGCAGCCGGCGCCACTTGCCCGCTCGCAGCTACCCTCTCCGCCGCACGGCGGCTCCACCGACACGCGCCGCACCGCCCTACCGCCCCACCAACACGCACAGCGGACGCATCTCAACGTGCGTGGCGCGAGGGCCGCGTCGGCGCCCGGTCCGAGGCGCGCGGCGCGGCGGCGGAGTGCGGAGAAGCGCGCAGCCCGAGCCGCCGAGGCGCGCCGGTTCCGGGACGTCGTCGGATCCGGCCCGCTGAGTCAGCGCGTCAGACTGGCCGGTGGTGCCCGGCGGTCCGCGCGCAGTTTGTGGGCCGGGCGCGCGCTCGCGCGGGCCACTCTCTGCGCCGCCGCCGTCTCCAGCACGCGGAATTCCTTTTTCCAGCCGGCGACGTTCCGTATCCCGCAAACATGGAGTTCACCAAAGGACATGCTTTGACGACGGTCTACGGCCGGGAGGGCCGCACGGCCGCGGCGGAGTTCAAGGTGAAGGACGACGGCAAGCTGAAGCTCGAGATGAGCACGTTCAAGGACCTGCAGATGGCCACGTACACGCACGGGGACTTCGAGTTCAAGGTGCGGCGCCGAGGACGTTGCAGCGAGCAGGGGGGCGCCGCGGCGAAGTGGGGCGCTGCGACGCGCGCGCGACCGGCGCGTTGCGCTGGGAGATATCGTTGCTGCGTGGCTGGGTGTCGGGGGGGTCCGCGGCGGCGGCGGCGGCGACGCGGGAGGCGCTTTTGCCGACGTGGCTTGCTGTGCGATCCGCGCGAGTGCGGGGATGCGGCTGCGATCCGCGGACGGATTCTCGCGCAATCCTGAGGGATATCGCGAGATAGGCCGCGAATTTTCGTACTTCGGCCCCCTCGACGTAGTAGGACGCATGCCTCATGTGGTGCCAAACCGCCTGCGCCGCCCCGCAGCGCACCCGCACCGCCATGCTCATCCGATCCGCTCCCTGGCATCTCGCTCCCCTACCACACCACCCACGCCCGCCATCGTCCTCACTTCCGAGTGCATCGCCCGCAGCCGGCCCGCCAGCAGCCGGCAGCTCTCCCTACCCCCCCCCTGCCCTTCATTCCGTGCACCGCCGCGCCCAGCCATCCCTCCAACGCCCTTTTTCAACGTCAATCATCCACGCGAGCACCGCATCAGCGCCGCGCGCCCTCCCCCGCGCCCACACGCGCAGCCCCATGTAGTGAATTCACCGCGCCCGAACCGAACCGCGCCACCGCGCCCGCAGGCCTCGAACAAGGACCTCTTCGCCAAGTGGAAGGTCGGCAAGGGCTTCACCGTGTCGCAGCTCGTCAAGCACAGCGACGGCTTCAAGGTGGTGCCGTCGCCCGTCGTGGAGTACCAGCACAAGGTGCGTGCCGCGCCCGGACCGGCGCGACGACCGCGCGCCCGCGCGCGTAGATGTGCCCGCGTGCGTCTGTCTGCCGCGGATGCGCTGCCGGATGCTCGCGCGGGGGCCTTTCGCGCCGTTACTCTGGCGTGTGTGTTCCTGCGGCGATTCGCGCCGCCCCCGGGCGTCCGCAGCTCGACCCGCGCTTACAGCGGCTGCTTCGAGCAGCGGGCACCGTTCCGCGCAGTCGTCCGGATCATAGGTCGGACGATCAGTCGACGAAGCAGGACTGCCGCGACGCACACACTGTTGGTTCCCCGGCGCGCAGATGGACGACAACCTGAAGGCGACGCTGGTGCACGACTTCCAGAACCGCAAGTCCCGCGGGCGCCTGACGTACGAGAAGAAGCCGTGCAAGGTGGAGTTCATCGCGGACAAGAAGCAGGAGTCTGACAAGATCACCACGACCGTCAGCGCCGAGTACAAGGGCATCGAGGACCTCAAGCTGACCGGCGCGATCTACTCGGACGGCGCCAACTCGCTCGGCGCCGAGTACAAGCCCATCGAGGGCCTCACGCTGCGCGTCTCCTACGGCATCGAGCGCCTGCGCGAGAACGTCGCGAAGCTCGCCAAGCGGCCGTTCGAGTCGGACACCGTGTTCAAGTCCCCCGGGCTCATCGGCGCGGAGTACAAGCTCAAGGTTACTGACATCAAGGGCTACGACGTGTGCCTCGTCGCCGACGTCGAGGACGACCTGGCGAAACCCGAGACGAGTACGTGGCGCAGCGCCCCTCCCTCGCTCGGCGCGTGTGCGGTGTGTCCTGCGGCGTGCGGCAGTCGAGGCGCGAGCGTTCTGCGGGAGACTTACTTTGGTATTTGTTGTTGTGCGCTTGCTGCGTTGCAGAGCCGCAGGTGGCGCTCAAGATCACCCTCGGCTAGGCGCGGGGAGGACGGGGGCGTGCACGTGACGCGCGACCTCGGGCGGCGCGGGCCGGGCGTTCGACGCCCGCTGCCCTGTGTGTGCACACGCGCTGTGTGATTCCTGGCTTGCGTTCTGGTTCCTCGGTGCGCGTGCGTGGGGGTCGGAGATCGGCAATTCGCTGGTGGTGATGGCGACTGCTGCGGGAGCGAGCTGGTCGACGAGTCGTGGCATGCCGTGGGGGACTGTAGCACTGAGCACCCTGGAGAGTCCCCCTGGGGACGTCCGGCCGCGATTACAGCCGCGCGACGCCCGCTCCGCTGTATTCTCGCGCTCGGCGTACAGCTGCGCGTAGCAGGGCCGACGGTGTTGCCGGTGGGGTCCGAGACGGCGACGCGAGGCGCGGCAGGAGAGGGTGGCGCTGGTGGTGGGATGAGCTTCGCGCAGCGCGAGGCCGAGGAGTCGGCATGGTCGCTCCACGAGCGGCCGCTGAGCGCGCTGCGGCTGGCGGCGCGCTCGCTGTGCCGGGCGCTGACGCCGTTCCACTTCGAGGGTCCACTCGGCGGTCTCGCAGGTACGTATGTCGGTCCTCGGCCGGTAGAAGCGCATGATCGCTTGCGAGCAGATGGTGTCTTGAACTCGTGCTGTGTTGCGGCGGGTCGGGCGCGCCGCGCGCCTTCTGCGGGGCATTCTTGTCCCAGCAACGTTGTGCGGGCCCTGGCCGGCGCGCGCGATCGCCCACGGCGCACCTCAGTCCGCATCCCGCATGGAACTCCGTCGTCCAGGTCGGTGGATAGCGTCCGGGAGGGGGGGGGGGAGTCAGAAGAGCCGCATGGTGCACTATGCGGCGGAGGCAGTGAAGGACGACGGTAGCACGGTGTACATGAAGGGCCTGCCGTACCAGGCGACGCAGGACGACATCATCAAGTTCTTCTCCGGCTTCCGGGTAAGTCCCCGCTGAGAAATCACGCACAGCGACGTCCGAATCGGCCGCAGATCCCCACCAAAGTGCCCTGCTGCGGCCCCGCCGCGCGCCGGGCCGGCCCCGGCAGGCGCCGTGCGATCCACCCTGCGGATACCTGCATCGTCGACCCGGCACCGTCGCGGCTCTGCCGTCGCGCGCGGCGCGCTGGCCGCGACGCCAGCACCACCGTCTCGCACTCCCTCCCTTCCCGGTGGCGCGTTCCGCGCAGGTTGAGCCCGACACCCTTCTCCTCGGAAAGAACCGCCAGGGGCAGTTCTCGGGGTGCGCGTGGGTGAGCTTCGACTCCCCGGAGGAGGCAACGAGGGCCATCAACAACCTCAGTGGCAAGGCACGCAACCCTCCAACCCCCTCAGTGCTCTCAACCCCCTCACGCAAGCAGTCCCCGCGCACGCGGCCGTTCCCTCCCCGCGCCGGCCTCTCAGTCCCGTGCCCAGCCGCCCCGCCCTCGCGCGATTGTGCGTTTGTTTCGTTTGTTTGATGAATCCTCAGTCGCGTTTTCCCAACTGACAGTCCACCGGAACGTCCCCGCCGCGCCCGCAGTACCTCGGCAGCCGCTACGTCGAGATCGACCGCTCCACGGTCGCCCCCGCCCGCCTGTGGGACCCGCGGGGCCCCCCTGACTACGTCGGCGAGTCACACCCCCGGTGGCAGCAGTACGCCGACAAACACCTCGGGACGGACGGGCGCAGGGGGGACGCGCGCAGGCAGGGGCACGCGAGGGCGTGGACGCAGCAACGCTCCCCGGCGCGCCGGCGGTCCAGCGGGCACCGGCGCGACGAGACCTAGGAGGGGGAGTATACCTTCCTGACGTACGTCGGTCAGTCACGAGGCCGCGCGCGACCGGTGCAGCAGAGCGGCAGCTGAGACCCGAGAAGCGAATTGGCAGACCAAGGCGGCAGGCCAGGCTTCACATTACAATTATGCAACGGAGACCTGTGAATGATATCTGCCGTGCAACTGCGTCGCTGGGCCGGTCGGCGCGCGAGGCGCTCACGTCCCGAAGCCCATCGTGTTCCTATACTCCTCCGGGGCCTTGTTGTCCTCCGGCATCGGCTGGCTCTCGTACACCGCCTGCACCGCCTCGCGCCGCCTGCACACGTACACACACACCACAGCCCGCCGCACCGTGGTGAGCCGCGCCGCACCGCAGGGCCACGCAATGCGCGCGCGCAGCGCCACAGGGCCGTCGAGTGCACGCAGGGGGGGTGTAATAATACCGTTGCTGGAACTCCCCCTTGAGTCCGATGAAGGTGATCTGCGTCCTGTCGCCCGCGAGCGCCGCGGGGAAGTGGATGCACAGGTGGTGCACGCCCTTGAACTTGGTCAGCTGCGTGGGGTACTCGACCACCCCGCGGAGGTCCTCAATCATGTCGAACTCCTGCTGCGGGGCGATGTCGGCGGCCGAGGTGAAGTCGACGTCCTCGCGGTTGGTGATGAGGCGCATCTTCGCGGGGGACGCGCCGTCGCCGCCGCCGACGACGCAGATCGCCTTCAGCGTCACCTGCCTGCGCGGCGCGCGGGGGCGGGGGGGTGTTGCGGTGCAGGTCGTGCGGCGCGGTCGGTGGGCGGCGGGGACGCGGCGGGTGCGTACCCGTTGAAGGGGATGTGGAGGAGGAGTTCGGGGTCGTCGTCGTTGCTCTCGAGGACGTGGTCGGTGTCGCCGCGCGTGTGCCACGGCCGAAACACCCCCTTGCAAGAGCCTGCGAGGCCACCACAGCAACGCGGGTGACTCAGCATGCCACGACGTGCTCGATTTTGAGATTTCTCGCGAGGGTGTGCGCGCGCTCCCACAAGGTGGTTGACTGCAGCGAGAGAGAGGGGTGTGGTGCGTACCCGGCACGGCCTCGTTCAGGCACCGGACGTGGCCCGTGTCGATGTGCTCGTACAGAGAGTACTGCGGCCCGCAGTCCGCCTCCTCGCAGTCATGGTCGTGACAGCAGACGCCCTGCGCAGCGCGGGGGAAACGCACACGGCGATTACTCCTCGGAACGGTCCATTCATCGCGCGACCGTCCGCTCTGCGATATTTCACATGTACGTTCTACTCGGATAAGCACAGAATATGCGCGTGAAATCAATGTCGAGGCCGCGAGGGCCCTGGAAGACTCTGGATCAAGCGTTTTCGACCCAGGGCGCCTCTCAAACGATCGCACCTTGCCCTTCGGCGGCATCCTCGCCACACCCTACTCTCAACCGGCCCAGAGGGAGTCGCGACCTCGTACAGCTGGCCTCCTACGAGCCGTGAGATGCCAACGTACCAGCTATGGCTTGCCCTGCGTCCGGCGTGACGGCAAGACGCAACCGCTCTTCCCAAACCAGCAGAACGTGCTACTATGTCCCACTGCTGCAAGCAAGGACCCGCAAAGTGGCCCTGCGACGACGAAGCAACCCTCAACGGCTCCTGCCTTCTCTCCCTTGCTCAGGCCACGCCCCACACCCCCCGCCGCGACGCGCAGCTCGAAGGCCCGCGCTGCGGCGACAGCACGCCCCATCCGCGCATGCGCAAACAGCTCGTTTACTGCCTCACATGGAGAAGAGCAGGCTGGCGGCCATGTCGGCGTCGCCGTTTGCCTGCCGCAGCGCAGCCTCGCACTGCTCCCGCGAAAACCCGAGGTCCATCAGCCCGCGCAGCTTCGGGTCCTCCGCGCCCCCTGCACGCCACGGCCCGCGACGCAGCCTCTTCGCACACACACAGCGCTTCCGACAACACGCAAGACGAGAAATCATGGTTGCGCGCGAATCCTCAGGCTCCAATCCATCGGCGACCGCGGCGCACCGTTCTGCGGCGGCGCAGGCGCAGTCGGCGCCGCGCCAGCGCCGTCCGCGGGCGCCTGCTGCGCCGCCTGCGCCGCGCCCGCGCCCGCCGCTGACGGCCCCGCAGGGTCCCCGCCGGGCTGCGCCGCGCCGCCGCCCTCCGCGGCCTTCTGCTTCGCCTCAGCCGCGGCCTGCGCCTTGCGCGCGATGTCATTCTTCGGGATCTCGTGCTCGGGCAGGAAGGGGACTACGACGTCGGAGCTGCCGAAACGCAGCTCGTTCTTGGCGAGGTCGATGCAGCACTGGTGCCGCTTGAGGTTGTCGAGGCCGAGGAGGAAGTCCATCGTGTCGCCCTCGAGCACCTGCGCCGCACGATACGCGCCCACGATGAGAGCCTGAATCATATGTCCAGTTGCGCAGAAGCGACCCTATCTGCCGGCAGCAACGGCACGCATCCCTACGCACGCGCAACGAGCTGCCGCGCGCCACCGCCACGCACGCGCAAAACGCAAAATACACCCCCGGGGTGTTTTGCAACAGGCCCCCGCACCCTGAATCCACCATCGACCCAGCCGTGCACTGGCAGCGAGCGAGCTGGCGGGCGGCGGGGCGCGTACCGAGCACGCGATGACGATCGTGGTGTTGCCGACCTTCATCGGCAGCTGGTGGATGCGCCCGATGATCTTCGACGTCCCGACGCCCAGCGCTGTGCCCTGGAAGCGGTCGTCGACCAGGCGCAGAACGTTGCACTTCTCCGCGAACCGCTCCGACATGATCGTGCCCTGCGCCCCCTGCACACACGCACGCACACACACGCCCCGCGCACAGTCACCGAACCACGCAGCGTCACTCCTCTACCACTCATACCGTAGTATTAAAAAAAACGAAGACAATAAAAAACGAACGAGAATTCTTCGACAACAACAGCGGCCTCGCGGGCGCCTTGCGGGTCGGAGACCGCCGCCACCGTCCCGGGCGCGCACAGCTCGCGGCCTCTCCCAGAGTCATCGCCGGCCTGCGGTGCCGCGGCGGTGGCGTGCGAGGTGGCCGCGGGGCCCGCGCACCGAGTCGACGAAGGCCTTGATCGGCGTCCCGTTGAGCTCCGCGTTGATGTACAGCATCGTCACCTCCCCGAACAGCTCCGGGTAGTATTCCTGCGAGTGCGCGAGCTGCTCGTCGACGGCCTTGCGGCGGATGTGCTGCTCGATGCGCGCCTGGATCTCCGGGTCCATGAGCTGCTCGTCCGTGAGGTCCGCGAACGGATCGGGCTCGGCGGGCGGCCCGCGGCCGGCGCCGGGGAGACCCCCGCCCTGCGCGGCCTGCATGAGGGCCGCGAGGGCGCTCTGGTCGCCGCGCTGGAGGGCCTCGGCGAGCCGCGGGTTCGCGCGGAGGAGTTCCTGCACGGGGGCGGACGTGAGCGTGCGCGTCGCGTCGGGGCTCGGGAACACGAATCATCGGGAGACTCGAAATCATATTTGCGCGTGTGCCGGTTCGTGGTAAGGGCATGGACGCGGCGCGCCTGGATCTGCGGGATGTTCTGGAGCTCCCGGAGGAACGCCTGCATCATGACGGGGTCCATCGGCGGTTGCCGCTGCGCCTGCTGCCCTTGCGGTGCGCCCTGCTGCTGTGCGCGCGGTGGCGGGGCGGGGACCATCATGACGAGGTCGCCGTCGCCGACGCCGGCGGAGGACAGCGTTGCGGAGTCGTTCTGCGGGGGCGGGGCGCGGCGGCGAGGCGCGCGTTGAGACATGGACAAGGAAGGTTGCAGCGATCGAGAATGCTCGATTGAAAGCTCCAGGCGCCGTGGTCGATACGTGGAACGTCGTGGAACTGCCCAGTTGGCGGCTGTGTAGTTCGAAACGCGCGCGTGGGGCGGGGGCGGCGGCGTGGTAGACGAGAAGGTGGAAGGCCACACACGTTGAGGCGGTTGCCGTTGAACACGAGGGCCTGGCGCTCCGGCTGGACGCCCGACTCGGCGTGGATCATGCCCTTCAGCACCTCCACGGTCGTGTCCGCCGCCACCTGCGCCGCACAGGAGGGAACCGACCGCCTGCTGGGCTGCGCTAGTCACCTCGCGTGGTTCGACGCCAATTGACGGCAAGAGACGATCGAACGCGCCGAGGAAACTCCAGCATTGGATAGCTCGCGTAGCCTTGGGCCGAGGGCGACCACGCGGGCCGCGAACGCGCAGTCCGGGCGGCGCGTGCGCGCCCCCAGGGCTTGGCGGGCAGCCTCGGTCAGCACGCGGGCGCGTCACGCGCGCCCCGGCGTCGGGCCCGCGCACCTCGAGCGTGTAGACGTTGTCATCGCTCGTCGCGACAGTTACGTGCATCGCTGCGGATCCCGGCGCGCCCAGGCACCGCGGAGCGACCCTCGGGCCACCTGCACTCACGCAGGTCCCTTCAGCGGCGCTGCTGAGCCCCCCGCGACCGCTCGAACCGCACCCTGCGGCACAGCGCTGCTCTCCACGCGCGTTCTAGCCGGGCGGCGCGGCGTTCTGCCCCCGCGAGCGCCCGTCGCAGCCACAAGGCGACCCGGACGGTTGGCAGGCTCCGGAGGACACGGCCGGTATAACAGTATGACAGCCGACGCGGTCGCACCGCAGCGACGGCGCGCCCCGTCCCCGCCATCACGGCCACCGCTGCGCCGCGAGCACGGAGGCCCGCGACGCGCCCCGCAGCAACGATCGAGGCCACACACAGGCGGGTGCAGTATGGCGGACTGCGCCGAGGGGCGTCTGACGTGGCTGCGCGGTCGGTTCACACGCCGTGCGTGCGCTGCACGCCCCCGCGTTCGTTCTGGGTTCATACCGTGACGGTGTAGGACACGTAGGGGTGTGCGTCGTCGGTGGTCAGGAGACCGTTCTTGGCGTCGTCGGGCCCCGCGGCCCAGAGGGCGGCGTCGCCGCGCGAGAACGTCGTGGACAGGACGCCGCGGAGCTTCGACTCGGTGCGCGGCTTCGGCTTCATCACCGCGGCCTGCGCGCCACAAGAAGGGAACGCAAGACTCTCAGCGCACCCGACACCCTCGACAACCGGGCGCGTCGCGCAGCGACCCGCGCGCGGCCGCAGTGGTTCGGGCTCGCCGTGGAAGCCCAAGCTGCGCCCACAGCGCGACGTCTCCGCCCACTGGCAGCACCCGCGCCTGTGCCAGCAGTGCAGTGCAGCTAAGCGCGCACCTGGAACGAGGGCGGGAGGCCGTAGCGAAGGATGCTCTCGACGAAGACGCGCACGACGAGCGCGTGCACGAAGCCCTGGAACGCCTCGCTGAACGCGGTGCGCAGCCAGGCCTCGAGGTCGTGTCGCACGGCATCGCAGCGCTCGAGGAGCTCGTCGTCGTTGCCGCCGTCGCCGTCCTCGTCGCCGTCCTCGAAGAGGCCCTTCGTCTCACGGACCTGCGGCGGGCGGCGGCGCGCGCGGGCGCGGTGGGCGCTGGCTGGCAGGGCGCAGTGCAGCGCAGCTGGCGGCGGTTGGCGGCGGTTGGGCGGGGGCGTGCCTGGACGCCTGCTTGCCGCGCGAGCCGCTTGTAGTCGTCGGCGACGCGCTTGAAGACGATGACGGTGTACAGGCAGTACTCGTTGTCCGAGGTGATCATCTTGGCCGAGCGCGGGACCACGAACTCGGTGAGCGTCTCGTAGCGCCTGAGGAACTCGTTCACGCCGAACTTGGGCACGCACAGGACGACGGTCGCGAGGTTCTCCGACGCGATGAGGTCCGACGGCTCCAGCAGCGTCGAGAGGTCCCGCACCGCCAGCGAGCCCTGCGACTTGCGCGCCACGGCCTGCATCTGCGACTTCAGGATGTTGTACTCCGACATCCGGACCTTCATCTCCTCCTCGACCTGCAACGCCGCAAGATCTCGCGCGAGGGCCGCGCTCAGCCGCGCCGCGCGGCGCTGGGCACGCAGCACCAACTCGCTCGCAGCGCGGGGCGCGGCGCGCGGGGCGACGCGCCTTGGACACGTCCTCGACGATCTTCTCGACCAGCTCCTTCAGCGGCCGCCGCGGGGGGTACTTCGCCTCGTTCCACTCGAACCGCGTCAGGTAGCTGTCCACGGGGAGGCCCGCCACCATCACGGCCTGGTCGTCCGGGGGCAGGATCTCCTGCAGGGCGCGGCGCAGCTTCATGACCGTGCCCTCGAGGTGCGCGTTCAGCTTCGCCATGTCGTCGCTCAGCGTCAGGAGCGAGTCGAGCGTTCCGCAGCGCAGCTCCGGCATCTCTAGCCGGAAGTTCATCGAGTAGTCCTGCGGAACGACCGCACGCAGGCTCGTGTCACGTCCGTGGCGCGGCGAGACGGCGCCCCGGCGCGGCGGGGCAGGACGGGGGAGCTCGCGCCTGCACGAGAGCAGCGCTCGGCCGCGCGCCACAGGGCGTGCGAGGTCTGGGAGGCACGGGATGTGGACGGGGGATGGGTTGAGGCGGCGCTGGGGCGACGCACCGCTTCGTAGGTCGTCTTCTGGTTGAGCAGGTTCCAGGTGTTGTCCTTGCTCTGCACCAGCGGCATGCTGACGATCCAGTACGGCGCCTCCGCCATCCCTGCTCGCTTCTCCTATGCGTGTCTGTCAGAACCAAGCCAACTGCAGCCCCGCAGACCGCTCCTCCGCGCTGCACGACCGCCCCAGGCCGTGCAGGGGCTTCCACGGGCCCCCGTGTCCGCTGACAGGCGCGCTTCGCGGCGCTTCGAGGGCTCCCACGGCCCCTGTCGACCTAGCACGACGCGGATCGATCGCGCTCGCACGCAGCCGGCGCCCGCCGTCGTCCCCACGGGCCGAAAAGCCTCTGTTGCTGGGTGTTTCGCCCTGTGCCAAGCGGACTGAGCAGTCTAGACGCGTCACGGGGGGCTTCTCGCGTGCGCTGGGGCCTCTCCTCGCGCGTGCGCCGCCGGAGCGGCCAAGTGCCCCGCGCGAGGCGACGCCGCGACACATCCCCAGAGTCGGTCGGTCATCGCACGCCCCGTGTGAGCAGCGGGGGCCTTCGACACGGCCCCGGCTGCGACGTGAAGCTCACACAGATCACGAAGAGGGCATCCGGGTCTGTCGATCGCGAAATTCACGGCATCGACACGTCGGCGGGGGCACCTCCCTCAGCGGCACTCTGCCAGCGCTCGCAGCTCGCCGCTGGACCCACGCGAATCAAACACCCCGCTAAGAGAACCTCCCAGACTGACACACCCTCGAACCGGAGTCGCACCGCGGCGTACTCCCCCACCGACGTCAGCAATGGGTCCCCAAGCGACCCCGGGCACCTGCGCGCTGCGCGGCGCGGCGCCGGCGCCGCGTCAGTCACAACCGCTCGCCGCGCGCCCCCCTCGCTCCAGCCACGCCGTCCGCGCCCGCAGCGCCTCGTCGAACGGCGCCTCGTCCAACGGCGCGCCCCCCGCCCCTGCTCCCGCGCCCCCGCCACAGACGGGCCCCGCGGCCGCGGCGCGCCCGGCGCGCGGCTCGAAGAGCCCCTCGGCCCTCAAGATCGACTTCACGCCGACCAACGACACGCTCCCGAGCCTCGTCGCGCCGATCAAGAGCCCGCGCCCCTGCCGCCCCTCGCGCGGGCTGCTCGTGTTTCTGCCGGGCATGGACGGCACGGGCCTGGGCGTGACGCCGCAACTCGCGCCGCTCCAGGCCGCGGGCTACGAAGTGCGCACGCTGTACCTCCCCATCCGGTGCGTTCCCGCCTCGCCGCCGCCGCGGCGCACGCCGCGCCCGCGCCTCCGTCGTCGACGCGTGGGGGTTTGCATGGACGTCGCGTGCGCGTTGCGTGGCCGATCGGTGCAGGGATAGGTCGAGCTGGGAGCAGCTGACGCAGCAGGTGCTGTGGCTGTGCGAGGAGGAGCTCCGGCGGTTCAACCGCGACGCGGGGGCCCTGGGGGCGCCGTCGGACGGCGGGCTGACGCTCGTGGGGGAGTCGTTCGGCGGGGCGCTGGCGCTGCGCGTGGCGAGCCGGGCGCGCGAGGGCCTCCTGCGCCAGATGGTCCTGATCAACCCGGGCTCGAGCTTCCCGGATTCGCTCGGAGGGTTGAGCAGCGCCATCGCGGCAACCAACCTGCTGCGGCTGTTCCCGGGGCGGCTGTTCGCGGTCGCGCAGGCCGTGCTGCTGCCGCTGCTCGTGGACCGCACGCGCGTCAGGTGCGCCTCGCGCGACCGACTCGTCCGCACCGCACGCGCCTTAAAAAAAAACGGGAGGCCCCTCACATAATTATAATTATAATGTTGATAATGATTCCTCCGCCTTGCAGGCCCGGCGTCGACCACGCGGTGAAGGCCATGATGGAGATGAACGTCGGCGCGGGCTCCGAGGTCGGCACCGACGCCGCGCGCAGCCTCCAGAGCGGCGTGCGCAACCTCGCCGACTCCCTCGAAGCCTCCCTCCTCGACTCCGTCGACGACCTGTCCGCGGACTTTGACTTCGCGCGCGACTCCGCGGTCCCCGGCGGCCGCGTCGCGCGCGAGCCGGACGACCCCTCGACCCCCCCCTGGAGCTCGCGCCGCCCGTCGACGCGGACCTCGGTCCCCTGGGGGTGTTCGGGGGGGAGTACCTTCCCGCGGGAGCCGCCTCGCACCGCCTGAGCCTCCTCCGCGAGGGCGTCTCCGACGACGAGCTCGCGCGTGTGTCCGTCAGGACCTTCGTCATTGCGTCGGCGAAGGACAAGCTGCTGCCGTCCACGGCGGAGGCGGCGCGGCTGGTGTCGACGATGCCGCGCGCGCGCCGCGTGATCCTGCCGGACGCCTCGCACTCGGCGCTGCTCGAGCGAGGCGTGGATCTGGTGCAGATCCTGCGCCACAACGCCGTGCTGCCGGCGCGCCACGGACGGCAGGCCGATCAGGACGGGGGGCACGCGGGGGGCGCGCGGGGCGCGGAGGAGGACGCGTGGGACGAGGGGAGCCGGTGCGCGCCGACCTCCTCGCGTGCGCGGCCGTTGCTGGTGTGTCGATGGTCGATTGATTGTTTGTTCGTGTCTTCCGTTGGCTGGTTTTGACTGTGTTCGATTCGGATTTCGTTTTCCGGGCGCAGGAGCGACGGCGTGGGGCCGACGGGCGTGCCGCGTGCGACGATGGAGCAGTGGGAGGCGGCGCGGCGCAACCTCGCCCCGCTGCGCGCCCTCACCGACCCGGTCATGCTGGGCACCGAGAACATCCCCCTGCCCGGCGGACCGCGCGAGCAGCTGCAGCGGCCCGTGCTCCTCGTAGGCAACCACACGCAGTACGGTGCGCGAGCGACGACGACGCGATCCCCGCGCGCCCCACACGTCATGTTCACTCCACCCCCCAAAAAAACAACATATTAACCCCCTTTGCAGGATTCTACGACCTGCCCCTTCTCCTGCAGCTGCTGTACGACAGGGGCGTCAAGGCGCGCGGGCTCGGGCACCCGGGGCACTGGCAGAGCCCCCTCGGAACCCTATTCGAGCGCTTCGGCGCCGTGCCGGCCAACGGACGCAACATGCTCAAGGTACGACCCGCATCCGTCGGGCCGGCGTCGCCCGGCCTCCCTCCGGTCCCCAAGCCGCCTTTGATTCTTCTCTCGCGATCCGCTCGCCCGCGCCCACCCCTCGCTCCTCCATCCGCGCCGCAGCTCCTCTCCCGCAACGAGTGCGTCCTGCTCTTCCCCGGCGGCGCGCGCGAGGTCAACAAGCGCAAGGGCGAAGCCTACCGGCTCTTCTGGAGCGACACGCCCGACCTCGTGCGCATCGCGGCGCGCGCGAACGCCATCATCGTGCCCTTCACGGCCCTCGGCGGCGACGACGCCTTCGAGCTCTTCATGGACACCGACGAGGTCCTCAACGTACGCACGCACGAAGTCCTCGACACGCGCTCGTACGCGCACCGCGCCGCTGCCTCCCGCTCACACGTCTTTCGTCGTTCCGGTTGCGTGCCCGCAGGCGCCCGTGCTCGGCCCGGCCGTCAAGACCCTGTACTCGACGTTCGCGCCGTTCCTCGAGATCGAGGAGTCGGTGTACCCCGTCCCCGCGCTGCCGCTCCCCAAGTGGCTCCCGGGCCCGCGCCTGCCCTTCCCGCTGCCCGTCCCGCGCATCCAGCGCATCTACTTCAAGTTCCACGCCCCAGTGGACGTCGGGGCGCGCTGCTGCGCCCCGCGGGCGCCGGGCCGCGGGCGCGCGCGGCCGGACGTCGAGAAGTGCGCGGAGGTGTACGCGGAGGTCCAGGACACCATCCGCGGGGGGGTGAGCGAGCTGCAGGAGCTGCGCGCGCGCGACCCGGGCCGCTTCCTGTCCGTCCGGCTGCTCGCGCAGGCGCGGGCGTACCTGCCGGACGCGGGGCTCCCGGACGGCCGCGCGGACCCTCGGCGGCAAGTTTGAGGGCGGCCCGGCACTGTTTTTTCCGCGCACCGCACGCGCCGGCGCCGCGCTGCGTTCCGTCGCGCAGGGCCCGTGTGAGGACGCAGCTCGAGGCCGCAGCAGCTCGAGGCCGCCGCAGCTCGAGGCCGCAGCAGCTCGAGGCCGCAGCAGCTCGAGGCCGCAGCAGCTCTCGCGTCATCATCAACACAACGGTTCACAGCGCGCGCTAGTCCGCAGCGGCGGCCACCTGGTCCAGCATCGCGCGCGCCGACCGCTTCGAGTGCACGCTCCGCAGTTCCGGGTTCTGTCGCAGGAACTCCTCCGTCTCCTCGTCCCGGCCGGCCGTGTCCATCTTGCCCGCGTCGTCGCCGGCCTTGGTCGACGCGTCCCACTTGGGCCCCTGCGTCCGCGCCTCCGACGCCTCCTCGATTTCTCTCCGCCTCTCGCGCGCCGCGGCGTCCCGCGCGGCGCTCGCCTCGGTCCCCGCCGCGATGCTGCCCCCCCCCAGAGCCGACCCGCCCGCGACCGACCCGGCCGGCTTCGGGCCGCGCCGCGCGGCCTCCTGCGCCCGCATCATCGCGACCTGGTTCATCGCGCGCACGAAGTTGCGCCGGAAGCGCTTGTCGTCGATCGGCTTCCCGTCCGCGCCCTCGTTGCTCGGCAGCCCCGCCTCCCTGTCCTCCTTGTCGAGCACCTGCAAACGCACGCCGCCCCGCACGCGTCATCGCAATTAATACCAGCCGCCGCGCACCGCCCGCGGGCAGATCCGCGCCGGACGACGCCGCAAGACAAAACCCGAGAAGAAAAAACAAGCTCGCGGAGTCGCGCCGCGGGAAGACGCCCCGGGACGGCTCCGGCGGGCGCGGACCTCCAGGGCGCGGCGCAGGTCCTCCTCGTCCGCGTCGCTCAGGTACGCGTCGATGTCGAGCTGCTCCGCGAACCGCACGAGCTCGTCCGCCTCCGCCTCCTCCTTGGCCTCGACCTCGGCCTCCGTCATCGCCCACTGCGGCTTCTGCTTGCCCTTCGGGAGCGGCGGGAGCGCGGCCGGCTTCGCCGGCGACGCGGCCGCGGCGGCGCCCTGCGGCGGTGGTGGCGGTGGGCCCGCAGCTGGGCTCTCCGGGGCCGCCGCGGGCGCAGCTTCGGCGTCCTGGGGCGCGGCCTGCTCCGGGGCGGGCGCCGCGGGCGCCGCGGGCGCGGGCGCGGGGTCGCTGGGCGGCACCAGGGGCGGCGGCGGCGGCGCCGCGGCCAGCGCGCCGCCGACGAGCTCGTCCATCATGCGGTCGAGGTCCGCGAGGTCGACGTCCGGCTCGGGCTGCTTCGGCTGCGGCTTCGGGGGCTCTGCGGGCGCCGGGCGGGGCGGGGCGGGCGCGTGTGGTGTGTGTGTGCGTCGTCGCTGAGAGCTGCGTCGTTTCCGGGCCCGGGCGTCCCGCGGCGGGGCGCGCGCGCACCTTCGGCCTGCGACTGAGGCTTCGCGTCGGTCCGCGGGGGCTCGACGGCCGCGGGGGCGGCGTTCGTGGACGCCACGGAGGGCGGTGCGGTGGCGAGGATCGTCCTGTGGAGGATCGTGGACGCCTCCCGCAGCTCCTGCTGCTCGAGGTCCTTCAGGTCCTTCTCGAGCTCCGCCTGCGCTCGGCTCGGCCGCGGGCGCGCCCGCGTGGGCCGTGGGCTGCCGCTGCAGTGCGCGCGGGGCGATGTCGGGCGCGCGCGCGGCCGCGGGCGCCGCACCTTGGTCTTCTCCATCTTCTGGGACGCGCCGTACTGCTTGAGCCACTGCCGGTGCCGCAGGTTGGCCGTGTTGGTGTCCTTTTGCCGCGGCGGGAGGAGCCTTTGCGGCGGGCGCATGCCCAGCGGGTCCCGCCCGACGTTCGTGGGCCGGAACGGGATGACGCCGACGGGCTTCTTCGGGGCGTCCGAGGGCCGCTCGCAGAGCATGACGCCCTGCGCGGCGGAGCGGGCAGGGCCGAGGGCTCGGCGGAAGGCGCACCGGGCGCGCGCGGGGCACAACAACGCGGAAGGCGCGCGAACGCGGAGCGATGGTGCGCCGGATGGCACGCCGGGGGCGTCCCCTGGAGGTTGTCGTGCGCGCGGGCGCGCGGCGCGCGCGCGGGACGCGGGGGCGTGCGCGCGGGGGGGAGCACGGCATGCAGGTGCGGGGGGCGACGCGCTGGCGCGCGTGGGCGCACCTTCGCGGACTCGAAGTCGGTCATTTCCGCGGCAAGAATGTCTAGGAAGCGGCGAGCACCGCGGACTCGGGACGCCAGCGCCAGGCGAGCAGGCAGCGACCGCACAGAGGCCGATGCTGGGTGCTGTGCACCACCTCCCGCGCACGCAGCTACAGCTACGTTCACGCACTTCTCCAGCGAACCGCCGCACGCGGAACTCGCGCCGCAGCGGCGCCCCGCGGAGCCCATGACCAGACCCGTCCGACGGCCGCTCAGCAGTGCTGGCAGACGACCCCACAGGACTGTTTTTCCACCTCTAGCTGTCTCTCTCTCGACGGGGGCGAACCGGCGAGATTCGACCGGACGCGACTGGACGAGCCAGCTCCCACCCGCCGACGCCTCCCGCGCTGCCGCCCCGCGCCTCCGGCACGAAGCACGACCCACCATCATCCCGTCACTTCTCATGATCAGGATAACGATCATACCCGTCGAAAGACACCGCCCTATACGTGCGTGCTCCTGTGCGCGCGCCCCGAACCCGGCGCCTTCCCGCAGTCCCGCCGCGTGCGCGCTCCGAGGAGCCATACAACAACAACAGAGAGGCTGCCACTGCTGCTTGAAACGACGACGACGACGGGCCGCGGAGCTCGCGGCCCGCTCCCAGCGCGCACGCGACAGACGCCGCTTCGGTGTCACACCGGCGCAGCCGACGGCCGCCCGCCCGCCGCGGCGGTGCGGTTCCGTCGCGGTGAGAGGTGGCTACCAGAGGAAGCGGATGGGCGCCCAGGGCACGAACTTCATGGGCAGCATGATGTAGCACGCGAGGGCGACGGGGGAGAGCCACGGGCGGTCGGAGATGATCCAGGAGCAGTAGCAGGGGAAGAGGACGGCGAAGAGGATGGAGGGGGGGGTCGCCATCTGGTACAGCACCGTGGCGCCGAAGAACCACGCGCCGATGACGACCTGGCGCCACCACTCCCACTCGCGGCGCATCCGTCGCCGCCAGTGCCACTCGCGCTTGGTCTCGTACGCGCAGAAGCGCTGGTACCTGCGCGCGGGGCGCGGGGGACGGCGGGCTCGGGCGGCGCGGGGGACGGGGGATGTGGGTCTGGAGGGAGCTGCTGGGCGGGGTGTGGCGCGCGCTGGCGCGGGGGGCGCGGGGGGGCGCGGTGCGCGTCGTCGTGCTGTGCCGTCGTCGGCCCGCGCACCTCCGGAGCTCCTCGCGGTACCACGCGCGCGTCTTGGCCGCGAAGCGCAGGGCCGGCTCGCGGACGGGCGCGGTGGCGGCGAGGAACGCCGCCCACGCCGCCAGCGCTGCCGCCGCGGGCGGCGAGGCCACCACCCGCCGCACGAGCCGCTCCCGCGCGTCCTCCGTCCGGCGCAGCATCGCCTTGAACCGCTGCTGTGGCGTCAGCACCAGGAACTCCGACCCCGCGCTCCGCTTCGCGGCCCCCTTCGCCTTGGCTCCCGCGCTCTTCCCCCGGCCTGCCGCCCCGTCCCCGCCTCCCGCCGCGTCCGCGCCTCCCCCCTGGTTGTTCGTCCGCACTTCCATCCTCCGCGCCGGCGCCCGCCCGCCCAGCAGCCCGCAGCACGCGCCGGGCCCCGCGGTGCACCCTGCGCGGATATCGCACCCCGTGGTGGCGCGCACGTGAGGTCTCGCGTCCCGCACGCCCGCGTGATGGCGCGCTCGGAACTCGTGCCAGCCGCGGGGCGTCGCGCGCGGGGGAATGCGCGCCGGGGAAGGGCGCGGGCGCGGCGTCGCACGCCGCGGCAGCGCTGGAGCCGTCGCCGCGCCGCGCGCGCGTCTCGGCCGGGGGGCTCACCTGTCGGGGACGGCGGACCGCGTCTCAGCGGACACGCCGAGCCGCCGCGCGCGGGCTGGGAGCGCCCCGGGACGGCGCCGCGCACCGTCAGAGGCCGCCCGGGCGGTCGCTGGGCGTGTGCGCCGCGCATGGTCGCTGTTCCGCGCGCCGCGCGTCGTCACGGAGTGCGGCTGGGCGTGCGGGCGCGGCCCGGACGGCGCCCGCGCCGCCTCCGTGCGCCTGACGCGCGCGCGAGGCCTGGTCCGACGGGTGGGTGGTCGTCCGTCGCCGGGCGACCGCCCGGAGGGGGCGCGGCGGCGGCCGCGCGCGGCACTCCGCAGACCGTTCGCGTGGACTCGCCGAATTACGCGAACCGCGAGCGACTCCCGCCCCTTCGCCGCGCGTGTAGGCCGCAGCCAGCGGGTCGAGGGACAACGGCCTGGTCGGCGCGTCCCCGCGGCCGTCCCGCGCTCCGGCGCCGCCGCAGCTCGCCCTCGCTCCTCTCGGCCTTTCCTTTCCGCGAGGATGCCGTCGTCCGCGTTCCTCCCGCGCCCCACGTCCACGCTCGGGGGGCAGGGGAGGCACCCCGCGCACGCGGGGCGCCGCTCGCGGTCCAGCCTCGACAGCCTCGCCCCCCACGCGCACCACCACGCCTCGCCCGCCACGCACCACGGCCTCGCGGCGCACCACGGCGCCCCCGTCCCCGGGCGCTCCTCGGCGCACACCACCCAGGGCCGCTCCCCCTCCGCCGGCCGCGCGCTCGGCAACTTCTCCGCGCACCAGAGGGACCAGAGCGTCCCTGCGGCCGCCGGCGCGGCGCCCGTGCTCGAGGACTGGCACGTCATGTGGCCGGAGAGCCTCGTAAAGGGCGTTAGGTCAGTCATGGGCAGCGTCGACGAGGAGCCCGTCGGGACCGCCGAGGAGGTGCGCGACGCGCATGCGCGGCCCCCCGTGCTGCACAGCGGCGCCGCCGCGTCGGATCGGCCCCGCGCCGCGCGGGTGTCCGCGTGCCCCCCTGGCCCGCGCTGCGCGTCCCCTGGCTCCGCCCCCAGCGCCGCGGCGCCCGCCTCCCGCGCCCTCGCAGGCCCCGTCGTGCCCCTATTTCGGGCCCATCGACCAGCTCAGCAAGCGGGACATGGAGTCGCTGTACCTCAAGGCCCGCGACGCCTACCAGGATGGCACCAGCATCATCGGGGACGGCACGTACGACGACCTCGAGCTCCGCCTCCGCCAGCTCAAGTCGCCGGTCGTGCGCAAGTACCCGCGGTGCAGCCTGCGGCGCAACCGCCCGATGTACAGCGACTGCGACGTCGACCAGGTCCAGGGCGTGGCGATGTGGGCCGTGTGGGGCGCGGTCATGGCCTTTGGGCTCACCGTCGCGCTCGGGCCGCTCGCGTTCGCGGCCACGACGTACCTCGGCCTCGGCGCCGACGTCGCCGACACCCTCGAGCCGGCGCTCCACTCGGGGCTCGACCGCGCGCTCCTGGGCGCCTCGTCGATGCTGGGCGTGGCCGTGGGGATGCCCATCGTGGGCACCGCGCGCAGCTACATGCAGAAGCTGCGCGACGGCAGCACGTTCGCGGTCTCGGGGCACTGCCCGAGCTGCGGCGAGGAGGTGTACGGCTTCGTCGAGGCGCCGAAGCCCTCCAACGCCGAGCGCGCGGCGGCGTCGGCGATGGCGCGCGCGGCGCGCGTGGGCGCGCGCGGGGAGGACGACAGGGTCTTCGTGCGCGAGCAGTGCGAGTGCCACGTGTGCTCGCACCCGCTCGAGCTGCGCGTGTTCATCATGGACCGCACCGAGGGGCTGGACGCGCGGCGGCGCGGGCCGCACCACAAGTGGGCGTACGGGCGCATCTACGCGCGCACGCGCGCGTCGGACCTCGCGCCGCGGCCCGTCGAGTCGCGCAAGTGAGGGAGGAATGTCTCTCTCCCCTGTCGCTCCCAACACCCCCCTCCCCCTCGCCCTGCGCGCCGGCCTCGCGACGCGCGTCGCGCAGGCCGGCCCCGCTCGCAACCCGCAACGCACGTGTACGTCCCACACACACACACACACACACGATACACATGACAGCCACTCCGCAGCAACCCCCTTTTTGGCGCACATGCATTCACGTTCCCCCCGGGACGCAATTTTCCGGCCGGCGGTCGGACGACGCATCGAGCCTGGTCCGCCGGCACTGTGACTCCGCCGTCTGACTCGAATTCGCAACTCAACTAACTTAACTCGCCCCGCGGATCTCGTCCGCGGTCTGCCCCGGGTAGGCCATCCCGCCGCCCGGCAGCCGTCCGAGCGAGCCGCCGGGCGTGTCCGGGACGTCCCACGCCGCCTTGTCGTCGCCCGCGCGGTGCCCCAGCTCGGCGAGGCGCTCGGGCGCGGGGTCGCGGTAGGTGCCCGTGGCGCGGTCGTACACGAGGACGCTCTCGCCGATGGTCCCGGCCATCTTGTTGCGGACCTTGCGGATCAGGATGCTCACTTCGCGCTTCTTCACGGGGTCCTGCGTGTCGCGGTTGCGGTGCACGATGACGCCGTTGTCGGCCTTGTTGATGAAGTGCGCGCTCCCGGAGATGTCGTAGAGCGTCGGCGCCGCGCCGTGCCAGTCGCGGAGCTGCCGCGGGTGCGCGACGAACCACACGTGCACGTCGTAGTACTGCGCGAACCGCTTCACCTTGGTCAGCATCTGGCTCACGTACTCCGTCTCCGTCTGCCCCGGCGGGCGCCTGCGAGAGAGCACGATGGTGCGTCGGACGTCGCGCGTCATGCGTGCGGACCGTCGTTCGCGTCGTATGGCGACGACAAGGACGCAAAGGAGCGCACCTGTGGTCGAGCTCGTTGTAGGGGTCGATCACGAGGCCGCGGATGCCGTAGCGCAGCACGGCGCTCTTCGCGCGCTCGAGCACCCAGTCGACGCTCGGGAGCGCGTCGTTCTCGCTCCGGATGAGGAAGAAGTGGTCGTCGATGAACTGCAGCGCCCACGCCAGCTCCTCGGCGTCCATCCGCGGCTGCGACGACCACGCGTGGTCGAAGAACGGCTTCCGCACGAGCTTCTCCGCCAGCTGCCGCCCGTGGTCCCGCGCCTTCTTCTCCATCGAGCACATCGCGAACGTCCAGCCGTGCCGCAGCGCCAGGTTGACGCACAGCGCGTCGATCCAGTCCGACTTGCCCGAGTTGGGCACGCCCGACACGATCGTCAGCTCCCCGGGCACGACGCGGTACAGGTCGTCCAGCGCGGCCCACCCCGTGGACGCCCCCGTCGGGCCCAGCCCGCCGTCGGACTCGAACGCCGTCCAGATCTCGTACGCGAACTCGCCGAAGGTGAAGAGGCCGCGGATCGGGAGCGGCTGCGCGGCCTCGACGCACGCGCGCAGGACGGCCGCGCCGTCGCGCAGGAGGACGTCGTTGGCGTCTTTGCGCGGGCCGGCGTCGCGCGACAGCAGCGCGGCGTGCGCGGCCTCCGCGGCGTCCGCGGCGGCCGCGAGGGCGGGGTCCGGCGGGTCCGCGGCGTCCGCGAGAGCGCGGGCGTCGCGCGCGCGCGCGCCAGCGCGGCCTGCGCGGCGGCCGAGTCCGGCAGGGGGCCCGCGGCGGGCCACTCGACGGCGTAGCAGCGCTCCTTGCCCAGGCGGCGGCCGAGCTCCTCGGCGAGCGCCTGGCCCGGGCCGTCGCCGTCGGTGGCGAGGACGATCGAGGTGACGTCGTCGAGGGCCTCGCGGGAGTTCCAGAGGTAGGAGAACTTGCGGTCGGCCGCGGGGTCGGCCGGGGGGGTGTCGCCGGGCTTGACCTTGGCCGGCGCGCCGTCAGGCACCGACACGACGTTCGTGAACCCGGCCACCTCGAGCGCGAGCTTGTCCATCTCCCCCTCGACCACGACCACGCAGGACTCCCCCCGGATGTCGTCCAGCCCCCACAGCACCTTCTCGGCGTCCTTGACCTGCCGGAAGCGCTTGTCGATCGAGCGGAGCTTGGCGTTCACGAGCTTGCCGTCGCGGTAGTACGGGAACACCGCGGGCCGCGTCCGCGGCGCCTCGGGGGGGTCCCCGGGCATGCGCGTGCCGCGCCCGTCGGGGCCCACCTCCATCTGCACGCGGTTGCGCGCGAGGACGTCGCGCGGGATGCCGCGGGCCGCGAACCACGCGATCCACTCGTCGTCCAGCGGCGCGAGGTGCAGCCGCGGGACCTGGTACCGCGGCTTGCCCGGGGCGGCGGGCGGCGCGGCGCGGGGGTGGTCGCCCCCCGTGCCGAGGAGGTGGTGGTCGCCCACGCGGAGGGCCTCGCGGTGCCGCGGCCGCACGCTCACCACGCCCTTGAACTCCTCCCCGCCCCCGCCCTCCTCCGCGCACTTGGCGCGGTGGCAGAAGTACACCGCCGACAGGCCGTCGTCCTCGATCCGGACCGCGCACGACGGCTCGCGGCCCGAGCCCCCGCCGCACTGCGGGCACACGCACCGCTGCTCCCCGGGCGCGTACGAGCTCAGGAAGAACCCCGCGGCCTCGAGCGCCGACTGCAGCGAGCGCGCGGGCGGCGCGTCCAGCAGCCCCGCGGCCCGCGGCCCGTTCCACGACGACGACGACGACGACGCGGCCGTGTCCGCGGCCGTGTCCGTGTCGGCGGCCGTGTCGGCGGCCCGCGCGGCCGTCGGCGGGACGGCGGGGCGCGCGGTGAGCACGCAGTCGTGGAGGCGGGGGGCGTCGCGCGCGAACCGCGCCACGAGCGCCGCGGCGGCGTCGGGCGACCCCGCGGTGACGATGGCGTAGCCCTGGTTGAGCTGGTGCGCGGGGGAGCCGCGCTTCGGGCGCGGAACGAGGACCTCGGCGCCGCCCGCGGCCGCGCCCCACGCCGCGAGGAGGTCCTGCGGGAGTTGTCGTTCGAGGGCGTCGGCGTCGTTGTTGTTGTTGTTTTTGTTGTGAGCTAGCGAGATGGCACGACAAGCGTGTGCGTGTGCGTGTGCGTGTGCGTGTGCGTGTGCGTGGCGGCGCACCTCGAGGCCGCGGCGGACCGCGTCGAGCGGCATGGACGTGTCCAGCTGCGAGACGTACAGCTGGCGCGGCCGATGGTTGCCATCGCCGCCCGCCGGCGGCTCGCGTCGGGGCAGGTACGTCTCCGGGACGCTCGGGGGCGTGACGGACGGCACGGCGGGTTTCGGCGCGTGCCGCGGCTGCTGCGGACGCTCGTCCCGCCGCCCGGGGGAGGTGCCGCCCCGCGCGGCCGCCGCGCGACGGGGAGCGCCCGCGCGGCGCCGGCGACCCCACTCCGGCGGGACGAACGCGGCCTCGCCGCCCGGGCCCGCGGCGAACGCCGGGGCAGCGACGTGCGCTGCCCCCCCGCGCGGGAGCTGCTGCTCAGGGACCGCCAGGGCTGCTGCGCGGCCGGGGGCGCGTCCCGCAGCCCCCCGCGCCACCCGAGGCCGGCGAGGCGCGCGCCCAGGCCCTTGAGCGCGCGATATCCTGCGTCTGGGCGGCGCGCGGGAGGCGAGCTGAGTGGTTGCTCACCCAAGGGCGTCGCGCGGCGTCCATTCCTGGGCCCGGGGCGGCGCTCCGGCGTGCGGGACTTCCTGTCTCACCTCTCATGGATCCGGGCGTGGCGGCGGAGACCGCGGCCGTGGCCGCGCGGCACGACGGCGAGTGCCGCGCCGCTGGCAGGGCTCTCGCGGGTACCTCGGCGGGGCCCGTGCGCGCCAGGCTGCTCATGCCTGTGGCATGCAGGGGACGATCACTTCGCGCGCCCCCCCGGACGGCCCAGCGGGCCCCAGGTCCGGCCCCGCACGACCACGTCGAGGCGGCGCCGTGAGTAAGCGGGGGCGACCACCGAGCGCGGGCGGTTGCCGCGAACGTTTCGAGGCGCTGAGACGCGTGCGGGCGGCAGTGGCGGGCGCGCGGCGCGCGCCGGCGCCATCAGCCGGGGCGGCGGACCCGTCTGACTGGAATCCGGGGGGGGAGTGACATGTGAAATTGGCAGAAGGCGCTGGCACGCGCCGCAAGCACTGGGGCGGCGGTCCATGCGCGCGGCCGCGAGCTCCGCGTGTGCGTGGGCGCTGGACGGCGGTGCGCGGCGATTGGCGGCGATGCAGCGCGGCGGGGTCACCGACGTGCGGGCAACGTGGCCATCAAGACACATGCCATGCACGGTGCGTGGTGAAACGGTAGGGCGAAATGGGGGACAGGCACGCGTCTGACATGCTGATGATGTACACCATGTCGTGAAAGACAAAAGCTGTTTATATTTGCTGCAAATTCAGTTGATGAGCAAGGCTTTTGGGCTCGTGGTGCAGTGGAAGCACATCGCTCTCCGAAGGCGAAGGTCCACGGTTCGATCCCGTGCGAGCTCGTCGACGTCTTTTGCACGTATATTTGCGCCCCCCTGCGCCCCAGGAACGCGCAGGAGCGTTTTGGGGGGCTTCGGGGGCGATTACATGCCACCGCGGCACCACACCCTCGGCCGAGGCGCCGTGGCCTCCCCCGCGCCTCTGCGCCCGCGTCCTGCGCGTCCCGAGGCGGGCGACGCGCGGAGCGACGCGGGACGGCGTTTCCGCGGTCCCGGCCGGCGGCGCCACGAACACGTTCAGCGCAACGTTGCGACAGTGAACGCAACCGTCGCAACCGCCGTGCTGGCCCGCGCAAACGGCCACCGAGCCTCTCTCGGGAGGGCCGGTGCGCGAGCGAGGGGCAGCGCGTCCCCACGCATCGTCATCGTTGACCCACAAGCGGCGCTCGTGACGTCGTCGGGGAGGGGGTCAACCAGCGCGGTCCGCGCAGAGCGCGCAGAGCGGCACGAGGCGACGCAGGGAGCAATGCTCGCGATCTACGACTCACGCATCGCCTGGCTGTCACACGACGACGTCGCACAACGCCGTCGATCATTGCAATCATCGTTGTGTTGCGGCTGTTCCTGCGTCGACTCGGGACCGCGCCTACTGCCCGCCGTGCCCTGTGCTCGACACTGCGTCCGCGATGATGCTCCGAGCCCCCTCCCGCTTCTCGGCCGGGCCAGCTTCGCACCACACATCGCCAGTGCAAGCCACTGGCGCAGCAAGCACGCGCACGTGCGGCATGAGCGGACCCCGAGGACCCCGCGGCGGTGCCCCGCCGGCGCGCACGTACTCAGCACAGCCGGCGCTGCGGCCATCTCCGCCCGTCCGACCTCTACGCACGCCTGGCGACCCGCTGTCCATCCGGCTTCCATGCCCTCAGGTGCCGGCCAGCGCGCGTATGCGGGGTCCGAGCGGCCTTGTGGCGTCTGCCTTCGTCTCCCCTACGTATCCCAACGCACCGCGCCCCCCAAGCTCCAGCCCACCGTCGCCGCACCGGCCCAACAACGCCCCTCGACGCTCTGCCGCTGCCCGCCATCAAGGCGCCCTACCGCGCCTCCACGGGCCGCGCCCAGCCCTCGTGCCGCTCGGATCGACCGCCGCAGTGCACCACTGGCCGCACAAACCGCGCCCGCGCCCCCTCCAGACCGCTCTGCGCGCGGCACACGCCCCCCGCTCATGAGGCCCCACCGACATGACGCAGGGCCCGACGGGGGCCTTCCGGGGGCTCCGGGCGCCACGAGGCCCGCCGGACGGCCGCCAGGCACCAGTGCGACAAGCCATATCACACGTGCGCCGCCAATACGCCGCCACCACGCCGCGCATCGCGCAACAACATTCCCTCACCTACAGGCGGCCAATCTGGCGCCCCGCGCAGCAAGACCGCGGTCGACATCGCGCGCTGGCGACGCCAACGCTGGCACCGTCATGAGCGACGGCCAGGGCTCCCGTCCGGGCGGCTCGGGACCCCCGCATCCTCGCGAACAGGTACGTGGAGCACTCAAACCGCTCCCAGAGCCGCTTTCTGCGACGCTGGGCCGTTGTCTCGGGCCTGGCTTCTCGCGCAAGGCCCGTCTCGGCTTGGTTTGCTTCGGTGCCGTCTCCAGGGTCCTCGCTCCCTGGCCCCGCGGCCCCCTGCTGCCCTCGCTCCTGGCCTGGGCCACGATCCAGATCTTGTGGCAGCGCGTGCACCGCCGCATCCCGTCGCCCCCCGGGCCGCTGTCCCAGCGCATCTCGATGAGCGGGCGCCCGTGCATGAAGCAGTACTCGTAGTCAGGCGCTGCGCACTCCTCCACGCAGCAGCAGTTCATCTGCCGCCACGCCTGGAAGATCTTGTCGCTGATGTGCAGTCTGTCTTCCTTGCCCGGCCTCAGGGCATAGTCCGGGACGTACTGGTGCTTGTGGTTGTTTCCCGGAATACATCGATGTGTGCCACATATGAAATACATCGATGTATTCCGGGCAACAACCACGACCACCAGCACGTGCCAGACTACGCCCTGAGGGAGGGCAGGGACGACAAACTGCACCTCGAGGACGAGATCTTTCAAGGAGTGACGGCAGATGAACTGCCGCTGCATCAAGGAGTGCGCGGCGCACGACTTCGAGTACCGCTACCGGGACGGTAAGCCCCTGCTCGAGCTGCGCTGGGACAGCCAAGAGGGGGACGACGGCGTGCGGCGGTGCATCAGCTGCCACAAGGTCTGCCTCGCCGTTCAGGCCAGAAGCAAGCGCGGCTACAAGCCGCGGTCCAAGGAGCGCGACAACCCTCGGGACAGGTGCGTCGCTGATCATGCCACGTGCGAGGCCGCTCTCGCTGCCGCCGCTGCGCCCCCCTCCACTCCCGCCCCGCGAAGGTGCAGGAGACCCTCGAGGGCGCGAGCTCGCGGGCTTCTTCGCTGCTGCCCGCATCGTTGGGGTTCCTCTGTGTCCGCATCGGTGCTTTGCTGCGTCCCGGGAACGCAATCGAGCACTCCGCGGGTCCCTAGCCCTCCCGGTCTGTGAATGTCTGTCTGTCTGTCTGTCTGGACATCTGTTCGACACCAGCGCAGGTCAGCGAATCACAAACCACCCGACACCTGTGGCCCCGCCGCCGTGGCCGCCCATGCGCTTCCGCGCCCGCGTCCTGCGCGATCCTGCACGGCCGATGTGCGGCACGACGCGCGACGGCGCTGCTGTGTCGCCGGCCGGTTGCCAGCGCCGCGACGAACACGTCATGCCGCGCGGCGCAATCCTCGATGGCCTGCAGCGCGGGCCTCGCGCGCGCAACCGCTGTCTCGCCATCTGCTGCACTCTTCCGCGACCTGCCCGCGCCCCTGGTGCCGCCCCGCAGCGCCGCCCGCTCGACGGGGGCGCCAGGACGCCGACAACGTACAGCGCAACGTAACGCAGCCTGCCGCCAGCGCGAGGCCCTTGCGACCGCAACGCTGGCCCCCGCACCACTGCGCCTCTCTCGGGAGGGCCGGCGCGCGAGCTGGGGGCAGCGCGTCTCCCGCGCATCGTCGTCAACCCGCAAGCGACGCTTGTGACGTTGGGGGAGGGGTCAACCAGCGCGGTCCAGTCCGCGCAGGGCGCGCAGATCGGCACGAGGCGACGCAGGGAGCAATGCTCGCGATCGACGACTCACGCATCGCCTGGCTGTCACACGACGACGTCGCACAACGCCGTCGATCATCGTTGTGTTACGGTTGTTCCTGCGTCGACCCGGGACCGCGCCTACTGCCCACCGTGCCCTGCGCTCAACACTGCGTCCGCGATGATGCTCCGAGCCCCCTCCCGCTGCTCGGCCGGGCCAGCTTCGCACCACACATCGCCAGTGCAAGCCCCTGGGACCACAAGCACGCGCACGTGCGGCATGAGCGGACCCCGAGGACCCCGCGGCGGTGCCCCGCCGGCGCGCACGTACTCAGCACAGCCGGCGCTGCCGCCATCTCCGCCCGTCCGACCTCAGCGCACGCCTGGCGACCCGCTGTCCTTCCGCTGTGCTCTCCGGTGCCGTCCAGCGCGCGTATGCGTGGTCCGAGCGGCCTTGTGGCGTCTGCCCTTGTCTCCCCCACGTATATCAACGCATCGCGCACCGCCGCCTCCAGCCCACCGTCGCCGCACCGGCCCAACAGCGCCCCTCGACGCTCTCCCGCTGCCCGCCATCAAGGCGCCCTACCGCGCCTCTGCTGGCCGCGCCCAGCCCTCGTGCCGCTCGGATCGAC